TGCCACTATCTGAAGATATTTTGGGTTGTCCCACTGGAGGTGAAGAGGGGGAAGGTGCTCCTGGCATCCAGCAGGCAGCAGCCAGGGATGTGTCTAAAATCCTGCACTGCACAGGGTAGCCCCACCGTGCCAGCACAGAATTGTCTGGCTCAAAACGGCATCAGTGCCTCAGCCGAGAAATCCTGCTTTATGGACATCTTGGCAACCACAGCTGAAACTGGCGAGGAGCTGGCCCCTTAATTTAAAGCAATTGATTGATTGCCCTCTTCGCTTACATCATTGTTAATTGAGCTGTTGTGTTTCTTAGAGTCTACTCAATGATAACAGAAGGGACTATAAATAATAATTGTGATCTTATGGAAACTGGCAGGGGAAAGCCAGAATTTTTTATATAGGGCCATTTTTAAAGTGGAAGTGGTAGATTCAAGGGGTTTTGAATCCCTAGTGGAGATTGACAAAGAAGCAAACAGACTTAGAGGGCTGGCCTCTTAAGTGAGAAGTCTGGCAGTCTCCTGACAGTGTGTTTTCTCTAACCTAATCATGCTCGGCCTTATAAAAATAGGCTGTACAAGAGAGACAGAAAATTAACTTTAAACGTTAAGGGAAAATATAAATGCAACTTTCTTAAAGTAACACACTGCCATTCGATTTTATGCCCCTCCTCTACTAAAAGCGACACAGAACATCAGAAGTTCCGCTTGTCTGTTTGGAGTTCTGTGGCACCCTCTGAGACTCTGCGCCTGCCACCACAACGGTGACGTTAGAGTGAATATTTTAGAGTGTAAAATGGAATTTCTGAATAGTAGTTGAAATAATCCGTAAAAGGGTAATGTAAATAAGTTATATTATATACATTTTGATAAAGAGTTGAATATCCTTTCCTATAAAAACTTTTATATCTGCCTAATATGTGGTTTAAGGTGTCTATTTTCCTGGATATTACTAAAGTTAAGTTTTGAGAGAAGATAGGTATTTAATTTATTTTGATTTTTCTGAAAATCCTTGGCAGATATTTAATTTTAAACCAAAAATTGAAGAAAGGAGTTTGAAGACCTTTAGCTGTATCAGGAGGATGGCTTTCTACATATTGAAACAGGATACTTCCAACCTGTAACATTAAATTATTTAAACTTTGTATGTCTACTCCTAACTAAAGAGAAAACCTGATAATGGTAACTACTTAGCTTTCTCTGTGAAGTGATATGTGTGTAAAGTGTATTTCAAAGAACCTAGTGCTTAATAAATGATAGTTGAGTCCATCTTATTTGGACCTAGTGTTCCACAGAAGTTAAACTCTTGAGAGGCAACCTAAGAATGAGATTTTCTGTGCATTCAAGTGATGGTAGACAAGTATTGAAAAAGTATTCAGTAGTGTGTCCACTGGAGTGTCAGAAAGACAGGTCACAAAGTAGGCTCAGACATGGGAAATTCGTATCGTCTCCGATGAGTTGTGGGATGGCGTGTCAGTCAGCCATGTGGATTGCCGTACTGGGTGTGCAGCGCTGATCTGGCAGAGGGTGTGTCCAGTCCTGCATTTATCTGCAAGAGACAGGAGGATGTCACCGGAACCTCTGATTTCTGCTCTGTTTTTATTTTCCTGTTTCACCAGCTCACAATTAGAGAACAGCGACTTTCATTCCCTTCTATGTCTGTCCATTTCTTTTAACAGTTTAGTTCTAACTATATGTCTTGGATGTCTCAAAGGTTCCTCAATCTCAATATGTACAACATAGCACTTGGGACAGTCCCTCCCCAAACCTGTGCCTCTTACGATGTTTTCTGTCTCACTGAATGACAACACTGTTTACCCTCTTAGGCAAACTGGAAGCTTGGGTATTATTCTCAACACTCCTCTAATATCTATTCCAGCACTATTCAATAAAAATATGTGAACCACATACATGATTTTAAATGTTCTGTTGGCTACATTAAAAATGTAAGAAACAAGCCCTGGCTGGTGTAGCTCAGTGGCTTCAGCGCAGGCCTGTGAACCATAAGATCACGGTTCGGTTCCCAGTCAGGGTACATGCTTGGGTTGCAGGCCAGTTCCCAGCAGGGGACTCAAGAGAGGCAACCGTACATTGACATTTCTCTCCCTCTCTCCTTCCCTTCCTCTCTAAAGATAAGTAAATAAAATCTTAAAAACAACAACAACAAAAAACATCATTTTAAAGAAATGTAAGAAACAGGTGAAATTAATTTTAATATGTTTGATTTAACTCAATATATCTAAAATCTTATTTTCACATGTAATCAGTACTTTTAAATTAATGTAATATTTTACAGTCCTTTTTAAATACCAAATCTTCAACCCTGACCGGTGTGGCTCAGTTAGTTGAGCATAGTCCCTAAAGGCAGAAGGTCTCTGGTTTGATTCCTGGTCAGGGCACATGCCTGGGTTTCAGGTCTGGTCCCTGGTTGGGGCATCTGTGTGAGGCAGGTGATCAATGTGTTGCTCCCTTTCTTTCTCTCTTCCTTCCCCTCTCTCTAAAAATTAATAAATAAAATATTTTAAAAAGAAATGCCAAAGTTTCAAAGTCCAGCGTATGTTTCACACTTAGAAAAAGTACATCTCTATTCAGGCTAGCCACATTTCACGTGCTTAGTAGCCACAGGAGTCTGGTGGCTACTGTTTTTGACATTGAAGATCTGATCTATCACCAAGTCCTCTGAGTTTTACCTTCTAATTATCTTAATCCCTTCTCCTTCTGTCTCAGCCGACACCATCCTGATACAGATTACTGATAACTGCCAGCCCCCCTCCCATCTGCTCACACTGTAGTAAAAATGATCTTCACCAAATGTTTCCCTACTTCTTCTCATCATGATTTACTCTTCCTTCAAATGTTGTCACTTCCTCGGGCAAGCCTTTCCTCATTGATTGCTGCCTGCTGTTACCTGTTCTTACAGCACCGTTTGCACCCTGTGTTGTAGCAGCACCTAATTAATTCCATGTGTGTGGTACTGCACAATAAATTCCAAGAAAATGAAAACTGCGTTGTTTATTTTCTATCTGTTGTACCTCTAGTAACTAACAGAGTAGGTAGTCAGTAAACATCTGTTGAATTGACTAAACAAAGTTAACTGCTTGACCGCTCTGAAAGTCCAATAGAACAGTGTTTTGTTCAGCCCTTGAAAAGCACTGTTCTGGGATGTTTCCTCATCAGTTTGCTTTGTATGTAAACATGGAGTGTTCTTTCCATTATTCAAGATCCTTTAATGAACCCCATTACCTATTGAAATAAATTTCAAATTTATAATCTGTCATTTGATACCTTGTATAATTTGGCCCTGATACTATCTATATCTATCAAAATATTCTGTGAAATTAATCAAGTTATTCTTCCTAGTCTCCAAATAAGTATCAGCTGTAGGAGCCATTTTTCTATTCATTCAGTAACTACTTTTATTATGTAGCAGATAATGTTCTTGGCCAGTTCTATCCAGTAGAACTTTGTATTCTCTGTTCTGTTCTGTGTATAATCTGTTCTCTCTGGCCACGTGTAGCTGTTGAGCGCTTGAAATACAACTAAGGTTGAAGAACTGATTTTTAATTTTAACTAACTTAAATTTTACTAGCCACATATGGCTGGGGGTACCACATTGGTCAGTACCAGGTCAAGGCAGTTGGCACACATTCTTACCCTCATGGAGTTCATACCTGGTATGGTGATACAGTCAGTAAATAAATAAATGACATCAGATGGTGACACATTATGGAGGAAAATAAAGTTGGTTAGACAGTAGGAGATAATATATGCGTGGGAGAGGAGTAGGAATGCTGTTTATGTAAGACAGAAAAGGTGTCCCTGATAAGTTGAGCAGAGATGTGAAAGAAGTGAGAGCAGAAAGCCATATGGATATGTTTAAAAGTGTTCCAGAAAGAGAACAGTAGGTACAAAGGCCCTGAGGCAGAAGTGTGCTTTCCCTGTTCTAGAAAGAGCAAGGAGCTCAGCATTCCTAGGTTGAATGAAGTTACAGGGTAGAGTAAGAGCTGCTGGGGGGCTTAGGTTTATACTTTGTGAGACAGGATATCACTGGAGGGTTTTGAGCAGAGAAGTTTCATAACCTTAGTCTTTAAGAGTTTTACTCCGGCTGAATATCATATTGAGAATAGACATATACCTACATATCAGAAATGTTCTTCTCAACAAAACAATTAAATATTAAAATGCTTTCTTTTCTTTCAAGTCTTAATTCTGAAATCACCTCTACTACTTGCTTTTTCTAAACCTTATTATCTAGAAGTGATTAGTCTTTTTTTGTTGTTGTTACTATCATTTATAACCCTATTCCGATTTTTTCAGTAGACTATAAATTCCCCAGAGTGATTGTTGCTAGTATTAAACAATGCCTGTAATTATTTGTTGATTGAATGGTCACCTGCAGTAACAATGGAAATGATGGGAATACTTTGTTGAATCATTACATGAAATGCTATTTTGATGATAATGTTACTCTGTACTTGCTTTTATAAGCAGAATCACATGTAAAGGAAGAAGTAAAAATGGCAATCATACTGTTGAAAGCATCTGCCTATATTCACTCATTTAATCCTCACACAACCCCTATGGGTCCGTACTATCATTATTACCTGTCAGATGGGAAACTGAGGAAATAATGGCTAAGTTATTTCCACAGGGTTATTTACCTGTCATGTGGCAGAGCCATGATTTAAATCATAGCAGGCTATACTTACTGAATACAATTAATTTTATAAGTAGGTCATAGACCAATAGAATTTGAAAAACATTTTGGGGACCAACATAGCGCTGCTCCCTATTAGCAAGTTTTTAAAAATTATAACATTTATTCTAACCACTATTCCATTACTTATGAAAGTTTAAAAATATGTCGAATTCTGATTTTAGGTCACTTATTTTTAATATAGTACATGGTTACATTAATTCTTTAAATTTATTTTTGTATAAGGTGAAGCAGAATAATAGTACATTGTTAAAAAACAGCATGGGAACAAACTCTGTTTTTCCCCTGTTTAGGGCCTGTATATCTTTGGGATCAAGAACCCGAGCCATTGGAAATGCAGCTAAGAGCCAGGTAAATTGTTCATGTAGATGTTTTGATTTATAGGAAAAATTAACTGACTCTTGGTAACTAAGCTCCAATTTTATGTAATTAAGAGTGAAAAAAGAGAGTGCGGAAAATATGACCAATCCTAAATCTTTGTATGTTAGGTATATTTTGCTTTAGTTTGTAAAATGTTTTTCAAATGTTATTTATTAAAAATCTTTAATTGTGAAGTTAGGATATGCTGTCGTATGGCATCGGTTTTGCCCTGTATGCTCACTTTCCATCTAAAATGTGCACTTCATATTTTACCAAGTGAGTAATGTCCTGGTAAAGGAAGGTAGGGAAAAAGGAAGAACTAATTTCCAGGGTAATTAGTGGCTACCAGTACTTTACATGGACTCTGTTTAAGTATTCATATTTCTAGGCTTCTGAAATATTTATGGTAGCACATTTACAGGCTGTGGGTTCATTTTCCTTGGACTTTGTTTCTTGCCTGAACCAAAAACCTTAATAATTACATTTTAATGTATATCTGGGTTTTCTTTTCTTCATTACAAGATAACTTGGTTTAATGGGGCTTTTTTTCCCCCTTTCAGGACTTTGTAGGAGTAATTGACTCATTTATACAGGATTTTTGCTTACAGTTTTTTATCAAGGTGTCTTATAGTTTGTCTATATATGAAGATACTTCTACTTTCATTCATGCATAAACAAATGTTGAGTTGATGCCAAAATGAGCCCTTCACTAAAGTTTACATCTCATATTCTGGCCGATCTTCTAGGCATATCATAAAATATTAGAGTCTCTGAAGAAAAGCAAACCATAAAGTTATTTCTCCTGAAGAGCTAAAGACCGACATGGTAATTCAGTATTCTTGCAGGTTTCATCTGATAGTTGAAGATAAGGTCTGTTTGGCTTTTAAAGGTCACTAGGACAACAGATGGATCTCAGTAATATTCTGTAGTTGTAACTACATGTTCTAGTTAAAGAAGAAATTACTTTGCCAAAATACAAGCTGCATGGAGGAAGTTTTAATTTACTAGCCTAGGAACAATTCTTAGCAATGGAAGCAACACAGTGGTACATGAGAAATTTCACAAAGAATCAGGTATTCAGGAAAAAAGAAAAATAGGATAATAAAAACAGTTTAAATAAAAACACAGAAATGGAAGTGGAAAGAAAGAGAAATCAAGGATACTGATTTACCAGAGCAGCAATTTTCAATCTTTTTCATCTCATGGCACCCATAAACTACTAAGATTATGCAGCACATCACAGAAATATATGTTTCGCCAATCTGACAAAAATAGGTGTAATTTTGATTGACTTACAAAAAATAATAATAGTAATAACCTACCCTTTTCCCTCCAAAGTGACTTTTTAGAAAATCAGGAGCCTATACTTGTATATAAGAATTTCTGGTACCAAGAATTAACCAATCAGACACGACCTTAATATATGATGTGACCAATAAGATGCAATTCTTATTATATGACCTGTATATTCACAGTTCAAAACAGGGTATTTACACCAGGCAGTTATTGGCTGTTGTCATTTTTTAAATTCAGCAATCTAAGGGAAAAGAGGTCAGTGCCCCTGACTAAGTAGTCAGGTATTGCATGTTTTACAAATTCTGGCCACACACTGGTTGAAAATTGCTATAATAGAGCAAAAGTGTTGAGGAAAACCAAAGGCACAAATAGTAGATAGGTTTTTATTTGAAAATTCTTAAGTTTTATTATTTATTTTTGAAGGCATTAAATTTGAATCTAATATTCCTAGAAAGGAGAATTTGGGTGGGGGCAATAGTATACGTTCTCATTATGTAATTTTACTGTTTGTTGGAAACCAGAAAATGAATGATTGTGTGTAATTCTGAGCTTGCATGTGGAGATTTGGTTCTCAAGTATTGGCATAGTGTTTATTTTGCATTCATTAAGTAATTGATGAAGTGTTTATTGCCAACAGATAGTCACAAATGTAAGAAATACAATTCATGGCTTCAAAAAGCTTCATGGACGATCATTTGATGATCCTATTGTGCAAACTGAAAGAATCAGGCTTCCCTATGAGCTGCAGAAGATGCCTAATGGAAGTGCAGGAGTGAAGGTAAGCTTTATGTTCCCAGAGTACAGACATGTATTTAAATTAAAAACCAAATAGGGTAATATTGCCTACTGGTAATTTAACTTTTTTCTTCTGGAAGTAATTCAAATATGGCAAGATACAGGCAGTTTTTTTAGTAAGCTTTAATAACTGCAAAAAATGATAATTTAGATAATGATCTATTTAATCCAAATAATACTTTTATTATCAGGGAAAACTATTATTGTGTGAACATTTAGGGGTGAACTATTTTCAACTGATGAAGGCGGAAGTGGCACATGTGGTTTAGAAAATTGGCCCCAGCCCTGGCTGGTGTAGCTAAGTGGATTGAGTGCTTGCCTGTGAACCAGAGGATCACGGTTCGATTCCCAGTCAGGGCACATGCCTGGGTTGCAAGCCAGTTCCCTGCAGGCCAGTGCCCAGCAGGGGACTCACAAAAGGCAACCACACATTGATGTTTCTTTCCCTCTCTCCTTCCCTTCCCCTCTAAAGATAAATAAATAAAATCTTTTTAAAAAAATGTAATGTGACTTAAAAAAAAAAAAGAAAAAGAAAATTGGCCCCAAACTGTGTTAATTGCCATAATGAGTTTTCGCTCATTTAGAAGAATCTTATAACATTAGAAGTATTAAAGCATACTGTAACTTCCAAGTAAGAGGTGAATTCTGGATTTTTTCAATTCTGGATTCTGGAAATTTTCTGAAATTTTGAATTTTGAATCTTATATGTAGATTCATAAGAGATGAATTCTGGGCAAGTTCTGGATTTTAATTCTACGTCCTGAGATAGTAAATTATATATTCATTAACAAAAACAGGTTTCTGTTGATTTTTAAAAAACTGACAGAATGCCTCAAAGCACATAGTTACCACATGACCCAGCAGTTCCACTCTCAAATACACACACAAGTGATTGAACCACACATGCACACACAAACTTAGTACATGAATGTTCACAATAGCATTATGCCGATAATAACCGAAAAGTAGAAACAACTCAGGTGGCCGTCAGCTGCTGAGGGGACGAACAAACTGTGGTAAACCTGTAGAGTGGACTGTTATTTGGTATAAAGAGGAGTGAGGTGCTGATACGCACCACAACGCGGATGAACCTTAACATGCTGAGGGAAAGAAGCCAGATACAAAAGACCACGTATTGTGTGGTTTTATCGATACGGATATCCATAATCAGGCCAATCTGTACACACAGAACGTGGTTGGGTAAAGAGGAAGGAGGAATGGGGAATAACTGGGAAGAGGTGCAGAGCTTTTTCTAGGGCGACGAAAATACACTACAGTTAGTGGTGATCAGTGTACAACTTGGTGACTATTCTAAAAACCACTGTACTGTACCCTGCAAGTATGAACTTTATGCTATATAAATTATATCTCAAAGCTATTTTAATAACTAGTGTTAAACTTAGCATGTGTGTTTCAAGACTGTGCACATATTTTCATTTTTATAAGAAGGTTCTAAGTACAAAATGGATGATGAATTGTACAGTGAGACCTGAGGCTGTTAAGGTGGGGAGGGGGGATAAGATGGAAAGAAGGGGAAGGGGCTGGGCAAGGAACATGTATGAATGAGCCATGGACATGGACATCAGCTGGGGACTAACTGTGGGAGCGGAGGGTGGGGGGGTGGGCCGGACACAGGAGGGTGACAGGGGAAAAGGTGGGTAAACTAATAGAATAACAATAAAATATTTAATAAAAGTTGAAAATAAAGTAATTCAAAGAAGACACCACAAGAGGTTAAAGACAAAGACAAAATATGAAGCCAGTATTTTAGGTGACATTTGTGAGTCAAGGGTTGCTGACCAGGAAGTTGGGTGGGTTATAATAGCAACAACTGAGATAAAGAATAATATTCAGATATTTCTGGTTATTGACCATGTGAAGCAGTTTTATTTAAAACAGCTTAAATTCTTTTGCTTTTTTCTTTAAAAGGGAAATTTAAAATTGTGCTTTATAAAGTAGTTTGAGAAAAACAGATTTTTTTTCAGAAAGTCAAACCTAATTTTTGAGTGATACAGTTTTTATGCAGTCATAGTGATTACGTGTAAGAAGCTTTGAAAATATCGATCAGTCCTGTGTTGAACAGTTTCCTCATATTTTGAAGATTGCAAATCTTTAGAATTTGACTCCTTAATCATTTTATCCATTTTTTGATACTTGTTTGGCTATACTTTAATGTTTATTTTATTTCATCCAAGTTTATGTTATAAAAAAATATGGTATTATCCTGCCTTCTATAATCAGACCAATGTCATGGTATTTGTTCACTTCCCTGGTATTGATATCTTCCCACATTTATTAATTTTATGCAATACTTAATGTTGAACTTGCTTTTAAATTGACTAAATGGATATCAATTTTAGGTCTGTTTCAGAGTAAATTTTATATCATTATATACACATTTATACACATTTATAAACATAAATTGTGCTGCTTACAAGAGAAGTTCTTTAAAGCACTTCCAGATTTTAGTGTCATAGAAAAAAAATGTATTCGCTCCACTGCAGTTACATAGGTAAAAAGACATTGCCTTTTCGTCAGTAAGTTAAATGTAGTCATTATATGGGTTCTAAGGTTACTTGGTATTGCTTATAAATTATGCAGTTGTCATTATAAAAGGGTTTGATTACTTGAGTAAGCACAGGTCCTCTGCTATTCCTCAGCCAAGAAGCACCATAAACTTTTATTTTATGTGCTTAAATGCAACCTAGTCATAAACCTGTGTATAAGATGAAATAGTTATTTGGTTAAAAATAATTTTTAATTGAATCTCTACATCTGTAATATTTAATACATAATTATCTCTGCAAACTTTGGAGGAATGCATATTTTTTTATGGAAATTTTCTTTCCCCTTAATATTCTTACTTCCTTTCTCAAAACCATATGACTAAAACTTTCATTTTAAACCCAGGAAGAGTTATAATTTTCAAAAGAAAGATTATTTGATCTTTTTTCTTTGTTGTTAGCTAGGGAACTGAATGATAAAAAAAATAGCTTTTCGAGGAGGTGGAGGTGTGGAGCAGGAAAAGACACTTGGGAAAGTAATTTGCTTGTGACATTATGTGTTAGACACTGAAACTCCAGAACTAAGAGGTTGCAATACTAAAACAGTCTTTTGGGGCTGTAACTTCCTTGAGCAAGGACTTTCCCTTCTTCACTGTTGTTTATCAATATCTAGAGTAGATTTTCACAAATATTTGCTGGATGAATAAATGACTCAATAAAAGTCTTAACTTTTAGCCCTGGCTGGTGTGGCTGGGTGGACTGAGCACTGGCCTGCAAACAGAAAGGCCACTGGTTTGATTCCCAGGCAGGGTACTTGCTGGTCTCACACGTCGCTGTTTCTCTCCCTGTCTTTTGCCCTGCCTTCCCCCTTCTCTAAAAATATAAATAAATAAAAATTTAAAAATCTCAATGTTTGGTTTTAGGTGCGGTACCTAGAAGAAGAGAGACCTTTTGCTATTGAGCAAGTTACTGGAATGCTGTTGGCCAAGCTTAAAGAGACTTCAGAAAATGCTCTGAAGAAACCAGTAGCCGACTGTGTGATTTCAGTAAGTTTTACTTCAGTAACAAATCCCCTCGGATCACATTTTTCAGTGCACAGTAGTCCTCTCTTTTCTACATGTGTTGAGTTCCAAGTCCCCCAGTGGATGCCTGAAACCATGATAGTACCAAACCCTATATCTGCACCCTTTTTTCCTATATATTCGTACTCTTAAGTCTTAAAGGATGCACTTCGCAGCTTCTGTTTGGTGTGTACAAATTGCCAGCATCACTACTCCTGCACTTTGGGGCCATTATCAAGTAAAATAAGGGTGACGAGCACAGGCATGTGGTACTAACCAGAATCGTAGATCTGCTGACCGAGGTGGCTTCCTAAGTGGTCACAGGCAGGTAGTGCATGGAGTGCTGGTACTCAGGACAGAGTGCCGATCACCCCCCCCCCAGGGCAGGATGGAGTCAGGTGATGCTAGACTGCAGCACCTACTCAGAACAGCATACAGGTTAAAACTTGCGAATGGATTATTTCTGGGATTTTTCTATTTACTGTTTTTCAGACCTCAGTTGACTGTAGGTAACTGAAACTATGGAAAGCAAAACCGTGGATCAGGGAGGCCTACTGTATTAATGTTATATTAAAATATTTTTCTTCCCTTCTCTTTACTTATTCTGCCCTTATCCAATAAAGATAACCTAAATTAGGGGGAGCGGTGGAAGGAAAATGGAGACAACTGTACTTGAACAACAGTAAAAATAATGTGAAAAAAATAGAAAAATAAAAAAACAACCTAAATCAATTTTTACTTTTCATTAAAAAGAAACTATGTCCCTGGCTGGTGTACCTCAGTGGATTGAGCGCGAGCCTGTGAACCACACGATCGCGGCTCGATTCCCAGTCAGGGCACAAGCCTGGGTTGCAGGCCAGTTCCCAGCGGGGGACACATGAGAGGCAACCATACATTGATATTTCTCTCCCTCTCTCCTTCCCTTCCCCTCTAAAGATAAATAAATAAAATCTTTAAAAAAAAAAAGAAACTACTTTATTTGATAAAATTCAGGGTAACCACCAAAGTTGATTGTGATCATCAGAGAATCTTCAAAATGTGTATGGTTAGTGACTGCCGTAACTGCCACTTACTGCTAAGAGTCTTTCCAGGTAGCACTGAACTTCCCAGCCCTAAGGACTGTTACCATTTTATGGCAAAGTCCAAAATTCCCATCTGGGACTTTGAAAGTGTGTTTATTGCATATCAGTTGGAAAAGATCTTTCTTTTAACATATATTTAACATATCCAGTACTTTCAGAAGTTTTGACATATGCATACACCCATGAAACCATCATTACTATCAATGTAATAAACATTCATCACCACCCAAAATTCCCTTATGCTTTTTAAAAATACAAATTGTACATACGGTATATAATGTGATGCTTTGATATACATAGTGAAATGATTAGTGCAGTCAAGCTAATTAATATATCCATCTCTTCATATACTTACATATTTATGTATTTATGTATTTATGTATTTATTTATGATGAGAGCACCAGATACCTACTTTCTTACAAAAGTTTCAGGATACAATATTATTAACTATAAACTCCATGTTGTACCTTAGATTTCTGGAACTTATTCACTCATTCATATAACTGAAACTTCGTACCCATTGGCTAATATCTTTCTATTTCCTCACTCCCTGCCCCTGGTAACCACCATTCTACTCTCTGCTTCTATGAATTCAACTTTTATAGATTCTACATATAAGTGGTACCATGCAGTATTTTCAGGAAGAAAAGATATTTCTTTAAGGAATCTTAACAAAACATTTAATTATCTCCTGAGATCCCATTATATATTGATAACTAGTTTTTAAGTTATGTGTTGTTAACCTAAAGGTGAATATATTTCTAACACTATTAAACTTGACTATGTGAGTTCAAAGGCCTATGTCCTCAGAAAAATAGAATCAGATTATGAGCTCTTCGGTAAATTTAGTAGTTAGATTTTTTCATAGATATTTGGAACTTTTAAAATTAGAAATATTAAAGCTTAATAGTTTGTTTTCTAGCCATTTAATAATAGTACATAAGTTTACCATTGGCCAGGCACTATTATAGGCATTTAATATATATTGACCCATTTAGTTCCCAGAACTTCACTAAGAGGAGGTGTAGGATATTATTAACCCAAATTTTATAGATTAAAAGCCTGAGGCACAGAGAAGTTCAGTAACTTGTCTGAAATTTACACAGTTGTAAAAACAGGAATCAAACCCTGATTGTTCTTTCCCAGATGAGCTCATGAGTCTCCCATCGTACTGCCACTTGAAACTGTATGTCAAAGTGGTACATTTTAGAATCCTTTTAAAATTTAAATCTATCCCAATTTATTTAGTTTTACTTGGTTTACTTTCATGTCAGAAGTTAGTGCTAGCAGAGAGCATTAGCAATTTCTTGGCCATTATTAACTTTGTAATGAGTGCAACAGACACATTGTGAGCTATACAAGGGGAAGTATTTTCTCTGTTTTATGCATTACTATATTCCTAGTGGCGATAAGGAAGTACCTGATAACATAAGTTCTCAATGAGTATTAAACAAACCATACTTACAATTTAGTACTTGTCAGAGGGTAATACCAAAATCAGGATAAACAACCTTATCAGAAATCAAGTTCTGTCTGGTTTTTAACATCTGCTAAAAGAAATTTCTAAATTCAAAAGGCAATAAAATGTGGAGGAGTATACTTATTCAAAGCTTAAAATTGGAAGAGCCTTAAGTCATTTTGTGCATAAATATACTTAATTAGCTTTGTAGAAAGCTGCTTGTAGACCAAATCATAGTGCTGCTTAGTTTAATAGAACCAAATGTATGTAAATCTTAATTATAAGTTTAAGCCTGAATTTTATTTTTGATAGAAATATATTTCATGTTGTTTTGTGATCTTAAAAGAAACATGCTCATCATAAGTCCCCTGAAATCTAATTCCCCTCTCCCTTTGAAATATAACATTTAGCATTATATACTTCTGGTAGCATATACATACACACCAAAAAAATTGTGTTATACATACCTATTTTTCAAAAAGTATTAGAGATACTATTCCATGAAAATTCAGTTCTACTTGATTCTTTCTAGAAGCTACATAGGATTCCATTAAATAGGTATACCATAATATATTTAATCTCATTTTAACATATCCTTCGATTTTTACTTTTTCATTATTAAAGATGAACATAAATATATTTTTTCATAGGTCAGACCAGCATAAGAAGGATTTAGACTAATAAATTTTAGAAATCCTGCAATATTATTCTATCTTTTTAAAGTATATTATTGATTATGCTATTACAGTGTCCCTTTTTTTCCCTCCCCTTTATCCCCCTCTGCCCTGTATCCCCCTTCCCTACAGCATTCCCTCATCTTAGTTCATGTCCATGGGTCGTACATAGAAGTTCTTTGGCTTCTCCATTTCCCATACTATTCTCCTCCTGTCTATTTTGTATTTACCAGTTAGGCTTCTTGTTCCCTGTAACGTTTCCCCCATTCTGCCCTACTCCCTCCCTGCCGTTAACTTTCCATTTGATCTCCATTTCTGTTATTCTGTTCCTGTTCTAGTTGTTTTTTGAGTTTTTATTTTTGTCTTTTAGGTTCAGTTGTTGATAGTTGTGAGTTTGTTGTCATTTCACTGTTCATAGTTTCTGATCTTCTATTTCTTAGATAGAAATAGATGTTAATGTCCCTTTAACATTTCATATAATAAGGGCTTGGTAATGATCAACTCCTTTAACTTGACTTTATCTGGGAAGCACTTTATCTGCCCTTCTATTCTTTTTTTTTTTTTTTAAATCTTTAGAGGGGAAGGGGGGAAGGAGAGAGGGAGAGAAACATCAATGTAGGGTTGCCTTTCATGCATCCCCTGCTGGGAACTGGCCTGCAGGGAACCGGCCTGCAACCCAGGCATGTGCCCTGACTGGGAATCGAACCACAATGATCTGGTTTGCAGGCCCGCGCTCACCAGCCAGGGCTGCCCTTCTATCCTAAATGATAGCTTTGCTGGATAGAGTAATCTTGGATATTGGTCCAGGCCTTTGGTGACTTTGAATATTTCTTTCCAGCCCCTTCTTGTCCATAAGGTTTCTTTTGAGAAATCAGATCATAGTCATATGGGAACTCCTCTGTAGGTAACTATTTCTTTTCTTCTTGCTTTCTTTAAGACTCTCTCCTAATCTTTTGTCTTGGGTAATGTAATTATGATATGTCTTTGTATGTTTCTTCTTGGATCCAACTTCTTTGGGACTCTCTGAGTGTCCTACTTGCATGTCTAGTTCCTTTGCTAGATTGGGGAATTTCTTCTTCATTATATTTTCAAATAAGTTTTTAATTTCTTGCTCCTCCTCTTGTAACTTCTGGCATCCCTATGATTCAGATGTTGGAACATTTAAAGTTGTCCCAGAGGTTCTTAAGCCTCTCCTCATTTATTAAAATTTTTAATATATTTTATTGATTATGCCATTACAGTTGTCCTATTTCCCCCCCTTCACTCCCCTCCACCCTGCACCCCCTTCCCCCACCATTCCCCCCACTTTTTTTTATGTCCATGTGTCACAAGTTCTTTACATTCTATATTTCCAGCCCTGGCTGGTGTAGCTCAGTGGATTGAGCACAGGCCTGTGAACCAAAAGATTGTGGTTCGATTCCCAGTCAGGGCATATCCCTGGGTTGCAGGCCAGTTCCCAGCAGGAGATGCACGAGAAGCAACCATACATTGATATTTCACTCCCTCTCTCCTTCCTTTCCCTTCTAAAGATAAATAAATAAAATTAAAAAAAACAACAAACAAAAAAACCCCAAAAACTCAGAAAAAGAAGATTCTATATTTCCCATACTATTCTTACCCTCCCCCTGTCTATTTTCTACCTACCGTCTATGCTACTTATTCTCTGTACCTTCTCCCCCCTTCTTAGACTCCCACTCCCCTGTTGCTCACCCTCCATGTGATCTCCATTTCTGTGGTTCCGCTTTTGATCTAGCTGTCCTCTTAGTTTGCTTTTGTTTCAGGCGTGGTTGGTAATAACTGTGAGTTTGCTGTCCTTTCACTCACTGTTCATCTTTTTAATCTTCTTTTTCTTAAATAAGTCCCTTTAACATTTCATATAATAAGGACTTGGTGATGATGAACTTCTTGAATTTGATCTTATCTGAGAAGCACTGTATCTGCCCTTCCATTCTAAATGAAAGCTTTGCTGGATAGAGCAATCTTGGATGTAGGTCTTTGGATTTCATGACTTGGAATACTTCTTTCCAGCCGCTTCTTGCCTGTAAGGTCTCTTTTGAGAAATCCGCTGAGAGTCTGGTGGGAACTCCTTTGTAGGTGACTGTCCCCTTATCTCTTGCTGCTTCTAGGATTCTCTCCTTCATTTTAATCTTGGCTAATGTAATGATGATGTGCCTTGGTGTGTTTCTTCTTGGGTCCAACTTCTTTGGGACTCTCTGAGTTTCCTGCATTTCCTAGAAGTCTTATTTCCTTTGCCAGATTGGGGAAGTTCTCCTTTATTATTTGTTCAAATAAGTTTTCCACTGGTGGCTGTTCCTCTTCCTCTTCTGGTACCCCTATAATTCGGATGTTGGAATGTTTAAAGATGTCCTGGAGGTTCCTAAGCCTCTCCTTATTTTTTTTTTAACTCTTGTTTCTTCATTCTTTTCTGTTTGGTCATTTTTTTTTCTTCTGGTCTACTCCCTTGATTTGAGTCCCAGTTTCCTTTTCATCACTATTGGTTTCCTGTGCATTTCCCTTCATTTCGATTAGTTTAGCCTTCACTTGTTCCTCTAATTTGTGACTAAAATCAACCAGTTCTGTGAGCATCCTGATCACCAGTGTTTTGAACTGTGCATCTGAAAGGTTAGCTATCTCTTGGTCACTTAGATTTATTGGCTCTGGGGTTGTGAGCTGGTCTTGAGCCATAATGTTTTGGTCTGTTCATACCTGTTACATATGAGGGGTGCAGCCTTAGGTGTTCACCAGGGTGGGGCAACCCAAGTTGCTGGGTTGTGACACTATATGTGGGGGTGGGGTCAGAGGGGGGTAATGGCGTTTGTTCCACTCTCTCTCAGATTTCTGTCCCCTCTGCTGCTTCCCACAAGTAAATTGGGCCCTTCTGGTGCTGGTTCCCAGGTGTGTGGGCCTGTGCACCCTCCAGGACCCTGTGGGTCTCTCCAATGCACTCTCTGTGAGCCTGGGAGCTTTTCTTGGCACCTCGACCCCGAAAGTCTTTCCAAGTGGTGCTTTGAGGCTCTAATTCCCATCGCTGGGGCCCTGGCCTGAGTGGTCTGTCTCACTGCTCGCTCCTTGGCTTGGTTTATCTGTGCGCGAATGTGTAAGCGCAGTCAGCCAGCTGCCTTGCGCCCCCACTGGGTCCGCCTGTTGCCACCCCACACCTGGGATCCACCAACTGCTGCCTGTGCTCCCGAGGTCCTGGATCCATCTGGCTGATCCCTCCTGCCCAACCCCACTCCGCCACTGACTCTGCCCCTCTTACCAGTCTGGCTGAACGGTTCTGTTGTTGTCGGACTTCCATACAGTTCAATTTTCTGTGTTTTGGCTGCGTTTTTGTTACTAAAACTTTGTTGCCTTTAAAGTTGGTTGTATGAGGAGGCACAGTGTTCCCACCTATGCCTCCATGTTGGCCAGAAGTCTCTCCTGTTTTTTTTTTAATTCTTCTTTCTTCATTCCATTCTAGTTGGATGTTTATTTCTTCCTTTTGTTCCAAATCATTGATTTAAGCCCCAGTTTCTTTCCCTTCATTGTTGGTTTCCTGTATATTTTTCTTTATTTCACTTAGCATAGCCTTTACTTTTTCCTCTATATTACGACCATATTCAATCATTTCTGTGAGCAACCTGATTACTAATGTTTTGAAATGTGCATCTGAATGATTGGCTACCTCTTCATCACTTAGTTGTATTTTTTCTGGAACTATGATCTGTTTTTCCATTTAGACCATATTTTTTTGTCTCAGTGTGCCTGTTACTTAGTAAGTGGAAGAGCCTTAGATATTTGCCAGGGTGGGGCAACCCAGCTGTGGTGCTATATATGAGGTAGGGGTCCAAGAGGGAACAGTGCCACTTGCTCAGCTCTGAGCCAGCTTTCAGTCACTTCCCCTGATACCCAAACGCAAATTAGGCTCTTCTGGTGCTGATTCCCTGGTGGGTGGGCTTGTGTACATTCTAGGACACTGTGGATCCCTCCAAAGGACTCTCCTGTGAGGCTGGGAGTTTCTCTCACTGCCACAACTCTCACAGGTTTTTACAGCCAGAGGTTTTGAGGCGTTATTTCCCCATGCTGGAACCCTGGGCTGCATGGTTTGTTCCTTCTGGTTTATCCACACACAAATATGTGACAGCCGGGTCCACCAGCTGCCTCCTCATGCCGCCTCACCTGCCAGGTCCCTTGCCTTGCTATGTCCTCTCCATTTGGGTGCTGTCTCTGCCCCTTCTACCAGTCTGGATGAATGTTTCTTCTTTAACTCCTTGGTTGTCAGAATTCCATACGGTTCAATTTTCTGGCTGTTCTGGTTGGGTTTTGTTTTTAAATTGGTGGTTGTCCTCCTTGGATTGGCCTAGGAAGCAAAGCATATGTACCTATACCTCCATCTAGGCTGGAAGTTTTTATTCCATCTTATTAATTGCTTTAAATTTGTGTTTTACTTTACATCAGCATTTTATAGGTCAACATTTCATGATATAGAAATGATAAACTTAAAAAGAGTATTTTTTTTATTTAATTAAAACACCATTTTTTGCCTTTAGCTGTATACAAGTTTTAGTGCCAATTTTTTGTGTTTTGGCTGATGAAACATTTAAGCAAAATATATCAAATTAATAAAGTAATCATTCTCAAATACCAGATTCCAAGCTTTTTCACTGATGCTGAGAGAAGATCTGTCATGGCTGCAGCCCAGGTTGCAGGTTTAAATTGCTTAAGATTAATGAACGAAACGACTGCAGGTGAGCACTTTGCAACTTGAAATCACTGTTAGAAAAATACTGTTGTAGTATTTTTATAATTAATGCAAAGCATTTATTTTTTAGCTATTATGTGTTCTTGTAAGCTTATCATTTTGGAGTACAACATTTTTCAGAAGTTAAACATGTCTTACATTGGCTATAAGAATCACTAATGTAGAGTTACAGATAGGTAATGAAGAAATTAAATTAAAAACATTAGGCAAATTATGAAAAGTTAGGTAACTTTGAAATTAATAATTTGTATTTTACTGTGTATTATTTTTTCTTTCTATTTAAATTAATTGGGATGATGTTGGTAAATAGGATAATGTTAAGTTTTAAGTGTACATTTTTATGATAATTGAGCTGTACATGTACTCTACTGCATATTAAAGTATTCAGCTTTAAAGTGATTTATCTGTTTTCCACATGATTGCTGTGCTGGAATTAACCTAATTTTTTTGTTCTTACACAGTTGCGCTAGCATATGGAATTTATAAACAGGATCTTCCCCCTTTAGATGAGAAACCAAGAAATGTAGCATTTATTGATATGGGACATTCTGCCTACCAAGTCTCAGTTTGTGCTTTTAACAAAGGAAAACTTAAAGTAAGTAAATAAATTATTTGCAGTATTTTACTTTTATGGTTCAGAGCATATAAGACTATACAGAAGACTTTAATGCCCGGGTTTAAATCTTGGCTCTGCTACATAAAAACTGTGACTTTGAATTAGTTACTTAACCTCCCTAAACCTTAAGTTTCTCATCTGAAGCTAATATAAGAAATGATCTCAGAATTTTTTTAGCACAAAATGAGTTAACGTATATAAAATGCTTAGAACGCCACATAGTAGATACTATAATATATGTTAGCTATTTGTATTGTTGGTGTTAAATCAGCTATCATGGGGCATAAATTTATATATTCATCTCTAAATATACTTAGGAAACATTTTATAAAATGACTGTTGTTTTTAGAAACCTTTGCACCTGGAGTCCTAATAAAAATGTTCTACAAAGTGACATCATTTACTTCTATGTGCTTATCTTCTTGTAGTTTGTATTTGGTTTTATATTCGTTTTTACATTGATTATCTTATCCAGAGGTACACATTCTCTTTCTCTATTGTGCACATGTGTAGAATTTACATAGAAGATGAATTGTTTTGGGTGATCCAATGCTTTTTAGAGCCTTTTGTCTTACAGTTTATATTACTATAATATTCTTATCATCAGAAAAGTAAGTGGAGATGACTCACATGAATGTGGGGTAGTTTTTGGTAAATTGGTTTAATCCTTGGTAGTCTTGCATTTTTAACTTAAGGAAAATTAAAAGAACATTACATTTTGTTAAATGTTCTTTTAAGCGGGGGGCAGGGAGGTCAGGTGAGCTTTGCTCCTGGTTCCTAACTGGTATCTGCCCACGGCTCAGGAGTTGGGGACCTCTGCTTTAGAGTGATCTATAATTTTTAGATCATAGAAACATTGGAACGTTTGATAGAAGCTGTGGTCCTCCCTCCAAAAGGATGCACATTTGCACTAATTGCAGACAAGCAGTTTTGCATTTCATTTTGAATAATACTGGACCTTGTGAGAAGTCTGTGGGAAGACATCCCAATCAGATTATACTCATGTACAGCCATCATGTTTACCAGCATTACACCACCCATCCTTGTGAAAAAAAAAGCAGACAAAACACACAAACAGTGGGATTTTTTTTAGTAGTCACTTTTGTAAGTAGTCATTTCTGGCCTCTGCCCTGGAGAGAGAGAGAGATGTCTTGGTCCTGTGATCTCCAGAGCTCTCTTGTTGAAGTTCCACCCAGTTGCTAGCTAGGGTTTATTGCTCAGCAAGCTTACCATATCTATCTAATTCTTGTCTCTTGTCCTCACACTTAGCTCTTTTTTCCTTTTTGGCCTCTCATGTGTTCTTTTGCTTGTTCTGTATCTTTATAAAAATAGCTGAGTTTTTAAAAAAAATAATTGAAGGCCTAATCCCTGGTCTATAAATTGACCAGTTATACTATAGTATTTTAGATTTAAGCCATGGATCATGTTTTTTGGCTGCCTTGTTTTTGGTTACATGCTTAGGACTATTTCTTGGTTCTGTTAAACTTGTTTTCTGGACTACCTGTTCAGTGCTGTTGTAGAATCTGAGGATGTGTAGTGGTAAAATTTTAAGTTATAATTCAATTATTTTAGAACTGGAATTATTCTTAAATTATATGTTGATCTGTAACCTAAAGCAGATTAATTCAGAGTGGTTAAATATGTTGGCTTATATAAATTACAATAAGTATAAGAGATTTCAGAATTGGCACTCGCATGGTTTTTGACATGTTGGCTTTAATTTTGATTTTAAGAGGTTTGTTTATTTGTTTGAAAGCATCTGTTTTTCTGAAAATTCATTTCTGGTTTTCAATTAAATAGGTCTTGGCTACTACCTTTGATCCATATTTGGGTGGCAGGAACTTTGATGAGGCTTTAGTAGACTACTTCTGTGATGAGTTCAAGACCAAATATAAGATAAATGTGAAAGAGAACTCTCGGGCCCTGTTGCGTTTATATCAGGAATGTGAAAAACTAAAGAAGCTAATGAGTGCGAATGCCTCAGATCTTCCACTGAACATTGAGTGTTTCATGAATGACCTTGATGTTTCTAGTAAAATGAACAGGTACTGTGTATGTTTTCAGTTGGAAAAGTGTTTGCTCATTTTATAATGTTAGATTCTGTTATTTGAGAAGATGTGCTCAATTTTTAGATCTCAAAATGACAAATTTTGTTTGATTTTTCCCGCAGGGCTCAATTTGAGCAATTATGTGCTCCCCTCTTCGCCAGAGTTGAACCACCACTGAAAGCAGTAATTGAACAAGCTAGTAAGTGGAGATTATTAGACTAACCATCAAAACTGTAGCATGGGGTTATTCACATGAGTGATATAGGACAGCGATTTTCTCTTTCACTATTTTATTGAATTTATTGTGGTGACACTGGTTAACAAAACTATGCAGGTGTCAGGTGCACAACTCCACAACACATCACCTGTACACTGTATTGTGTGTTCACCATCCAAGGTCAAGTCTATGTTCATCACCATTTATTCCTCCCCCACCCCAGTCACCATGTTGTCCTAGGACAGCGATTTTCAGGCGCTGTGCCTGGAGAATTTTCAACACATGCAATAACTGACTATTTTGTCAAAGGCACCTCTTTTCCCTTCGATTGTCAAAGAAAAAAATGACAATAGCCAACATAACAATAGCTTTCTGGTATTTTTTTTCCTTAACTGGCAAAAAAAATGTATTTTTTGGTGTGGCACAGAATTTTAGTAATTAATTTGTGTGTGTCACAAGATGAAAAATGTTGAAAACTGCTGGTGCAGGAAATGGTAAAAACTATAAAACTTAATGTGTTTTTTAAGATTCGTATTTCTCATTTTAGAAGAGGGGATTATAACTCTTTATTCTTAAAAGTAGGGTACTAGAAATTTAGGTTTTTAAGAACTACTGATTTATTCTATTGTTTATGTCATAAAACTAATGCTAGTAAAATCCAAGGTGTCTAGAAGATTCTAAGAAGGAAAATAAAGTAGAAATGGTTGCCTTTTGTTAAAAGTTTGTGGTAACTAATGAAAAGTAACTTCTGTAGAAAAAAATGTTAAAATTGAAAACTATTTCCAAGGCAAGAAGTGTATTTTGTCCTTTAAAAACATTACTTTCTGTAGGGATTTTTGAGATGGAAGTTAAAACACTGAAGGGCTCTGGAGAGTCACTTTAAAGCCTCTGAGGCGCTGTCTTTATTGCCACTCCATCATCTGGACCAAGTGCAGGGCCCAACACATAGATAATTGGTATTCATTCAATTTCACCTTTTATTCTTATTTTGAGCAAATGAAAAAACCCACTTAGTAAAAAAGTACTTTGCAAGTTCACATTGTTATAAAAGATTATCTTAATTTTTCTCAGTTAAAAACATTTTGCTTTCCAGACTTACAACGTGAAGACATAAGTAGTATAGAAATTGTAGGGGGAGCAACACGAATTCCTGCAGTGAAGGAACAAATTTCTAAATTCTTCCTTAAAGACATAAGTACCACGTTAAATGCTGATGAAGCTGTTGCAAGAGGATGTGCATTACAGGTGTGGTTATTAGCCTTTTTTTAATGTATATTTTACTGGTAACATGGTGATAGGCCTAAAAGGAGTTTAAATATTACCTGTTCTAACCATTTGTCAAAAGGCTAAAAATAGATTGAAATTATTTCTGAAAAGTAAGTCTTATGCCTTTTCTCTTTATATTTTTAAACTATCAGAAGACAATGTCTCTATAACTCTACTGAAAGAACATTTTTTATTTTACGAGTCTGTGAAATTATTCCCCTTTAAAACTTTTTTTTGGTATTTTAAAATATATTAATTTTTGTAAAGTCGCAGAAAGAGTACTGACACTTTTAAATTTTAACTAGTTACCATTAAACATGGTAATTTTTAAAATGTAATAATTTTATTATAGGGACTTTATGAAGCAATTTAATCAAGGGTAACCTAGGGTATGCTTTGTGGGATTTTGTGTGTGTGTGTGTGTGTTTGTTGATGTAAATATGGTGTACATCTTATTTGCAGTGTGCGATTCTCTCACCAGCATTTAAAGTGCGTGAGTTTTCCATAACGGACATTGTACCCTATTCAATCACATTAAGATGGAAGACCTCTTTCGAAGATGGAACTGGGTAACTTACTTTATAAAGCTTTGATTAGAGCTTGTCATAAATAACCAATTGAATCTACTTTTGTAAATTAAAGAAATTTACACTTCTTCAAGTTCTCAAACACATTACATGAAATCTAAGAAAAAACAGTATTGCCCTGGCTGGTGTAGCTCAGTGGATTGAGCGCGGGCAGTGAACCAAACAATCATGGTTCAATTCCCAGTCAGCGCACATGCCCGGGTTGTGGGCCAGGTCCCCAGTAGGGGACACATGAGAGGCAACCACACATTGTTGTTTCTCTCCCATTCTTTCTCCTTCCCTTCCCCTCTCTCTAAAAATAAGTTAAAAAAATTAAAATTAAAATTAAAATTAAAAAATATATAAAAATGATATATGACATGTAAATCATAATGGTATATTTTATAAAAGTAAAACATTCTCATTTTCTAATAAAAATCACAGCATAGAAATGTAAAAATTGAAAAATTGCGTTTGCCGTACCGTCTTCTCCTTAGCCCGTTTATAGAGGTAAGCATTGTTAACAGCTAAGTGTATCTATCCAATATTTCTTTGATATCAAAGAATAAGCATGCGCTTTTTAATGCATACGTTGATCATCTATCTGTGTATCTCCAGTGCAACTTGCTTTTTAAAATATGTTCTATATTACCTTTCCTCACCAACAGACAATAACTGTTTTTTCAACAACATATGTGCCATAATTAATTTAACCACTACATTTTCAAGTCGTATTCTTCCTGTTTTGAGCAGTGCTTTGGGAAGCATCTTTGTTTAGTTCCATTTGGTATGTCTATCAGAGAACCGTGTAGGAGTGAAATTGAGTCAGAGTGTGACCTTAACGTGCACTGCCAGATGTTCACTAAAACGATTTATCAGTTTATATTCCTGTTAACAGTGCCTTAGATTACCCATTTTAGCTTATTTTCTCCTATACTTTTAAATTTAACATTCTAATAGTAAAACTATAGTACTGTGTCATTATATTTGTTTTTCTAACTATTGTAGAAGATAATCTTTTCATACTTCTACTAAATTTATATTTTCTTTTCCATGAACTACCCAGGATTTAAATAGCTGGCTTCTCTATAAAAATAATTTCTTTTAAATATTATATTTTATTTTATTTTACTATTTTTCAGAAAGCTAATTTATACAATAAAGTAAACCTTCATTTAGGTTTTGAAGTTGCATTTAAAAGTTTGTTCTGTATAATATACTATATACTCATACATCCACACCCCCAAGAAATAGGATGTTTGCACAAATTTCAAAAATATAGATTATCAGTCCGATCTGAATGTTTTGCAGAACATTTAAATGGCATGCCTTTCATGTCAATATTGAGGCAAGAAATGACTTTCTTTAAGCTAATTTCAGTTAAAAGTATAAGTGATCCAGAAAAACAAATTACAAGAAAACATAGGGGAGTTAAATTGAAAATTAAATATATTGTAGTGACTACAATAAGAAAGTAGAAAGTAATGGTGGTAGATTCTTGAATACTTAGAGGAAAAAAGTCCATGAATATTAAATTTTCAAATCTTGGATAATTAATTGGATGATGCTATGTATTTAAAGAGTGAATTTCTGGGACACTATAAACAATAGTTATAAACCTGTTACATTATTTAAGGATTAGGAATCGCTTTGTAGGTTTTAAAATTTGTTGTACTGGAAAGAAGAAAGTAGTACAAATAACATTAATATATCAACTGAAAAAATTGAAATTTGGATTATAGATTAAAGTATCAGTGTAAATTTATAGAGTTGACAGTTGCCCTGTGGTCATATTGGAGAATATCTCTGTTAGGAAATACACATTGAAGTATTCAGGGGTTAAGGACCATAAATGTATCTGACACCTTCAGTTCTTTTAGGAAAACAATATACACACAGACAGTGTATGTGCACTCAGATGATGAAGCAAATGGGATGCAGTGTTAACAGTAGCAGATCCAGGTCAAAGATGTATACAAGTGTTACTTGTCCTCTATTTCTTTCTGCACCTTTCTGTGAATTTGAAATTATTTCTGAATAAAAGTTCCTTTTTAAATAAGTTAGAATAAAAAGGATTAGATATGACATGTATTTTGGAAACCAGTAGGTAGGATTTGGTCCTCAGATGTGAGCATAAAAATAATCCCTGTATGTATAGGCCTTAAGGATATAAATATTCTCAGGTATCAATAATTTTTTTTTTGTAGAATTATTACTATAAGACATTCTAAAAACACTGAGCCATAAGCCTGTCAGGTTTGTAGTATAGTTTCTTTTTTTGTAGTTTTGTACATAGAGAGAAGTCTTTATAATTGCTGTTTATGAATTAATAATGAGATGGAGTCTGTAATTATTTTCATAAGCAACTTCCTTTGTTTTGAACTGAGTTTTCCCACTCCACTTTAGGGAATGTGAAGTATTCTGTAAGAACCATCCTGCCCCATTCTCAAAAGTCATCACTTTCCACAAGAAGGAACCATTTGAACTAGAAGCTTTCTATACTAATATACATGAAGTGCCTTATCCTGACCCGAGAATTGGTAAGAGAACTCAAAAAATTGTTCACAATTTTTTATTTTCATAAATAACATGGTAATATTTCAATCAAGGAAAAAATAAGTTGACATTTAAAGTACATATTTTTCTAAATACTTACTTTTTAGTGCTCAGAGTTTATTTCTGGTATAGCAGCAGGTTTGTGCATTTTTAATTCATTTTGACATCTGTATTTAAAATGTTCTGTAATTGGCCTGAAAGGTTTGGGTAAGGATTATTTTTTATGGAAAAACTGTAAATCAGTAAGTTGAAATTGTGCTGCCACACTGATAACATGTTCTGATTTTAAACTTAACCTTGTTGTCAACAAACAAAATGAGTATCATTGAATTAATATGAAAGTGAGAATGGGAGACTGTAGTTGAGTAATCTTTTTAGTGGATTCAAAACAAGCATGATTTTGTATCATTTAAAAGAGAGAATAATTTTTAAGTTGTAAGATGCTCTAGGTACTTCTTTATTGGCAGGCTAGAAAGGGGATGATATAAATATTTCAAGTACATTTATTTATTTTAAATTTAACATACCTTCTTCTTTAAAAGATTTTATTAACTTACTTTTGGGGGGGGATAGGAAGAAAGGGGGAGAAACATCCATCATTTGCCTCTCACACATCCCTAACTGAGGACCACAATCCAGGCATGTGCCCTGACTAAGTTGAACCCGTGGCCTTTTGGTTTGCAGGCAGGCACACAGTCCACTGAGCCACACCAGCCAAGGCTCAAATACATGATTTAAATCAGTAGATACAAATTATTGAATGAGGATTATCTTATTAGGGTTTCTGTAACAAAGTAACGCAAACTGAGTGGCTTAAACAATAAAATTTGTCTTACATTTTGGAGGGTAGAGGTCTGAAATCAAGGAGCTGGCAGGATTGCTTCCTTCTGAGGGCTGCGAGGGAAGGATGCATTCTAAATCTCTCTCCCTGGCATGTAATAGATGGCCGTCTCAGTTTGCCTGAACATTCTCACTGTCTGTGTGTCTGTCTCTAAATAAACATACCAGTAAATGGATTAGAGCCCAGCCTGATAACCTCATTTTAACTGGATTGACCTTTGTAAATACTGTGTCTTTAAATCACCTTCTGAGGTACTGGGCAGGAGGACTTAGTGTATGAATGGGGTGGGGGTAGGGGAGGGACACAGTTCAACCCACAACACAAATCAGCTAGATTGTTTACTGCTCAGTTTTTCTGCCTAGTATTCTCTCTCCACAATAGATATTATATATTTGAGATTTTTTAAAAATAAACCATTAGTAGATTTCTTGAAGTGAAAAATTAATATGACCTCTATAGGAATTAGTGACTGGATAGATAACAGAAATTTTGCTATAGGAAAAATCCTGAAAAGTTTAAGATTGCTTTATTTATGAAATACCAAGATGATTATGATTTTTCAAAGCTTGTAGCAAAAAGGAGTAATTTTTATGTTTGGTTTTCAAATCCCCAAATTGAATTTTATTGTAAAACAATATTATAAAACGTACTTAAAACCTACTTGCTCTGAGTCAAATTGTCCTTGGTTAAAATCCCAACTCTCCTTTTTCCTAGCATTGGTGATTGATTTGGAGCAGGTTGCTTAACCTTTTTGAGTATTAATACCAAGTTTGTTAAGATATGAAAATGGTGATCTGGGGAAAATGCCTGTCCCAAAATAATTAATCTGGATGTGGTAATAAGCTGACAGTTACTTGCCAGCATTGGAAAGATGATAGTCAAATTATTGAATTCAACAAATTAGTAAGAATGAGTTAATCTGAGGCCCACATACTAATCAAAGCTCTTTTTTCTTTAAGGGAGCTTCACTATTCAGAATGTTTTTCCACAGTCTGATGGTGATAGCTCCAAAGTGAAGGTTAAAGTTCGCATCAACATCCATGGAATCTTCAGTGTTGCTAGTGCATCAGTAATTGAGAAGCAAAATATAGAAGGGGACCACAGTGATGTTCCTATGGAGACAGAAACTTCATTTAAGGATGAAAGCAAAGATGATGTGGTATGTAGAAATTCTCGTTCAAGTTCCTCTAATAAAATATGCAGTATTCTAATCATTACTAGTACTTTAATAGTTGAAAACATTAACCACTCAGTTTTTGCTCTGATGTTCTCTTGTGGGAATCAGTATGAACTTTTAAAATAAAAACACTGAAGACTATTTCTATTTAAAATGCTGTACTCACATTGTAACAGACTTCATAGGCTCTGCATAGTGTTATATGGAACACATGCATTTATGTGTTTGGAGTCATCTTTCTTCAGTCCTTCATTTCCATTAAAACCATGTACTCTGGCTAGCCTTTTCAGTTTACAAATAAAGCCAATTCAGAGTGATAAGTTTTGAAATGTACACACATGTATTTTTAAATCAAAAATACATGCTTAGTAAAGAATTTTTCAGAGCTCATGGGATGTCTGTGGCAGTTGAGCAGAAGAATGTGCTGTACATTCTAGTAACACTAAAATACATGTTTTTGACAGTTTATTTCTATATGAAAGAGTTCGTGACCTTAACACTGTATTTACTTTTCATGTACTATAGATGGGAGGGATCTCAGAAGAACATGATTATGTTCCATTACACAAAGTTTTTGTCTTTTAATGTACACTCTTTGTGAGATTTTTTTTCAATCTTAATTGGTGATCCCTGATTTTTCATGTATTTGTGCATATTAAGAATGGATTTTTGTTATTAAATGGGTGCTAGACTCATCAGGGTGATCACTTTGTAAGTTATATAAATGTCTAATGACTATGTTATATGCTTGAAAATATAGTACTGTATATGTCAACTGTAAAAAATATAATAGGTTGTTAAAATCAATATCAAGACAATTTTATCCTTACAAAGGTGGTCCTTTGTCTGTTTTCATTAATAACTACTGTAAAATCTTCCAGATTAGATCAGATTTCTACCATGACTCTTTAAAAGTACTGCATTTAAGGACCGTGCATGTTCTTTCATTCTTCCTGTGTGTTATTTTACTGTTTATGTCCTTCCTCACTCAAATTGAGAAGGAAATGCCCTGATGTGTTATGAAGATACGGTTTTTCATAAATTAACATAAGAATAATGGGTAAAAAGTTAATTTTCTTATAGTTCACAACTTTTGGCAGACATGAAAATTTATCCATTAAGATTAATTTTTACTAAAATTGAGAGCACACTGTATACCTTCTAGAATGAGTTCTTTATAACTATTTTACTTCTTTCACCTTTTCTGCTGAGACTTTCACTTTGTAAAGTTAGAGAATCCTGGGCACTAAAACAAGAATAGCGTGGCACCCGTTTCCTGCTTCCCCAGCATTTCTGATTCGCTGCTTCTTTTTAATGTACCTGAAATTTGGATGGGTCTTGCAAATGATGACAATATATATTTACTGTTGCTAATGGGAATAATGAAGACACTTCTCATCACCTGTGCAGTGTGAACTTAGTTGTTATTCCTAATGGCAGGAGTAGGCAATTGCAGCCCCTTGACATTTTAGTCAAGTTGTGTGAGGACTGACCATTCGGGGAAGGAGTGAGTACAAGTTCTGGTGGTTGTATGAAAGCATCTGCTGACTTCTGCTAAAGAAAACACTGTCATAAAACTTGCAGAGTAGCTATCAGTAGTTCATAAGGAAATTAAATGAGGGGCCCACACTGGAGCAATTTTTAAAACAAATGATCTTTACAGCACAAAGGACAGTATTATATAGAAAAATACAGACATTAACAACTGAACTGACTGATTTAGAAACATTGGATTCTGAATGGGAAGTTTTAGAACTCCCTTAACCACTTTATTTGCTTAATTTTCCTTTAGATATATAAATATGCACACAATAGAAAAGCTCTTTCAATAAGTATAAAGATGCTAAGTGATTAAGCATTTTGGCCATTTAATTGGCAGCATTTTTTACTTTGTATTACATGAAATAGAGTTAATAATGTATTTGTGTCTCCCTACATTACTTCAACTCACCATTGTCACTTTTTTCGCCTCTTCTCAGTCACAGGGTTGGAGAAACTGTAGGGTTGGAAGAGGTGGGGAAGTTGGAAAATCAGAGGTAATTGACCTCTTAACTACAAAGAATACTTCCAACTTGTTTTTCTCTTTGGCACAAATAAGCATTTATTCAGGATAGCCCTCTGAGTATTCTATATGTGCTTAACTCTAGATGTATGAGAAAGACTAAATTATGCTGCTTCCTGAATTCTAAGCTTTCTTCTCTTTGGAAAGATAGTTGAGAATAAGGTTAAGAAAAACCAGAACAATCTAATACTTAGGGTTGTTTGCCAAGTGGAGAGTCCATTTGGCAGTCTTATATGGTTGAACATTTGTCTTTTAGACACTAAAAACATTTTTAAGTTTATGTTGTAATAATTCAGAGATAAATACTTGGACGATTTTGATGTATTTCTTTGAGTATTTTTCTACATTTGTAAGATATAGTTGAATTTATGTGATATATAAAATGTGTATCTTTTTCCCACATTATTTATTAACATTTTTCTTTTTTAATTTTTTGTGCTTTCATATTTTTATTGTATTTTGCATGACCACTTATGCCCTTATATCCACTCACCCCACTGTGCATGTCAGCGAGTCCTTTTTTCTTTTTCTTAATCCTTCCAACCCCTCACCCCCCACCACAATAGCTGTCAGCCTGTTCTTTATCTTTGATTCTGTTTTTAGCTTTATTTGCTTCTTCATGTCATGTTTAATGTTTTTTTTTAATCAAGTTTGCTTTTGTGAATTTGACTTGAAAATTTTCCATTTATTTTGCAGAGGGGCATTTTGGCCATGGATAAATGAAACAAGTTTTTTTTTCACAGCACCAAATAGATCTTTTCATTTTAATTACCTGTTATTTGTAGTTATTCTCATTGGGAAAATGAGCTTTTCTTTTACTGTGTTCACACAGTTCAAAACAAGCTTGAACTCTAAGATGCTATTTATTAAAATGTAAATATAATATGAATATTACCATCAATTATATACTTTCTTTTCAGGATAAAATGCAGGTTGACCAAGAAGAAGGTCATCAAAAATGCCATGCTGAGCACACCCCAGAAGAGGAGATTGATCATACAGGAACCAAAACAAAGGTTTGTTTTACTGTTTTTATGGGTTTGTCTTTTTGAGATTGATAATTCAAGTTCATCTGTTTACTTTATAATTCATGTTTTCAATGCACTTGATATTTTTATTCTTACTATTGTATAACTGTATAGAAAGTATATAGACAAGAATAAATACATTTCAAAAATTTATATTATAGAGGATATTTTAAAGAATGAACTGTGATAATACTATAGGTAAAATAAAATTTTTGGTCAGAAAAAAATGTGGTTTTTTTGTAATTTCTTTCCTCATTAAAAATCGTACAGTCTTGCCCTGGCTGGTGCGGCTCAGCGGATTGAGTGCCGGCCTGGGAGCCAAAGGGTCACCTGTTCAATTCCCAGTTGCACATGCCTGGGTAGTGGACCAGGTCCCCAGTAGGGGGCATGTGAAAGGCAACCACACATTAATATTTTTCTCCCTCTTTCTCCCTCCCTTCCCCTGTGTCTAAAAATAAATAAATGAAACTCTTAAGAAATCATACAGTCTCAGAGAAAACAGAAAATGGAATAAGCCAAATGAAGAAAACTTAAATTAGCAATAACCTTGCAGCTCAAAGTTAACTACTGTAAGCATCTGGCCGCATATTGTATTTTTCTTTGTGCAAAAACAAATATTCTTTAAAGTAAGAATTTAAAGGATGAACAACTCTGTTATTGAGAGTCATTGTTTTACTAAGACATCCTTTCCTTTCTCATCCTAAGCGAGATAAGTCAGATAGAAAAAGTCAAAAACCTTATGATTTCACTCATGTGGGATATAAAACTGAAAGCAACAAATAAATAAGACAAACAAAAACTCAGACACAGACAACAGAGGGAGGGGTGTGGGTAGAAAGAAAAGGATAAAGGGAGTGAGATACATGATGACGTAAGATCTGACTGTGGGTGGTGGGCACACCATGCAATGTATGGATCGTGGTCACAGAAATGTGCACTTGAAGCTTATATAGTCTTATTAACCAATGTCACCACAATACATTTAATTTAAAAAGTGATATCATTGCCAATGAAAGAAGAGAAAGGCCTGCCCCAATCACCTAGATAAATATGGCCTTCTAAACTGTCATCTTCAATAGGTTTTTCTAACCTGAACAGAATTTTTTCTGTGCGGGTTAGCCATATAGATTCTTTTCCCAGAGGTTTTAAAGGTTCAGTTATAAATCCTAGGCTCTTAATTAATTGAAAACCTGAAACTCATTTTTCTAATTTTTAATTTTACCCACTTTTTTTGCCTTTAACAGCTTTATTAAGTAAGATACAGTTTACATACCGTGCAATTCACCCATTTAATTCAATTCAGTAGTTGTTAATATACTCAGGCTTTTGTGACCTCATCACAGTCAATTTTACAACATTCTCATCACCCCAGAAGGAAGCCCTGTGCCCATCAGCGGTCACTGTTTTCCCCCAGCCCCTCCCTGCCAGCCCCAGCAGCAATGGTCTTTTGTCTCTAGATTTGCCTGTGCTGGACACTTTCTGTAGATACAATATGTGATTCTTTGTGAACGGCTTCTTTCACTAATGTTGTCAAGGTTCATCCAGGTTGTAGGATGTGTCAGTACTTCATTCCATTTATAGCTGAATCATTTTGCATTTTATGGATACATACCACATTTTATCTATCTGTTCTAAGCTAATGAACATTTATGTTTTACCACTTTTTTACTATTATGAATAATTCTATTATGAACAATCATGTACAAGTTTTTATGTGGATGTATATTTTCATTTTTCTTGGGCATGTACCTAGGACTGGAATTGCTGGGTTATATGGTATGTCTGTGTTCAATATTTTACAGTGTTACCAGCAATGAATGAGGGTTCCAGTTTCTCCACATCCTCACCAACTCTTGTCACTTTTCATTTTTTATATTATAGCCCACTTGGTGGGTGTGAACTAGCATCTAATTGTTCCAGCTCAGTACTTTTTATGTAGAAAGACTTGGTGTATACACAGGGTATACATTACTATCAGCATTTAAGTAGTATTTTAAAGACTTTATTTATTTGTTTTTAGAGAGAGGGGAAGGAAGGGAGAAAGAAAGGGAGAGAAACATGGCTTGGTTGCTTCTCATACGCATTCCCACCAGGACTGAACCTGATGGATCCAGGCTTGTGCCCCAACCAACTGAGCCACATCAGTCAGGGCTAGAACAGTAGTTTCAAGTGAAGTATAGTAGGTTAAAAGTTTTGTTGGTTTGCCTTTTTTGTTTTGAATCTTTTTTTTTACTTTTACTTTTTTATTGTTGTTCCAGTACAGTTGTCTGCATTTCCCCCCCAGCACCCCTCTAACCCCAGCCATCCCCACCTCTCTCCCCTGATCCCACCCTCCTTGGTTTTCTCCCTGTTTCCTTTATAGTTGTTTTAGAAACTTTACATTATTATTAGTTTTAGAAATTTACATTATTGTTCTCTTGCATTTCTTTTGCAGTCAGCTTCCTCAGACAAACAAGACCAGTTAAACCAGACCATTAAAAAAGGAAGAATCAAGAGTATTGATCTACCCGTCCAGAGTAGCCTGTGCAGACAGTTGGGCCAAGATCTTCTGAATAGCTACATTGAAAATGAGGTATATAAACCTGAGTTGATATTAAAACAGGTGGTAGTATATTCTGAGATTTTTCTAGAAGTCAGTGATTATCACCTATATGGGGGAACTATCCTATATGCCTAAGGAATGAAGTAGATCATCCAGCCACTTTATACTGAGCATAATATCGAGCTGTATTAATGTCATGTACAATTTAGTTTTCATCTTAGTTGTATGAAAAACATGATTATCTCCGCTATAGAGGAAGACCATTCCAACAGTAATGATTCTCGCCCCTTTCTGTTGTCTTTAGCAATATCGCCCAGCCCATGTCACACAGGAAAGTGTCAGCAGCTTCCCTCTTCTAGTGTGTTGCCCTGAAAGATGAAGGATCCATCTGAATGCTTTCTCACTTTCATTTAGTACTTTTTAATATCTGTTGACGTTCTTGAAATTTTCTTTATATCTCTAAATGTTTAATTTTAGTCTCTTAAAGAAAAAAGTTTTGTTTCTTTACCGGTAGTTGTTAAGAGGTAATTTATTTTTATTTTTTAAATTTACATTTAATTAATGGTTTCTAGTTGCTACAGGCTTGGCTGGCATTAAAGAAGGTCAGTTTCTTTAAGTGCCCTAATATTCTTCCATCTGCTGCATTATTCTAAGATTTAATGTTAGTGCTTGCTCTTTTTAGTACCAGACTATATCAGAGTGATTCATTGATTATTGAAAGCTGTATTTTATGTGAATAAAGCATTCCTGCAGACCCTGATAAATTCAGATATTTATCAGATAAATATCAGATAAATTCAGAATTTGTATGTTTTGAGATTAATTTTCCCAAACGAATGATTATGGGGAAGCACAAGTATGGCAAATTTTGAGTATAAAATTATGTCTCAAGTTTTTAAGTATCTCACTATTTTAAAGTCACAAGTGTCAGTTTACTGAAGTCTTGTGTTTAAAATGCTGCTTTTGTTAAAGTGAAAATTTTGTTCTTTAAGTATTACAATTCCCAGATTATTTTTTTTTGCTTTTTATTATAACCAGTAATTTTTGCTGACATCTTAAACACTTTGATGGCTTATTTAATCCTCAGAACAGCCCTATGATGTGATGCACTGCTAGAGATCTACATTTTACAGATGAGGAAGCAGGAATAGGTAGAGTGGATCACCCAAGGTCAGAGAGTAACCTTTCATTTGAATCCAGGTGGTCTCTCTCCAGAGCTCAGAGTCACAACCACTAGACTGCATCCCTCCCAGGGCTAACATTTTTTTCAGCACCAGATGTGTCAGGTGCTGGACTAAATATTTCCCATGTGCTGTGTCAGTTTGACTGACATCCCTATGAGCTCGTTACACTTACGCTCTCTATTCTAGGATGGGAAAACTGAGGCTGAGAGGCTAGGTGACTTTGCTGAGATTTCATAGCTAATAAATGGGGAGCCGAGGATTTGAACCTCAGTATGTACAATGACATAACATAGTCTGTGTGGGTTTTTTAAATAAACTCTAATCCACTTTCTGTTTCTATGAATTGGCCTATTTTAGATGAATGTAATTACACAATATTTATTGTATAAATATAATCATGCAGTATTTGTCCTTTCGTGTCTGACTTAATGCACTTAGCAGATATTTTCAAGGTGTATCCATGTTGTAACATCTATCAGAACTTTTATAATAGAGTAATATTCCATTGTGTATATATGCATTTCATTTATCCATTCATTGTTATGTGCCATTCAGTTGTTTCCACCTCTTGGCTGTTATGCATAGTGCTGTAGTGAACCTGGGCATACAGACACCTGTCCGCATTCCTGCCTTCGGTCCCTTTGGATCTACAGCAGCAGTGAGATTGCTGGTCCTGCCGCGATTCTTTGTGTAGCTTTGGGAGGAACCTCGCAACTGTTCTGTCACAGCGGCAGCGTTTTACTTTCTCAACAACAGTGTGCAGGCACTTCAAATTCTCCACCTTCTCATCAACACTTACATTTAATTTTTTGATTTAGTCATCCTAGTAGGTGTACAGTGATATTTCATTGTGGTTTTGGCTTGCATTTCCCTAACTCCCTAACGTTCTTAATGGCAACTAATCTGAAACTTTTTGAATAGGGGAAAATGATAATGCAAGATAAGTTGGAGAAAGAAAGAAATGATGCTAAGAATGCTGTTGAAGAGTATGTATATGATTTTAGAGACAAGCTGGGCACCGTCTATGAAAAATTTATCACTCAAGAGGTAAGTCTAAATTTTACAATTTTAGAACTACTTAAGCATTTCCTTGATGCTGCTAAGTGTATTAAATGTACTATTGGCAATCTTGTTAAACATATTTAGGAATGCTTCTTAGTCATTTTTCCGATTTGCAAAAGTATGATGAACAAAAAATTGTAGTCAGAAAAGAATTAAAAAGAATTCACTTTTTCTGAATTAAAAAGTCAGAGAAATGTGAAATTTAGTTTTTTATACTTGAGAACATTGTGTCCTTCAGTGATCAGAGGACTTTTCATCGGTGTTTCTTAAATGTGTATCTAGGACTTGAAAAAGCTGTCTGCAGTGTTAGAAGACACAGAAAATTGGCTTTATGAAGAAGGAGAGGACCAACCTAAACAAATTTATGTAGATAAGCTTCAAGAACTAAAGGTAAATTTTTTAAGTCTATGTTAATGTCAAATAGAATATTAAGTTTTTCTAAAAATTGGTTAAGAACAGACAGTATTTTTTTCATAAATATGTAAGAAACTTCTAAGGCAGATGTGTGTTAAGAGGAAATCTTCTTTTTCATTTTAAAAACATTTTGAGAGGTGAGTAGTGCTACATGTAATTGAAATCAAATAATGTATAATCATATCTGTCTATCATGATATTCAGATATACATATTTATAAGATGACCAGAGTGTTAGTATTACTTTAACAAACTATATATTTCTTTTTTTTTTAAGTATTTATTTATTTATTTATTTATTTTTCTAGAGAGGGAGAGAAACATCAATGCATGGTTGCCTCTCATGCGCCCCCAAATGGGGACTTGGCCCCCAACTCAGGCATGTGCCCTGACTGGGAATCAAACCAGCAACCCTTTGGTTCGAAGGCCAGCACTCAATCCACTGAGCCACACCAGCCAGGGCACAAGCCATATATTTCTGAGAAGAAGTGATTTGTCAGCCTGACCCCTTCTTATCAGAGGAGTAACACTTCCTCAGCCCCTTTCCTCCTTCACTGCTCTGATTTTGAAGGGTAATATTTTCACATTGCCACTGATAGAGATACCTAGCAAGCAAAAGAAGTACAAAAGTAGGATTCCTGTACTGCAAAGAAATAGGAGAAGTGGTCACTAGGTTCCCTTTTTCTAGACCAGTGTTATAATGTTCAGAAAAGACCGCTTATTAATCCTTTCCTCCCACTTATGACCCAGCCTTCCCCCTCCCCTGAAAAAACCAGTTTGATTAGAGGTTCAGACAGACAGGACGACAGGGAGTTTTAGTCTGTCCTTCGTAATGTGGATCATAGCAGTGCTTTAACGTGCACACGTGCTGGGGCTCTTACTGAAACGCAGACCGTGATTCAGTACACAGGGGTGGGTCCGTGGTTCTGCAGCTTTAACAAGCTTCTAAGAGATTCTGGTGCTGCTGGTCCCTGAACCATTCTTTGAGTAGCAAAGGAATACGTACATGCTAAGTAATGACATTAATAAGGGTCTCTAGATTATGGGAGAAAGCAACCCTTTAGCTGGAGAAGAAAAGGGCTGCAGAGAAGTTTGTTAAAAGTGAAAGAGTTCATATCTTACAACAATTACTTTCATACTAATAAATTACTTCCAAATTAGAAAGTAACTACGCTTGTGGTAGCAATACTAGGCTTTATCATATTTTAGTTTCTTGGTGGTTTTACTCCCCATCTCCCTAAGAGAATGTATGTATTATGGGCCATAGGAACAGCCAGTCAACTAAAGCCAATAGAAATAACTGGAAAAATGTAGAAGCACCCAAAATGGATATTTTGTCTCAAATGTATAAGTAACCGTTAAAAAATGAATGTTACAGAATTTTTATAGGCTCTACTATTGTTTCGAGATGGCTTTTAGAAGTTAAAAACTCAGTCCTTGCTTCTCATTCAGAAACATTTATAATGCAAAGTCTGATGGAAACAGACTAAATGCAGTAGGGTACCCTGGAACGGAAAGGATGAGGTCGGACTAAAGTCGGGAGTTCAGTTCATAGTGAAGCACCAGGGTTGGTTCCTCAGTTTTGACCAACGTGCCCTGCTGGTGTAGCATGTGAACATCAGGGAAAAGCGAGGACGGGTGCTTGGCCTCTCCTTTGACGGGTGCTTTGGCATTTCCTTTGTAGCTTTTCTGAAAATCTAAAATAAGCTGATTTTTATTTAACTGTGTAAAGGATTCAGGAGAAATAATTATTCATTCTTCCAATGCATCCCCCTCCTCAAAGTTATAGAGATTGTTTTAACATTCAGTAAAACTCCCCATACCAGGGCCCAAAGGTCTATTTTTTAAAGCTCTGCATTTATAATACAGTATACATTTTAATGTAATGAATAAATATAATGTACATAAATATTCAATGTCTTCTGTTAAAAAGTTCTTATATGTTAGTAACCTTTTCTCTAAAAAAAAATCCTTATGTTAACAGAAATACGGCCAGCCTATTCAGATGAGATACGTGGAACATGAAGAGAGACCAAAAGCTTTAAACGACTTGGGGAAAAAGATCCAGCTTGTCATGAAAGTGATAGAGGCGTGCAGAAACAAGGTACTGAGCTCACAGCACCGGGTGGTGGTGGCGCGCGTGGTGCGTGGTGAGCGGGAGGCAGGCCCCGAGGTGCTCGGCCGCAGAGCCGTAGCCGCGGTTGTCATGCAGTTTCAGAGACACTCTGCATCGGACTCGAAACTTGTTTTTTTCTGTTGGATAATTGTCAGTTAGATACTAATACATTTAAAATACAGTGTAGGTATGTGGCTTTAATTTTTTTCATTCCCTAAAACCGCATTATAAATTCATCCGGTGACCAAATCCATTATTGGTACAGTGAGAGGGGTTTTCTTGAACCTTTCGTATTACAGGCGCTTTTGAGAGTGGACTCTGCTAGCTTTCGTTTTGTCCTACGGTCCCTTTTTCTTTTGGTTCATCTCGTCTTCCAGTCCATTAGTCATTGTAATTCCCTGTACCCATTGGTCTTTTATATCCATACCCAAATCTATATTACTACCCTTGACCTTTCCACTGATTTTTTAAAATTTATGATTGATTGATTTTAGGGAAAGAAAGGAGAGAGAGAAACACTGGTTTGTTATTACACTTATGTATGCATTCATTGGTTGACTCTTGTATGTGCCCTGTTGGGGACTGAACCTACAATTTTGGTGAATCAGGACAATGCTCTAACCAGACCAGGGCAAACTTTTCACTGATTTTAAGCTTTGAAAATTTAGTTATATAAATGATCTCTTATCTCCATTGGATGCAAGTAACAGTAAGATTTAACAAAATTAGGCTTATATTTTATTACTCTAAGCCAGAGGTTAGCCAGCTTTTTCTTTAAATGAGCAAATATTTTAGGCTTGCAGGCCTTATCTCTATGCAGCTATTCAACTCAGCATTGCAGTGCAGAAGAAACCTTGTATGTTATGTGGGTGAACGGTGATGGCAACGTTCCTAAGTCAACTTCATGGAAAAACAGGTGGCAGGTTGCGTTTGGCCTGCAGGACAAGTTTGCTGACTCCTACTTTAAATATTCCATGTAATTTTCCATGTCATTGCCATTACATTGAATTTGAATTGCAGTTAAATCTACATCAGTGGGCAGGAGAGGCTAACACCAGAAAGAATGAGGCAGAGTGTCATAATAATAGCTTACACTGATCAAGCACTTAGTGACTTTGAAGCATTTTTATATGGATTATCTCACTTGATTCTCACAAAAAATATATAAGAAAACTCCATCAGTTACACAACTTGTGAAGAATTACAGAGGTTGTGAATGGTGGGATCAGGATTAAAACCTAAATGGTCTGAACATAACATACAAACTGTTAACTGTAGCACTTTTCACTACACAATGTGGAAAGAGGTTACTAATAATACAAAAGGATTTGTGAAACTCATAAAGTAAGATTGCTGACAAAGACTCCAGGTACCAGTGTGAACATGCCTGCCAGTGTCAGCGTCCAAACTGTTTTTACAAGTACAAATAGAAAGATGATGGAAAGGAAAGGAGGAGTAAGCAGACAAATGAAAACACCAAGACTGTTTCAAACTTGGCCCTGGAGAGTTCCAGACAAGAACTATGGCCCAGTGTTCCCAGGCTTTTAACGGTCTTCTTGAATGTGCAGATTTAAGGTGTCATCCAAAGCAAGGCAGAATCCACTTATGTCCAAGGATTTTGAGGTTTTATTATGTGCCAGCCTCTCATCAAGGTGCTGGAACTATAGCCTCAAACAAAACATTGACCCTTATACTTCAGTGGGGAAAGATGGATAAAAGTTGCTGGAGAGTAGTCAGGTGGTGGTGAAGGGCTGTGGAAAAAGTAAGGGGCTGCCAGAGGGGAGACTTGTTAGAGGGCAGACTGCTAATAAGAGGACATACGCGGGAGGGGAGAACTGACAGAGCTGAGGGCTCAAGATGCATGGTAACTATAAAAAGAAAGTTCTAGGAAAAGGGAATAGCAGTTGCCAAACTTCACGGGGAGAACACGTTGAAGGAACAGCATGGAGGCCGGTGCAGCTGAGAACAGTGGGGAGCGGGGTTAGCGGTTGCCAGATCGTAAAGGCCTACTAGGGTAGGCCTTTAGAAAAATTTGGCTTTTCCTCTGAGAATAGGAATCCATTGCAGGTTTTGAGCATAGAAGTAATATGATTTAACTTAGTTTTTGAAGGATCTTGAAACAGAGACTAGTGAAGGCGTTATTAGAATCATACGGTCTACGGCCACACCACCCTGAACACGCCCGATCTCGTCTGATCTCGGAAGCTAAGCAGGGCCAGGCCTGGTTAGTATTGGATGGGAGAATCATACAGGCCAGAAATGAGGGGAGGCTTGAACCCTGATAGCAGTGGAGAAGAAAGTGTTTGTATTTTTGCTGCCTGTATTTTGAAGGCAGAGTTAATATGATCTAATAGATTTTATATAAATATAACAGAAAGGAGTCCAAGATGACTCAAAGGATTTTCATCTGGAAGGATGAAGTTACCATTTCCTGAGATGGTGAAAGCTAGAAAGAGTAGGTAGGGAGGTAATCAGGTGTTTCAAGCATCGGTCGTCATTTCAGACTTTGCAAATAGAAATTCAAGTTGGAAATTGGATATACAGTTAAGATTTCAGGGCAGACGTTCAAGGCTAAGGATTTTTTTTTAAGTATGCTGGAGCATGGATGAAGAGGAACTTAAGAAATGATCCATGAAATTGGAAGGAATTAAAGAAAATGGGGGCACCCAGAAACTAACTCAAAGATAAATGGATACATCATTTGTAATCCATACAAGTGGAAAGATAAGTTGAGTATCTCATGAAGCTTTATGGTTTTAAACATTAACATCACCATCCTCTCAGTTCTTTGGCTTCGGAGTGTTCTTTCTTTTTCCCTTTATTTTTCACATTCAATCAGTAATTTCTTTAATATGTTGCTTTTCCTTTTTTTTTTCCTGAATCCGTGGCTAACAGTCTAAACCATGACTTCTTAAACTGCCTTATGTGTGTGGCAGCTGCATTCCTCTTTTTCACACAGAATTTTATTATGTAATCCCTTTTTACTATATTTATTTTGTTTTACTATATTATTTTGTGTTATATTCACAATTTTCTGTTCAGTTCTGTATGCCTGCTTCCCTTTTTTCACTTTAATCTCTACCAAATTCAATTCCATAAGCTTCTTTCTTGGCTAATTACCTTTCCTTGAATATTCACCACTAGTCATTTTCTTACAAATCTGAATCCTTCAGAAAGCCTTTTTTTTTAAGAACCCACACTGATTTTTTTCTTTCTTCCAGTCTCTTCAGTTTTATGTAATCTGTATGTGGCTTCTTCACATGGGTATGTGCAAGGTGTACATTCAGTAAGAGTCTGAATCTTTTAAGTAAAAATTACTAATATAATTTACTTACTAAAAAATCTTTTCCATTAAGTAAAGTTTTTTTTAATAGGATGAAAGATATGATCATTTAGATCCTGCTGAAATGGAAAAAGTTGAAAAGTATATAAGTGAAGCAATGATTTGGCTGAACAGTAAGATGAATGCACAGAATAAACTAAGTCTTACTCAAGATCCAGTGGTGAAAGTTTCAGAAATAGTTGCAAAGTCAAAGGTAAGAAACCATACAATACTCTTTTTTAAGGGGTTAAAGCATGAAAAATTTTTTTAATTGGAGACAATTTTTTATTTTGGAAAAGAAAAGATAGTAGGTGGGACATCTGTGTTCCTTGGCTTCATTAGTCACATACACACAGCTGATTTGTAAATTCTAAGTGTAACACAGAATGAAATAAAAGCTCGACAACTTTCAACTGTCAAATATGTCAGGCTTTTCTGTATTGGGCAGGACTTCCAAGTCTGCATTGTAAAACGTGGCAGTACAGGTCTAGTGTGTCTTTGACACAATTCAAAATGTGTTTAATTCTGCGGTAAAGTCTTACTTCTAGTAGTTTCCTGTCTAAAAATATGGCTGATGAAAATGTCAAAGTTTGTAATAGAAAACATGAAAAATATGGGGACAAACTTTTTAATAAAGATCAACATCAAAGCAGGAGTATGAATAAAGATACTGGAGAAGCAGCTGACAAAAAAAATGCACGTTTGACAAACATATAAAATACAAAAGTAGTATTTATCCTCATCACTAAATCTACAAAATGCAATTCTCTTTTCACCCATCTGATGTGTTTACATTTATAATCTTGGCTGTAGTTAGTTGTCAAGGGTGTAAAGAAATGGATGCTCTTCTTGAGCAACTTGGTTAAATTTGCTACGTCTTTTCTGGGATATTGTTTCACAATATGTATAGAAATTTACATATTCTATGTAAATACATAGAATAAAAATACATAGAGTAATACATAGAATTATAGATAGAATAATACATAGAAATTTAAATATTCTATGTAAATACATAGAATAATAATCTAAAGTTATCTCACTATATAGATGAGTGTGTTCATAGATTTATGTATTTGTATATGTCTGTGTGCCTGGGCATACATCTAGAGGGGTTTTCACCAATGTTAATATCTGTAGGATATGGAATTTCAAGTGAATTTATAAATCTAGTTCAGTATGTTTTTAGGTGTCTGATTTTTTTTTTAAAAACAGAAACAGGTATTTTTTAAAAATCAAATAGAGCACTAAAATAATTCCCAATTTACTCTATGTTTTACAAAGAAGCTGTAATAATGTACTCCTAATCAAATGCAGTGCAAAGTGTGATGAGAACCATTTGCCATGAAAACATTCCTTCAGGATGTTGCTCCCTGTCTTCCCATCCCCGTCCTGGTCTCTGTGACACAGGCCTGAGAAGGCTTTAGTGACCCTTTTATTTTTCTGTGAATGACATAGGAATACACTGTATTTCTTCCGAATTACTAAGTTGCATTTACTTTTATGGCTTTATTTTTCCTTCAACAGAAAAGCCTACTCACCTGTTTTCAAAAAGTCAAGTTAGTATGTTTTCTTGTAAATGTTGAGAAATATTAATTTATGAAATAGATTAGTATTTGATATATTAAATATTTGATATTATGAAATATCAAATAGTTATTTGACATAATTCTCATAACAGCACTAGGCAGATTTAAAGGAATTAAAAATTATTTCCAACAGTAATTTGAGGAGATAAATGCATCCCTATGTTCATAGCAGCATTTTCACAATAGCTAGGGAAGCAACATAGGTGTCTGTTGATAGATGAATGGATAATGAAAATGTGTGGTTTATATACACAGTGGAATATTAGCCATAAAAAAGAATGAAAAATTGCCATTTGCACCAATATGGGCGGATTTGAGGGTTTCATGCTAAGTGAAATAAGTCAGAGAAAGACAAATACCATATGATTTCACTTATGTGTGGAATCTAAAAAAAACAAACAAGACAAAATAGAAACACTCATAAATACAGAGAACAAAACTGATGGTTGCCAGGGGAGGGGAGTAGGTGTAAAAAGAGAAGGGGAATAAGAGGTACAGACTTCAGTTACAAAATAAAGATGTCATGGGGATGTACTGTACAGCATAGAGAATGTAGTCCGTGATACCACGATGGATGATGACGGAGAGTTAACAGGTTTGTCGTGATGGTCGCATCATAAGGTATATAAATGTTGAGTCAATGTTGTATACCTGGAATTAATACAACATTGTATGTCAACTATAATAAAAATAAAGTTTTTAAAAATACATACAAATTATTACTGATGAAGTAAATGGGAATAATTTTTAGGAAAATTAGATACAAAAAGCATTGAATGATTTGTCACCATTGACATGCACCCAGAAGGTAAATCCTTCATTGAGGTACTTGAAGAAACATTTGGTTACCTAACTGAGCTGACATAAATTCAAGAATGTGAATATTGAATTACATGAAAATTTAGGAAGTTAACATGGAACTGAACAGTAATATTTTTAATGTAATCAAAATTCTTCATGTTTTTAGGAACTGGATAATTTCTGTAACCCCATCATTTACAAACCCAAACCAAAAGTAGAGGTTGCAGAAGACAACGCCAAAGCTAATAGTGAGCACAATGGACAAACGGATGGACAGAGTGGAACTGAAACTAAACCAGATACAACAAAAGACAGCTCACAGCCTACTAAGTCTTCCGGACAGATGGAAGTGGACTAAGGCTTAATTTTACCTTCATGCAGTTTAAACAGTGCAAGTAACCACGGGGTCCATTCTTCTTTTGCATCTGGTACACACAACAGATGTTCAGTTGTTCTTAACTACTTTTGTCATTTGTTTTTTGGAGTAGTTTTGAAAAGTGTTTATATTGAGTACACATCTGTTCATTTCTGTTGCTGCTTATGCGAAGCTTTAGCTGAATATCGAGTTACAAGTCAGTTTAAGCTTTCCTGATATATTTTATGTCACATGCAAGATTGATACCTATGTAGTTGGCAACAGTCTACCTTATTTAAAGCTTCTACTTGGATAAACTTCAGCTCCTTATTCAGGAAAGGATACGGTATTGCACTATTGTTGCAGAAGTATAGATGTAACTAACAGATCATTATTTTGAAAAACAAAAACTGAAATTGGTGTGGTATGAAGTCACTGAGGCACTGACCTTTTTCTAGTGATTGTATTGTTCTAACTTAAATATTAAAACAAATACAAGGTTCCTCAACAAATTGGTCCATCTCATTGGTGTGCCATGAAAACTCCAAAACTTTGCTGTTTAATCACATAAATGAACAACAAATCACATGTTGAAAGGCAGAATGCACAATGTTATGCTAAGGTGACGCAGTAGTTTTCCTCATTGATAATATGGATTAATGTTTTCTTAGAGTAATTCAGTGTCATTTCTACTTGAAACTTCTGATCTCGTTTTCCAGAAGACATGCTATGTAATAGTAGCCTAAAGAAAAGAAAGCATTTTTGGCGAAAAATCTTAAGTAGGAAACACTGTTGACCTACTCAGACATGTATCTTTGATGTTGATGGCCTTGTTTCAGTTTTAATAGTTCCTTTAGTTTTAGTAATTGATTTTGTTCATATCTTAACATAGGGCAGGGGAAGATGGCACAGTGTGTTATATATATGTACATTTATCACTGAAGTACTTAATGTTAAGATACAGATTAACACTATTAAATAAGCAGTAATACTTGAAAAGAAGCACTTACACCGTAAGTCTTAGGAAATAATGCTTGTAATAAACTTAACTGTGTTACATATCAACAGGAAAAATATAGAATGTTACATAGTGTAATATCCTTTGGTGTTATTAAATTACAGTTCCTGCTGTTATATTACCTGTTCAGACCTTGGCTCCAGTTTTGGTGCTTCTTATATAAATGATACAGGACAACGGGCTGTGAAATTAAGATTTTTTGAGGACTTAATCTGTGTTTCGTCACCAGACTTGTTCACATTGTTCAGTTCTGTCCAGAGGCTTGAAACTAACTGGGAGCAGACTGAAAAATTATTTTTAAACCCATAAGCAAAGCATAGATAACGCATGGGCTCTTGTGTTTGATGCTAATCAGCCAGACTGACCTAGTTTTGAAATTGTGAAAGGCTCACTTTTTCCCAAAGCTAAATCTTTATATTGAGAAGAATTAATACTGACTTTTCTTAAGTAGTAAAAATTGAGAGTTTAATATCTTTAGGGATAGTCATTATTTCTCACAACTAGTTCTCTAAGAGAGATTTCGTTTCTACAATGTAGTTTGCACTGAAAGCGGAGTATGGAGGAGGAATGTATTTTCCAGGGATTTTTATTCATCCTTTTTCAGGGAGATTTCCCTTTTTTGCATTAAAAAAATCATATATCTCCAATACATTTTAATGTCTAATAGCCTTTAAATGGTCCTTGTAATACTCTTAAGATGAAATACTTGTAATTATATTCATTAGTAATAAGTGATGAAGTATATTATGTTAAAAAGCATGATTCAGTTATTTTTTCACTTGTATGTTGAATATTTAGGTTGATTTCAGGGAGAACAAAAGTATTAAAGGGAACTCATAACAGTACAAGGAAAGAGTTTATAGGTTTTTTTGAGTTGACCAGAGGACCTCTCCACTTTTTTTAGGAGCTATATACCTCAAAAATTTCCTGGGAATAAATGTGGGAACAACCTTTTCTTCATCTGAATTGTCTGGCATATTCCAACATTTTCCATTTCTTCTCTTAAATCATTTTATGTAGTTCTGCATTTTGGTTAAACCTATAACATTTCATATTTTCCTGTTATGTCACACTTAATAAGTTAAATACATCCAAAGGTGATATGTATACTTTTTACCTATTTATTCAACATACATGATATTTTCAAAAGCTCTTTAACTTTATAATGTAATTATCGACTACATGATAAAAGCGAATGTTCTCCTTAGTATAGTTTTGGTTAGGTGGTATGGCTTAGTTTAACTTAATGACTGAAAAAATTAAAGATTTTTTTCAAAATCAAAAACCACTATTGCTCTGACTGGCTGGCTGATTTATTTGGTTGGAGCTTGGTCTTGTACACCAGAAGGTTCTGAGTTTAATCCCCAGTTAGGGCACGTACCTTAGTTGCGGGTTCAATCCCTGGTCAGTGCGTGTAGGGGAGGCAGCCAATCTATGTTTCCCATTGGTGTCTCTCTCTGAGTCCCACTCTCCCCATCCCCTTTCGCTCTCTTTGAAATTGGTAAACCATATCCTCAGGTGAGGATTAAAAAAGAAAGCCACTATTTTAGAAGTTATTTTAAAAGATACTTAGCAAAATAGACTTTTCCTATAGTAAGCAATAAAAACTAAATATGTGCAGACATCTGGGGTGATCTAATAAATATTAGTACACTTCAACTCTGTAGAAAAGTATAAATTGTTTGGTTTGAAAAACGAGTTCCCAGTAGTCATTGTACTGTAATTATAAAAACAAAAACTGCTAAAAATATATAACATATTTTAATTCCTTAGCAGTATACAGAATTCTTCAGTTTTAAAACAACTAGAAACAGCACACCAAAGAATGAGGCTATTGGAATAACAGGTAATCTCAGTTTTAAAAGGGTAATAGGCTTTTATTAAGAAGGAATAAAAATTTCTTAGACTTTTGTGGGGGGGGGTCTGTTTTTAGTATGTTCCTGATTATTTCCTTGATACAGTTCTTAATTTAAAGTGAATTTGGGGACTCAGTGATCAATTTAATAAAATGGTAGTGTTGAACTAAAGCATTTTATTCGAATTAGTAAAGCATCTGTTTAAAAACTTATTCATATTTAAAGGCAATAGACATTTGAATATAGTAATCAAATTAGATGACTTCAGTTTTACCCAAAATAGATTTATAGATCAGATCTAAACCATACATTTTTTCAGAAATTTGAGTTCTAATAATGAGTCTATAAACATTCCCATTACGATTTTGTTTTGTTTTCCACATTATTTTTTTTTAATTTGCTTTTTGTATGTGCCCTGACTGAGGATTGAACCCACAACCCTGGCGTATTGGGATGATGCTCTAACCAACTGAGCTAGCTACCCAGCCAGGCCAATGTTAATTTTAACTAATAAGCAAACGAACAGTCTGAGATTCATTGAGAGAGAACCTGAAATGACTTTCTTTTTAATAGTTGGTATTTGGTGGTTCACAACAGTTAAAGCCTTACATACCAGATTTATAAGGATTAATTGTACATACTAGATTTATAAGGATTCTTCACTGAACAGGAAAATAGAGCTTCATCTTTCTCGCCTTTTAGAATTTCATAACAAAAGAAACTTCAATTCTAAAGTAAATGCTATTATGTGGTTAAACTATGGAAGTTTTGAGTTTTAAGTGGATTTTGGTTTTGCGATATTTGATCAGAGGCATATCTAATTGTATTGCTCTATCAGTATTTAAAATCTGGTAGCATTTATTAAATAGCTACCAATGACTTTTCAAATGACATAGGTAGGGATACTTATAAAGTTGGTTCTAATATTTTATTTTCTTCTTAACATGTGTTCTAACCATTAGCGATTCTTAAAACAGTCATTCAATTTCAGATGATACAGACTTTTTATGAAAAAAAGAAAAGCAGGTTTAAAATTACCTTTTGTTTTTTTGTCAAGGTCTAAAGTATCACTTTAAAATAATTTCTAGGAAGCATGTAATCCTTTTTTTTGAGAAAGGTAACAAATTTAGTGTAGGTAAGAAACTTAAGACTTTTAATCAAAATGATCAAAAAAGAAACTTGAGCTTTTTACTTTCACATTTCTAATTTAAAATACACCAGAATTGATATTCTTCCATGTACTCATAAGTTGCCCAAGAAAACAGCTTTGGGTTTACAATAAGACCAGAGCTCTAAGTTTTTTTATATTACTAAATTCAAGGGTAATTGTTTCATGCAATAAATGGGTGCCTGCAATTTGTAGAATAACAAACTGAAACCGTTTAGAAGAAAAGAAGAAAACCTAAGTCTACAGCAGTGGTCTGTACCTATAGGTGGTAATGGTTCCTTCACCTTTCAGATCCTGAAGAATACCTCAAGCATTTAGTTAGAGTAAGGATTGGAAGAAAAAGCATGTGAGTTAAAATACATTATTGAATGATGTGGAGCTTTCAAGTCAAAAAAATAAAAATTGAATCATGAACATCTCACTCAGTCTGTCAAATAGGTCAACATCCATAACAACAACAGAAATTAATAGAATGGTTTTTGCTTTGGAAATTCTAATTTACTGTTATGTTCTAAGTCACAGGGAAATGTACTGATACCTAAAAATGACCCATCCTATAAAGAGATGAGTGAAATTCAACATGTTTTACATAGTTTAATTATATTATAGTGTGTAAACTATAAATGAAAATGGTCTTCAGTCTTTTCTGTCTTGTTTTATTTATCCTTGCATCATTTCCGGACTCTTAAATGATCATTATATTTTTTCAAGTCCGTTTTGCTTTTTTATTTTTGATTATTCTTTAGATCTTTTATTTCGTGGATTTTTAAAGTTTAAATCATTTAAAAAATTTTTTAATCATAGTTAACATGCAATATTATATTAGTTTCTGGTACATATCTCAGCAATTAGGTATTGTGTAACTTACCGAGTGATCATCCTTATAAATCTAGTATCTGTTCAACACCATGCGTAAGTATGAGAACATTATTGACTGTATTTCCTCCCTGTGCTACACTCACATCACCATGACTATTCTGTAACCAGATTGTACTACTTAATCTCTTCCCCTTTTTTGCCATCCCCCTAACTACCCTCCCATTGAAATGTTCTCTATGAGTCTGTTTCTGTTTTCCTTGTTTGTTCATTTTTTGTTAGATTCATTTGTTGATAGATACTTTTATTGACATTGTTCACATTTTTTATATTTTTTTCTTCTACGTGAAGAAGATCTTTAACATTTCACGTAATACTGGTTTGGTGGTGATGAACTCCTTTAGCTTTTCCTTATCTGGGAAGTTCTTTACATGTCCTTAGATTCTAAATGATAGCTTTGCTGGATAATCTTGGTTGTGGTCTTGCTTTTCATCACTTTGAATATTTCTCACCAGACCCTCTGGCCTGCAAAGTTTCCATTGAGAAATCAACTGACCATCTTATGGGAGCTTTCTGGTAGGTGACTAACTGCTTTTCTTTTGCTGCTTTTAAGATTTTCTTTGTCTTTAACCATTTGAATTTTAATTACAATGTATCTTGGTGTGGGCCTCTTTGGGTTCATCTTTTTTGGGACTCTGCCCTTCTTGGACTTGAATGTTTATATATCTATTTCCTTCACCAGGTTAGGGAAGTTTTCTGTCATTTTTTCAAATAGGATTCCAGTTCCTTGCTGTCATTGCTCCTGGGGTGGCACCCCCATGATGCAAGTAAGTGTTGGTGTACTTGAAATTGGCCTAGAGCTCCTTACACTATCATCTTTTTTTTTTATTCATTTCTCTTTTTGCTGTTCTAATGGGGTGTTGTTTGCTTCTGTATATTCCAAATTGCTGATTTGATTCTCAGTTTCATCCACTCTACTGTTGATACCATGTAAATTATTCTCCATTTCACTTAGCGTACCCTTCATTTCTGACTGGTTCTTTTGTACGGATTCCATGCCTTTTTTTTATGGTTTCCATGTCCTTTTTTATGCTGTTGAAATTCTCTCTAAATTCAGCTACTCTTCCCCTAAGTTCATTGAACATCCTTATAACCAGTGTTTTGAACTTTGCATTTAGGAGATTGCTTGTCTCTATTTTGTTTAGTTCTTTTGTCTGGATTTTTATTCTTTCCGTTCATTTGGGACATGTTTCTTTGCCTCCTCATTTTGGCAGCCTCCCTGTGTTTGTTTCTTTGCATTGCATAGAGCTGCTGTCTCCCTGGCTGCTCCTCGTGCTGGGCCTGGGACCACTTAATAAGAGGTAGGGGGCACACCGAGGCAACATGCTGCTTGTGTGAGGGATTTTAGGAAAGTCTGAAATTTGAGCTGCAACAGGCCATTTGTATGGATAAGCCAGTGGAAACAGCTTTGGTGGGCCCACGAGTTTGGTAGGGCTTGGTCTCAGAGAATCGGGAATCCGCAGGGTGGGGTGAAGAGTGTGGGCCAGGTTGATGGAGGCTCAGATATGGTGCCCCACCTGCAGTCCTGGGGTGAGGGGGCTCATCAAAGGAAGAATGACCTTTGCCAGCACTGTTGTCTGGGAGAAAGCTGCTGCCCTGCCTGATGCCAGACAGTTCAGTTTGCCCCCAAATGACCCTGCTGCCATCCACATGCTGGCGCTCAGACAAAGTGAGTTAGAGTAAGTCTGTGTGCAGGCCCTTTAAAAGGAACCTCCTGGGACTCCCGAAGCACTCTGTCTCCCTCAGCCCTAATCCTCACTCATTTTTACAGCCAGAAGTTACAGGGACTTCTCTTCCCAGCATTGGAGCCCTGGGCCACAGGGCCTAGTGTGAGGCTGGGACGCCTCACTCTTTAGGGAGCATCTCCACAGCCAAGATCCCTCTCAGGAATTTTACCTACTACATGGTGTGGGGCCAGCCTGTTCTGTGTCTCCACCCTTCCTACCAGTCTTGACGTGGCTTCTTCTTGAAATCTCTAGTTGTGGGACTTCTAGATTTCAGGCCGTTTCTGAATGATGGTTGTTCTGTAGTGTAGTTGTAATTCTGATGTGGGTGAGGAAGGATGCGAGGACCACGTTTACCATTGCCATCTTGACTGTAAGTCTCTATTTTACGGATTTTAAAAGTAGTTTCATTGCTATTATATCACTTTGATAGCTAATTTGATTACCTTTGTCTCCTTTTTAATACCAAATCTTACTATTAAGAATTTTTACCTTAACTTATTTGAAAAGTCATGTTATAAATTTCCATTTACAATATCTTTAAAGTTTAATAATGGCTTGGTCAAATAGATTTTTCACATTGACCTTAGAATAGTTTTAAGTAGTTCTGGACCAAAAGAAGTCAATTTTGTGAGTATTAAGCAACCAACATCTCTCGTTTTTAATCCAAATATCAACATGAGAAAATAAGAAGGGTCAGAAATTCAAAATGGTTCTTAAAAGATCAGTCAGTTCTTTGCTGCTTTCTGATTACATATGTGTTGTGCATCTTCCTTGTTTTAGAATTTCCTAAATTTTTGGCTCCCAAGAACTTGAATATAAAATGATAGTGAAATCATATCAACCCACCCAGAATTCAGATGTTAAAAATGTAACTAGAGGCAGAAATCTAGGTAGTGGATGCTTTAAACTGTTTTGCTTTTTCCCCTGAAATAAACTTTTTTAGCGTAGTGTCTTGGAAGGAGACTCACATTAAAAGCAGTTACCTTTTATATTTGGTAGGACGAAGCCATTGTTATCTAACACCACACACAGTTTAGAGAAGCAATATTTAATGACGCTGCTAACTTGTTTAGTACTAACAATATGGCATCCCTGTCATTTTTTCTTTTCTCCAACCATTATTAAAATAATTTATGTACATAGTGACTTTGTAGTTACTAGTGTAAAATAAATTCAGGCAGTTTAATAGTTACCTGATGTTAATAACTTTTGAGAAAACTACATTTGATTTCTCAGTGTCCTGATCTGTTTTCAATACAAAGAGTGACCAGCGCAGTGCAGAAAACCAGAGTCAAGTGTGCTGCGTCTATAAAAATTACTGCGTTGTGCATGTAAAAGGCCCTGGCTTTGATGAGTGGACGTGAGAATGGTTTGTGATGTTACATTGGTAACATCCTAGGAATGTATATTTGGCATACAATTTTGGTTCACAAACACATCCATAAAAATGCTTTCATATGGCAGTATCAAAGTATATGAAACATTTTCTATGTGTGTAAATTGGCATCTTCATACTAGTGAGCAAACAAATGACAATTGATAATAAATGCAGTTCATTTTGGATGGTAGTGCACATTGTCCAGAAGCTATGTAATAATAATAAACATGTATCTGCCTACTCCTTTAACCGTGAGCTGCACACCCGAGGTTTAATTTTTTACATACTGAATTTCATTAACCTGATGGTGGTTTGTGGACAGGTCATCAGAGTCATTTACAGAAATTTGCTTGGCAGTGATGGTTTTTTTAAGTAAATTGGCAAATTTTTCAGACCCTCAGATATTATTGATTCTTAAAACTAAAACAGTTGACTCTTACACAACACAAGAATTAAGGGCACCAACCGTCTGGCATAGCTGAGAATCCACAGAGGACTTTAGACTCGCCCAACATCTAACCACAGTCATCCCTCAGTATCCGTGCGGGATTGCTTCCAGGACCCCGTGCACTCCCGCATCCATGGATGCTCCCGTCTCACATAAAACGACACAGAACAGCGTGTACACTTGGCTCTCTGCGTCCGAAGATTCCCAACTGGAAATGGGAAGTTCTGTTTTTAATCCCCAGGTGGTGGAGTGAGGGTGCAAGGCCAGAGGGTCCACTATGTATTTACTGGAAAAAAGTCCATAGTTTTCAGGGGTCAACTGTAGTAGTTAGCTAATTTTGGAACTGTTACCAGAGAATATCTTAGCTTTATATTGGCAGAGATGTAGGAATAAAGGAATTTGAAGACTAGAAATTTTAGTAGGCAAAGAGGAGCTCCTCCCCATGTCTCCTAACAGCTCCTCTGCTTGAGAATTGCTGTTCCTGACGAAAATGAGTCAGATGGCCTAGAATGTGGGGATAAGGAAATGATTGCGGAATCCTGGTCTAAACTGGAGCATTTGGTGCTTAATCTTCTATGGGATGAACAATTCATGAGAACTTGACCTTCAATCCAGACATGAGTTTATGCCCCGTGCACTTGACACTCTCCGATGAAATGCAATTAAATAGTTATACCTTTGTACTCATCAACTTCATAACTCATCAAACCCTGTGCTCGTCTCATTTGGATGAGAAAATGATGTTTTAGTACTCGATATTTGCTAGGGACTCTTCACACTTGCTTGAATTTCTGAGTCATGACACCACCCCACAAGAGAAAATGCTTCATCTTTTGGGTACTTGTTGGTTTTGGCACTCGTCTCGAGTTCCAGAACAAATTAATGAGCACTGAGATGCCACTGTATTTCTAGAGTCCCGGAGGCTAATCGGCAGTTCATTCCTGATCATCTTATCCCGTGTTTTGAAAACTGGAGAGGATTTTACGTGTTTTCTTTTAAAACCTGAGTCCCTAATAATTAAATAGGAAAGAGATAACATTCCAGAGGTGAAGAAGGAATGTTTGTTCAGTGTTACTTCCAGTACTTTCTCAAAAATCCCCCCTTTTTAAAAGTAGAAAGTGGTTCTCATAGCCTGGTTCAGATGCCAAAAAAGACAAGTTGAACTGTTTGTGTCCAGCAACCTTGCCTGACTTTCTGCGTGATTACATTTGCTCTCCTGTTAAACCTCACTGTGGTTGGTAAACCATAAACCTGAAAGGATTGGTGTTTTGGTTTTAGAGATAGCAAGGGTCAGGGTAAATTGAAATAAGAAACACTTTGTATAAAGAAAAACCTGTTGAAGGCAAAAAATAAAGAAATCATACAAAAGAGATCCAAATATCAGTAGTTTTAAGTAAATCTAAGTACCTTAAACTTGCCAGTTTAAACTGTAGTGGTTTCTACAAAGACCCTTCTTTTGAACATAATGATGTGAGTTTAAATTGATGGGGAAAATATACAAAGAAAATGCCAATGGAAAGAGAATTGGAAACTTAATCAGATAAACTTGACTTTGAAGTGCAAAAAGGGGAATATTGGATAAAAAGTGAATTTTAACAATGATAATAGAGCAATTCACAAGGCAGGTAACTGAAACAACAGCCTCTGACTATCTAAGGCTATTAACATTTACGAAGAGAAGTTAAGGTGCACAGTAACAGTGATAATTGATAGTAAGCAATAAATATATAAAAGAATTGAATACAATTTTAAAAGTTAGACCTAATAGACTTACATAAACTGTCAGTCAACAGTTAGGTTAAAAAAAATTTAAGTACACATAGAATATTTGCCAAAAGTGATATATTGTACACTACAAAGTAAATCTCAATAAATAACAGACTGTCATATATATTGACAAAATTAACTTCCAGAAATGTCAAATCATGTAAAAAATGACCCTAATACCAAAACCATACAAAGACATAAGAAAACTACAGACCAATGTTGCTCATGAACATAGATCCAAAAAAATCCTCAACAAATTAGCCAAACAATATATAAAAAGCATTATACACCACAGCCAACTTGCGATTTATTGTAGATATGCAAGTATATTGTGCTCCTGGGCCCAATTTCCAGGGAGAGGGTAGGAGTGCTGCTTTACACATCCAAGTGATAGTCTGATATTGCCAGCTGAGCATCCTATAACTCGACTCCATTCTAATACTGTCGTCCTGGAGACAGCATCAGATTCTGCAGGCTGAGGGCTCAGTCCCACTTCAGATGCCATTTGCAAACCAAACTCAGCCCGTGCTTTCCACAACCTGGTTATAAAGTGGAGGTTCTAACAACCCTCTCCGTGAACTTTTATAGAAAGTTCAGTCCTTACCTACACGTCTTACCAACTGGCTATAAATCAGAGGTTCCCACAACTCCCTCTTTTGGCCTAATTTGCTAGAGCAGCTCACAGAACAGCCAGTGGAAGAAATGCATAAGGCATGACATAAGGGTGTGCCACTGGCACGCCCTGTCCAGGCACACCACTCTCCCAAATGTCCATGTGTCACCAACCCAAGAGCTCTCTGAACCCCGCCCTTCTGGGTTTTTATGGAGACTTCGTTATATAGGTATGACATAAAAATCATTAGCCATTGTCAAGTGATTCAACCTCATCTCTCCCCTCCCAGGAGCTCTGGGGGAAGGACTGAAAGTTCCAACCTTCTAATCACACGGTTAGTTCTGGCAGTCGACCCCCATCCTTAGGTGTGGTCCAAAAGTCCTCTTATAAACAGACACCTTTAAGCTATCACTGAGAAAATTCCAAGAGTTTTGGAAGCTGGGAGCCAGAAACTGTGGACGAAAACCAAATATATATGATATATCTGAGTATATTTTCATCATCTGAATGACCCAATATATATTTCTTATAAATCACATCTCCTGATCTTCAAACACAGATTCCCTTAGAGCATCTCCTAAGTCAAAAGAAGTGGCATACTAGTAGAATCTCATTCTGTCTTTAATAACTATCTAGTCCATCTCATGGAAATGTCTCCCAGGGTGACGCCAGGCAGGTTTGAAGGCCGTCATTTGATCTCGTGGGGTTCCTAAAGCAGGCGTGGTCTCAGCAATATATGGCTTCATCCTTTCAGGCATCTGGTATAACTGAACTAAGAGACAATATCACCTCTTCTTCCGAGCCTCTTCCCAGGTGTTAATACTGGATTTCCCTCATTATATAACCCACATTTACTCATCCCCTTACCCGCAGCTATTCCACTTCTCTCCAAACTTTCACCTTTGGAGGGGACGTTGCTTTCAGCCATGGTGGTCTCGATTGCAGGCAGCAACAGAATCTAGCAAGGTCTTCCCCTCAGTCCATTCCTCGTCACATGAGGTTACCGAGATGCAGAACTAGTGGCCTGTATAACCATCGATCCAGCTGATCCTAATGGAATAAGGGATAAACAATCCCCCACTCAAAATCCTGCAGTGGTGGTGAGTTCGGGTATTTCTGAAGACTGAATAGCAAAAGCAAGTCTAATCGGAAGACTGACTTTGGAACCCACTGCTCAATCATTATAACATAAACTTTTCGGAATGATTTCAGAAATGAAGTAAAGTTGACTTCTCTGGCCGGAGTGCCTTGTTTTGTTTTACAGCTTGTAGGTAGACAGTGATAAGTGAACAATGTTTAGAAAGAGAAGATCTAGGTGTGTGTTGTGGTTCTCCGTTTGTTGGGTAGGCTGAGCATCACACTTTTCGCACGGCACCAAGCAGCTCAGCCCACCCTCACAAGAGGTCTCTCTCCATCAAAACGGATCGTTACACATGTGACAGCTCACGTTGTTGCACAAATGGCATTATTATACCTAAGAATATACGAAAATAAAAGAGAGAACACATTCATTACAGTTATGAAAACGAGGGGTAACACAGAGGTGTAAAGGGTGTTTAAGCCAGGGAATGTTCCCCCCCCCCACCAACACGTGCTGTCCTGTCAAGTTTAAACATTTAAAATTTTCAAATCGTCTTAAGCCCATTACAGAATTGGACGTAGTTTTTCAACCCTCGGGTGAGTAGCGGGTAGAAACGTCAGATTAGCACCTCCCCGAGTGGCACACCGTCTCCCCGGAGCAGGGGTGTCCGCACTGGCAGGTCCAGCTTCAGGCAGCCAAGCACTTCCGGCCCGCAGGCTCGGACACCCGCAGGGCAGCCGAGGAGACCCCATCGCGCGTGCGCGCCCGGGCGCAGCCTCTGAGAAGCCACTGGAGTCGTTACGTCACCGCCGGCCCTGCCCGGACTGCAACCGGCGGGAGTTTTTCAAAATGGGAGCGCGGAGGCACCGCCCAGGCCTCGGAAGGTGCCCGGGAGACCTTTCGGTGGCTGTGCTGTTGTCGCCGGGAGCGGCGGCCTAGAGAGCCGAACCTGATGGGCGCCAAGAACTGCTGGCTGCTTGGAGTCTTGCCTCGAAGGGACTGCGTGCAGGGAGCTGAGCCCGGGAGCCCACGCCGGGGCCTGGAAACATGGCGACCTGCATCGGGGAAAGGATCGAGGTGAAAAGACTCTGCGGTTCTCAGCCGGGCGGGTGGGAGTCGGAGTGGCGGGACTCGAGATCGCAGGGGCCCCTGCGAAGCTAACGGCTGCGGGGTGGGCGTCGCTGCGGTGCTTTATGAAGGCCCCAACGGCCTGGGGCCCTGCTGTTTGGGGGCGGAGCGGCCCGCCCCTCTGAGCCTGGGGTTAGAGGCTCAGGTGAGTCTCTCACAGCCCCGCCCTTCTGTCTGTCTGCTCTGAGGCTTCTTGTCTGGGATCCCGCCTAAGCTGCCGCGCTGGAGCGGGGTATCTCCAAGGGGATGGCGGTTACCTCCGGCGGGAGCTGCGGCGGGATCCCCGCCAAGCCGCTGGCTCGCAGCGGGTGGCCGGCGGTGGGAGGAGGGTCCTGAGGCTGCACTGAGGTTGAGGAACCAGATCACTTAGGGCACTCGATCTGGACTCCAGCCTGGAAGCGCAGGATCCCCGCGAGGCGTCAGCATGTTTTCCACCCCAGACATCTGCTGTATCGAGGTGCAATACCTGCTTAAATTGTGAATGCAGATTCCCCTTTCCATCCATTTCATCTTCTTTTCCAGCTCCTCCCTTTCTTCCTTTCTATTACCATGAGTCATCACACATATTCTTTAATTTTAAAGGATTTTAAAGTTGGAAATCTGCTTGGTAAAGGATCATTTGCTGGTGTCTACAGAGCTGAGTCTATTCACACTGGTTTGGAAGTTGCAATCAAAATGGTAAGAATCTATTTATCGATATCTCACCTCTCTTTGAGAAGTGCATTACTTGCGATGACAGAAACTCCTTACCTACGAGCCTTGTCTTTGATTACGGTGCAAAGAACCCATTGCTTAGGCAGAAGAAAATAGTTTCAATGCCAGCAGTTGCATTACGGATATTTTAGGAGATCATTGATCATGATTAAATAAGTGTTTTATCTTCATTAATGTTTGGTAGAACTGGCATCTGTTTTGGTTTTACATACTTGGAGTCATTCGTAGAAATCAAAGAACAAATAATGATTTCTTTTTGATAATAAGAATACACTTGTGCATAGTTCTGTAGTACACTGTAACAATCTTAAGTACTATTCTTGTTAGAAGTCAGTCTAATAGGAGTAACCTGAGGGATTAGGAATCACTTATCTAAACCTCTAGGGGAAGGGAGGGGAAATTTTGTTTTAAAGCTTGGCAACATTTTTGTTATTGTAAATGTAATAACTGTGCTATTAAATTCTGTAAGTTGGAAGAGTGTATTAGAATACATTGGACAAACTTCTGAATGGCCACTCTGCCTTGTAATCTGCTAGGTGCAAGGGGCAAATAGACAACAGTAAATCGATCTTATAAAAAAAGATAAAAAGACTTAAGAATAAAGTGCATGTTCTCTTTTCAAAGTTAACTTTTGACAATTTCGCAGTGTAAAGTTTATAATGAACATGTAAAACTCTCATGTTATTTTTTAGATAGATAAGAAAGCCATGTACAAAGCCGGAATGGTACAGAGAGTCCAAAATGAAGTGAAAATACATTGCCAATTGAAACATCCTTCTATCTTGGAGGTAAAATACAAATTTTATAAAAGTTGCCAGGGATGTTGAATTTGTACATTATAATTTATTCTGTTCTTTTACATTTCAGCTGTATAACTATTTTGAAGATAGCAATTATGTTTACCTAGTATTAGAAATGTGCCATAATGGAGAAATGAACAGGTATCTAAAGAACAGAAGGAAGCCATTCTCAGAAAACGAAGGTAGGCTGCTTCTTTCTTTCTTAACTTTTTTTTTGTAGATATAAATTTTACTTTTTGTAGTTTTGAAGAATGTACTGTTTTGTAATATATAATAAAAGTTTTAATTATTACTTTATGCTACAGAAGGAGATGCCCCCATTATAGGAGCCATGAATTCTTATAAAATATGCAAATATTACATGAGTAAAGTAAAAGGAGAAATTTGTTATTATCTTCTCTGAAATTACATTTTAAATTAAATGGGTAACAATTTAGGAGGTATCCTTTCAAATCTGGAAGAAGCTCTTAAGAATGCTGTTGATGACTATAAAATAGTTTCTGCCCTGGCTGGTGTGGCTCAGTGGATTCAGTGCTGGCCTGTGAACCAAAGGATTGATGGTTTAATTCCCAGTCAGGGCACAGGCTTGTTTTGTGGGCCAGGTCCCCAGTTGGACCTGGGGCGCACAAGAGGGAACCACAGATTCATATTTCTCTCCCTCTCTTTCTCCCTTCCCCTCTATCTAAAAATAAATTAAAAAATAAAATCTTTAAAAAAATAAAATAGTTTCTAATTCAAGCACAAATAACTATCAAAATGATTTACAATAGAAAATGTCAACCATAAATAGGTCAAGTAATATAATGAACCCCCATGAAGTTAAACCACTAAGCTTTCAAAACTGTCAACTCATGGTCAAATTGTTTCATTTGTATCCTTATTCCCCCAGCAGAGTATTTCGAAGTTAAATCATAGACTCCTTTTTACATATAGATATTTTGGCATATATCTTTAAAAGATACAGGCTTTTTAAAAAAATTAACCACAAAGTTAATACCACACCTAATGATTACTTGTTATCAAATACATAGTCGGTTCCAACTTCCCCAGTTTCTTATAAATAACTTCCTGCAGTTCAGTTCAGGCTCAAGTGTAAGTAAGGTCCATAGAACATTTCACGGAAGATTGTTTTCAGTTTATCTTGTCCTGCTGAGATTGCAGGCAAGCTAAGAAAGGTGGTTGCTGATAGACTTTCTACTTTCAAATCTATATAACCCGCTTGGAAAACAATTTGATCATCTCTATTAGGAGTTATGGAAATGTTCATATTGTCCTGACCAGTGTGGCTCAGTTGGTTGGAGCACGACACTGTAAACCTAGAGATCGCAGGTTCAATTCCCAGTCAGGGCAAATGTCTAGGTTGTGGGTTCAGTGCCCAGTAGGGGCGCATATGAGAAGCAGCCTATCCATGTTTCTCTCCCAGTCTGCCCCTCCCCCCCCTTTCCCTTCTCTCTAAAAATCAATAAGCATGTCCTTGGGTGAGGATAAAAATAGAAAAAGAAATGTTCATATCCTTTGACTTAAAATAAGAACATAATAAAAGTTGTAAATAAATCCATATAAGTATTCGTGGTGATTATAGTGTTTCTTTAATAATATATCTTTATTATTGATAACTTTATAAATAAGACAAAGCTTCAAAGCAATAAAGGAAAAGAATTATTAATTTACTTAAGAATGGGTATGACAAGACGGCTAACAAGTTTAAAAGACAAAGGAAGAAAATATTTGTAAAATGTATGGCTGACAACTGAATATTAAAAATATAAGTCGTATCTGCCCTGGCCAGCGAGGCTCAGTTGATTGGGCATTGTCCTGAAAAGCAAAAGGAAGCTGGTTCGATTCCTGATCAGGGTACATGCCTGGGTTGCGGCCTGGTCCCCTGTTGGGATGTGTGGAAGGGGCACCAATCAATGTTTCTCTCTCACATTGATGTTTCTTTCTCTCTCTTTCTACCTTCTGTTCTCTCTGAATAAACAAATAAAATCTTTAAAAATATTTGTCATGCCTAAAAAAGAGATAAAGAGATAATTGAATAGGAAAATGGACAGGAGATAGAAAATACAAATGGCCAATAAATGTGAAAGATGCCCTCACAAGTAATCATAAGAATGCCACCTTAAATAAACAGTACCATTTTTTTTTACTCATTAGATTGAGAATACCTAATATTGACAAGGAAGTGCATAAAAATATAGCCTTTTTTAGAGAGCAGTTTGGCAAGGTATTAAAATACTAAATTTTAATCCTTCAATCCAGTGATTCTGCTTCTTGAATTTACCATAGAAAAGTACCCGATAATATGCATGAGAAAACAAACATGTACAAGAATTTGATTGGTCTGTTTTTTTGTAACCTCAAGAGTACCAGAATGACCCAGATTTTCATCAGTAGCAATTAAGTAAAATGAAGTAGGTGTGCTGACAGAAATACCTCCAAGAAATAATATGAAGTGGGGGAGAAAGTAATGAAACTACTGGTATATATATATTTTTATACCATTTTTATACTTGAAAAGCAATTATTACAATTTGTGTAGATTTAAACATATGTAAACACACAAGAAAAACTATAAAAATATATACAAACTCTTAGTAGTGATTGCTTTTCAGAGGGTTTGTTTGGGGGACATCAGAAGAGCTTTAGCTTGTTTTTTAAAAAACAATTAGAATGTATTTAGGAATTGTTTGTTCAGTTATAACATATTTTCTCTTAATTGCTAGAGACTTCTGGGTAACCTACTCTATTTACTTCCAAATGCTGATAAAATTAAGTTTTGCTGAAGTGTATATGGGAAATTCATCAGTTAGAAAGGACAAGGATTAATTAAAAGGGGAATTATAGAGTATTATGAACTTATCAGTGTTATTTTGGTTGGTCCAAACTAAGCCGCAAGCCAGTGTTCTAATTGTAATACTCTGGCATGTGTACTGAGTTTCATGATGTGTCCCAAATAATGAATTTTCCAGATGTTCTGAAACATAGGTTTTATGTTTTGCCTTCTAACAGCTCGGCACTTCATGCACCAGATCATCACAGGAATGTTGTATCTCCATTCTCATGGTATACTTCACCGGGACCTCACACTTTCTAACCTCTTGCTCACCCGTAATATGAACATCAAGATTGCCGACTTTGGGCTGGCAACTCAACTGAAAATGCCACATGAAAAGCACTATACGTTATGTGGAACTCCTAATTACATTTCACCAGAAATTGCAACTCGAAGCGCACATGGACTTGAATCTGACATTTGGTCCCTGGGGTGTATGTTTTATACGTTACTGATTGGGAGACCACCTTTTGACACTGACACGGTCAAGAACACATTAAATAAAGTAGTGCTGGCAGATTATGAAATGCCAACTTTTTTGTCAAGAGAAGCCAAGGACCTTATTCACCAGTTACTTCGTAGAAATCCAGCAGATCGCCTAAGTCTGTCTTCAGTATTAGACCATCCTTTTATGTCCCACAATTCTTCCACAAAAAGTAAGGATGTAGGAACTGTAGAAGATTCCATTGATAGCGGACACGCCACAATCTCCACTGCAATGACAACTTCTTCCAGTACCAGTGTGAGTGGTAGTTTGTTTGACAGAAGAAGACTTCTGATTGGTCAGCCACTCCCAAATAAAATGACTGTATTTCCAAAGAATAAGAATTCAAGTGACTTTTCTTCTTCAGGAGATGGAAGCAGTTTTTATACCCAATGGGGAAATCAAGAACAAGAAACCAGTAATAGTGGAAGGGGAAGAGTAATCCAAGATGCGGAAGAAAGGCCACGTTCTCGATACCTTCGCAGAGCCCACTCCTCTGATAGATCTGGCACTTCTGATAGTCAATCTCGAGCAAACACATACACGATGGAACGATGTCACTCAGCAGAAATGCTTTCAAAACCCAAAAGATCCGGAGGAGATGAAAATGAAGAAAGATACTCGCCTATAAATAGCAATGTCAATATTTTTCACTTCTTTAAAGAAAAGACATCCAGTAGTTCTGGGTCTTTGGATAGACCTGATAACGATCAAGCACTGTAAGAATAATTCTATCAAAAGTATTTTACTTTTTCAATAAACATTATTAGTATCAATAATGAAGCTACTTCTAAGGAGATTTACCTTTTTCTAACAGTATCAGATATTCCTGGGGCACATCTTTACTATGATTTATATTTCTTAGTAGGAAGAGAATCAGAATGATGATTTTGAGTTGTGTTTAAGAATCTCTTTTTTTTTTTTTAATATTTTATTTATTTATTTTTCGAGAGAGGGGAAGGGAAAGAGAAAGAGTGGGAGAGAAATATCAATGTATGGTTGCCTCTCATGGGTCCCCTGCTGGGAACTGGCCTGCAACCCAGGCATGTGCCCTGACTGGGAATCGAACCGCGATACTCTGGTTCACAGGCCCGTGCTCAATCCACTGAGCTACGCCAGCCAGGGCTAAGAATCTCTTAATATGAGTACATGTGCCCATGAATATGTTTGTAGAGTGTGTTTAATACTTGGGGATTTTTAGTTATTTTTTTATATAAAGCAGGTCTCCAGTGCAAATATCATCTATTAAACATGTTTGGTCTCTAAAGTACTATGATAGTAATTATTATATTAAACATGTTTGGTCTCTAAAGTACTGTGATAGTAATTATAAATAGACATGTAGAGAAAGAGGGAAGCTGAATTAGTGATAAGTATTTGCTTTATTGACTGCTCACATAAAGGCTAGTTTTGTAGTAACAACTAGTGTAGTAAACACTAGGTTTGTAATGTTTTATTTTTTTTCTGATTTTTTATTTTTATGCTTAAATTCTAAGAGGGCAGTAGCCATATAGAAACATTGTCATAGTACTGTGTGGACTTTGGCACAGGAGGTGAGCTTCTTAGAAACAATTCAGTTAGGCAAATATTGGTTTCTACAGTTACTTTAAACTTTCAGATATTCAAATAAGAAATCTCCCTTCTTAAAATTTTATCTTAAAAAGTTATTACCTGATGATTTTTTATTAGTTTATATGAATATTTTTTTTATTTGTTTAGGTCCAGTCATCCTTGTCCAGGAAAAACCCCTTTTCCATTTCCAGACCAGACATCTCAGCCTGAAATAGTGCAACAGTGGTTTGGAAATCTGCAAAAAAATGGTGAGTTTTAAAGAAACTATTAGGTAAAAAATTAATGACACGGATACTTAGTAAGCATTGCCCATTTCAATTTGTTTTCTTTAAAATATGCATTTTCAATAAACTATGTTGCAATAATAGTTAATAATAACTATTAACACATTTTGAGTATTTACTGTGTCAGCCACTATTCTTAATGCTTACCATATATTATTAACTTCTCACAAAATGTATAAGGATGGTATGATTGTTAGCCCCGTCTTAGGAAGGATGAGGAAATCGTGCACAGGGAATAATTTGCTGAACTACACTGCACATAGAGGAGATAGGAGAAGGGTTCCCACCCAGGTGTCTGGCTCAGAGACTTCACTCTCAACCCCTCTGTCCTTGCAGCCTCTCTGCAGTAAGCACCTGCTGTCAGTGCTTGTAAACCAATCAGCAGGTGCCATATTTTGAAGAAGCTGATGTGGACATCATGGCTACTCGTGGGACCTCACGTACACCCATTTACACACCTACTAAAAACCTAAAGCCTTTTAAACAGCTGTCGTCCAAGTCATTATTTTCTTAGAGAGCGAGCTGAAAGTTAAACATCCTCCTTAATGAACTTGACAGATGCACAGATGATAGGTTGGAAAATAATGATGTAAATAAGAGGATAGAAGTGAAACATATGGGAAGGAGGGGATTATTTTTTACTAAGCATTATATTACCTCACACAAAGAGTGCACAATATGGCTGTAATTTAAGCAGAGAGGTGTGTCACCTGAAGAGTCTATTTTTTTCTTTCTTTTGAAATGTATGATATTTTCAAGAGCCCAAGAGAATTAACTTTTTATGATATTTGTTGAAGATAATAATTCAAGTTTATGTTTTTTAAACCATAAAAGTGCAGATACTTAATCTTGCAGGTAACCTCTTATTGCATTTATAGATATTTTTATTTGGGAGCATGGACATTTCTGAGATGACCTATCTGAGATTGTCATTATATTTATAATCTAGTAGTCTGCTGCAATTTTAAAGTACAATATTTGTTATAAAATATTTCTGTCATAATGGGAGTAGAGGGCAACAGAGCACTAAAAAGCAATTAAGGGAAAAATTGCCGTATAAATTTCTAGAGCTTAGCATTTGAAAAATTGTCTTACTGCATTTTATGTCATGTAATCATTTTTAAGAGCTTTAAAAAATAATGTTTTCATGTGAATGTTAAAACTGGAATGTAAATGGGTAAAGTTCAATAAGAACTTTTAAAAAATGTGGATGCAAATACATTTGTGATATTAAATATTAACTTTAAAGCTATTTTATATATTGTGTTTTTTGCTTTTAATAAGGATGGAATAGAGAGCTTAAAGAGAATACATTTGCATATTATATAGAATGATTGCCTGGGAAATCCTCCCATTTCTGTATTTATTGCAGCATTGGCAGTGGCTTCAGAATTAGTAGTGACTCTAGAATGACTAGTTTGACTAAAAAATTACTTTCACTGAAAAATTAATTCCGTAATAATATATTTCCTTCTTAGTGTTAAGAATACTAAAGGTATTATTCCTTTGCATTATGGCTTAAAATATCCTTTAAAGTTGCTATTTTATTATGTTATATCTTAGACTGCTTATTTCTTAGAGAAATAATGTGCTGGGGTTTTTTTGCCAATTTCTTTTTTTCCTCAAAAAAATATCTATTATAAGCAATAGGACATTGTTTGTGTAGGCTTGGCTTTTTCATTATTCCACTCATTTATTCTGTATATATTACAGCTCATTTAAGGGAAACTACTGAGCACAACAGCATTACCCCAAACAGAAATTTCCCGGGCCATCCAGATTCTCAGGACACATCGAGAAATGCCTGGGCTGGTACAAGAGCCAGAAAGAGCCCTGATGCTCCCAATAATGCACCTTCTGCACCACAGCTGAGTCCTGGGAAGTACATGACTGCATTTCAAAGTAAACCGGAGATAACTCAGCAAGAGCCTGTTCTGGGCTTCGAACCTGTTTCTGAACAAAGCAAGACAAGGGTTTTCGAGCCCCCACTGGGTTATCAGAAACATACCTTACGAAGCATTGCGTCTCCTTTGACAGCTCACAGGTTAAAACCAATCCGCCAGAAAACCAAAAAGGCTGTGGTATGTCTGCTGTCTTGCAAAGTTACTGTGTGAGGTTTCCTTGTGTTAATAGGTTTTTGGTATCAAATATGATTTTTTTTTGGTTCCCTATAATGTTCCTTTACTTTCGATACGAGTAATAAGCTCATTTCAAAGAAAATAGGCTGAGTGTTTATGGGATAATGGCTCTTGTTTCCTTCTACTTTAAAAATTGTGACTTGATACTGATACATTTTGAATTTTAAATTATTGATACAAAATTTGCAAAAAGTACTGGTCAATTACTGTGTTAAATATGTATTCACAATTCCAGTCACTAAAAGTGATCTTTAGTGTTACCTTTTGCTTTTGTTTAACATATAATCCAGACGCAAAAAGGTATACTAGAAAAATATACTTTTTAAACATCTGAAACTATTTAAAAGAAAAGGAGTATGCACAAAAATGAAGTTCAGAGTTTAAATAAATGTCATGTGTGATTTGAAAACAGTGATTTTTATTTGTTAATTTTACCCTCATCCTGTTTTCCATTTCACCCAGTCTTGCCTTTGTTTGGCATACTATTGTCTTTTCAAAGTCCTTTTTCTCCACCCTGCCTTCTGCTTCCTTTCTGCTCATTGGTTATCATTCACACTTCATTATACCTCCTTCCCGGCACTCCTCGTGTTTCATAGTTGAGCTCAAATACTCCTGTGGTCCAGACTGTTGCAGTGAAGCAGCTGTTTTATTTTGCCTTTGACTTGTATTTCTGCCATGGTTAAGTACTTTTGTCTTAAGTATTACATATGTCAGAGGTATTCTAGTAAATGAGTTCTTACTGATGTTGGATTTGTTTGTAGGTGAGCATACTTGATTCGGAGGACGTATGTGTGGAGCTTCTAAAGGAGCATTCATCTCAGGAATATGTGAAAGAAGTCCTTCATATATCTAGTGACGGGAATATGGTAATGTGCTTTGTCACTCGAGCATTTAGCCTTTCACTTCCTTCTATAATGATGGCTTAAATATTTTTAAATCAGTTTTTCTGATAGTGGTAGTACTTCTGGAATTCAGACACTGAAACAGGATACTACACATATTTAGATAAATTTGTGTGGATTTAAAAATAATTATAACTAGTAACAAATCTAAACTTTAGGCTTAAGATTAAAAAGAAAAAAACTTACTTTTAGAGCATATTTAGCATTTTCTGTAAAATAATATTTAATATTACATGTGAACTCTTCAAAATTTTAGTAACAAAATATAGTATTCTAATTTAATGGCATGTAATTAGAATTGTTAAAAAATTTTTTTGACAGATCACTGTTTATTATCCATATGATGGAAGAGGTTTTCCTCTTGCCGATAGACCGCCATCACCTACTGATAACATCAGTAGGTACAGCTTTGACAATTTACCAGGTAGGTAAATTTACCAGGGGACAAATTTAGATAACGGACTTCCTATGTACAAACTCTGTATATGCAGTTATCGTAGGTTGTAAATATCTGGTGAAATGGGGTGTGCCTCACTACTCCAGTAGTTATTCCTGTTCTGTGTTGTAATGGTAGAAACTAACTGTAATATTTGTTTTGAGTCATGTTAAAAATTCAACACGTAGTATCTAGTTTTTGACCTTTGAAATTATGGCTGTGCTACATAAATGATCATTTATATTTGCAAATTTGCCTTCTAGTTCAGCTCTTAGACATGGACTGAGGAATTAATTACTGAATAGTAAGACTTCACTTACTTGACAATTAGAAACAAACAAGAAAACCTGTGTCATATATCTCTATTAGACAGCAAAACAGCCCTTGCTGTGTGGCTCAGTGGATTGAGCACCACCCTGTGAACCTAGGGGTTGACGATTTGATTCCCAGTCAGGGCACATGCCTAGGTTGTGGGCCAGGTCCCCAGTGTGGGCCGCCTGAGAGGCAACCACACACTGACGTTTCTCTTCCTTTCTTTTTCCCTGCCTTCCCCCCTCTGTAAATAAGTAGATAAAACCTTTATAAAATATCAAAACAGATAGATAAATGACAGCAGTTATAAGGAATTGCAAAAATTTACTTGTGTAAGGTAGGACCATAAAACTATGTCTTATTAACATAAAAAAGGGCTGTATTTCTTTTTTTGGAAATGACTTGGTCCTGATATCTCAGGTAGATGTCTTTTCATTTCACTTATAAAACTTTCCTGAAATTATTACCTTAGTTATTATAAGGAGGTGAGTGGAAGAGATTTTTTAAATAATCATAATACTACTCATCAGATTTTGTTATATATATTTCTTGGAAACTTTATTATACTATCTTTAGTTTTTATTGAAATGATAGAATTATGTTCTAAAATTGTTTTTTTCTTGGTACCAGGATTACAAACCTATCAACTTGCATTTTTGAGGCACAATAGAAATACTAAACTTTTATGTAATTTATATGCCAAGTCAGCATTTTATTCTCTTATGATATGTAACTTCTTTTTTCCTAGAAAAGTACTGGCGAAAATATCAGTATGCTTCCAGATTTGTACAGCTTGTAAGATCTAAATCTCCTAAAATCACTTATTTTACAAGATATGCTAAATGTGTCTTAATGGAGAATTCCCCTGGTGCTGACTTTGAAGTTTGGTTTTATGATGGTAAGAACCATTTTAAAACGGTAATTTTTTTCTCTTTAGTTTATAATTTAATAGTTGTGGAGTTTTAAAATTCAAGGCAACAAGATTTTAAAAGCAGTATACACGCATATTATATATGTGAGTTGAGAAACTCAAATGGACACATACAAAACTATGAGAATTATGAAGGTTTAAAGGGATGGGATTGAACCAGAGAATCTTATTTTTTAAATCTATTCTATAAAATTGATTTACTATTTAATATGTAAAGCTCCCTTCTTTAAGGGATGCTTACACATAAACTTACACAGTATACATATAATTATAGCTGTCCTTCAATTGTGTTTTTGTATGAGAGAAGTGGTTTTTTAAAAATATTGTAAATGTTTGAGACTTAAGCTAGCTGTATGCAAGAAAGAAAACTGGATGCCCTGTATTTACTGAATACTTTGTGAACCTCATTTTATTAATGGTCAGTAAGTGAATATAAATGATACTGTGATCTAGAAGCCTTTACATACTGGTATAGTAATGAATGTAAACCTAGGAATATTTTTTAAAATGTGAAAAGAATACTTTTCTTCTTTTTTAAGGAGCAAAGATACATAAAACAGAAGCTTTGATTCATGTGATTGAAAAGACTGGGAAATCTTACACCTTAAAGGGTGAAAGTGAAATTAATAGCTTGAGAAAGGAAATAAAAATGTATATGGACCATGCTGATGAGGTATGTACCTGCTTACAGGGTTTCATACCAAATAATAGTGATGACAAATGACAGGGGAAGTAATGACGGAAGGCACTCTTCTTTTCAAATAGGGCCATCGTGTTTGTTTAGCGCTGGAATCCATCATTTCGGAAGAGGAGAAGAGAAGTGGAAGTGCTTCCTTTTTCCCAATAATCATCGGAAGGTAAATGCTTGACAATGTTTTAAATATGGCTAAAATGTATAGGAAATGTTTTTTAAAAGTTTGGTGTTTACAATATAAACCTTCTTTACCTTACTGTAAACTAAACTTTAAAGGAATATGCTTGGACATTTCTTCCTCCTGCAGAAAACCGAGCAGCACCAGCTCACCTCAGGCCTTGTCAGCTCCCCCTCCTCCTAAGGATCCGAACTACCCGATGAGTAGAATGATGGTCAGTAATGCTGCTTCTCCGAACCAGGCACTAGCACTTAATCCTTCTGTAAGTGTTGTAAATATATGTCCCTTCTGTCCCTACAGCCCTTCAGTGATTGCCTGATGCCCTTGATGTCCAGTTAAAACTCCTTTATCGCCTTCCATATATACCTTACATACTGTAGTCTCACCTACCTACTTTTCCAGCCTCAGACTGATCTACCTCACCCCATGCTTTCTGTGTCTGAGCCTCAGAAGCCTGCTTCTGATTTGATGATATAGGTCAGGCTCTCAAGAGCCTTTTCACATGCTGTTCACGTGACCGGGAACTCTTCTGTGACCCCTCAATGGCTAATTCATTTTCATCATTCAGGTCTTACTTTAAATGTTACCTTAAACAGCCTAACCTGTGTTCCCCTTGGGAAAAAGCTAAATATATTAAATTAAATATTGTTGTTTCATTTTTCCTTGTAAAGAATCATTAACTACCTTTATATCTATAATAGGCTCATGGTTAAATAGATGTGTGTGTACTCACACACATGCACACATACATACCGCAGTTGCAGCTGTGAAAAATTGTACCTTGGAGAAAAAGGAAAAGATACATACCAAAATGAAAACAGCAGTTGTGTGATTTTTTTTTCTCTGTATTTTTCTCATCTGTGCTTTTCTGATTTTTTCATAATATGGTCATGCTTTAATTTTAAAATGTTGTTTAAAAACCTTATGGAAGCTAATAAAACATCCAGTCATTTGCCCTGGCTGGTGTGGCTCAGTGGATTGAGTGCCGGCCTGCGAACCAAAGGGTCACTGGTTCGATTCCCAATCTGGACACATGCCTGGGTTGCAGGCCAGGTCCCCAGTGGCGGTGCGGGGGCGGGGTGCTTGAAAGGCAACCACACATTGGTATTTCTCTCCATGTCTTTCTCCGTCCATTCCCCTCTCTCTAAAAATAGATAAAATATATATGAACATTTAAAAAAGTAATCATTTTCTACTTTTGCTACAGTTGGCTTCTAATAATGCTTTGGTATAATATCTTCCTTTTACTGTTCGTAGATGGCTACAAGTGAAGGACTTGGCTTTCCTGCTTCAGCTTCTGGGACAAACACCCCTTCTGGTGGTCTAAAAGACTGTCTTCCTAAATCAGCACAGCCTCTGAAATCCGTTTTTGTGAAGAATGTTGGTTGGGCTACACAGGTGAGAAGTTAATAGGAAAGTGAATTTTCTCATGAATCTCTTTGGTTTTCACAGTGATTATACAATTACCCAAAAATATAAATTAAAGATTTCTCTTTGCAGGAAAGTTTTTACACCTTTTTTTTTTTTTGGCATTGGTTGTATTATTAAAAATTGAAACATTTTTAATGTATAGACAGTTGGAAAACTTTAGATATTGATAACAGATTGCCTGCCAGGGCTTGGGTGGCCTGTTTTTGCCTTTGCTTTTTAAAGTACAGGTCATGATAATGGCTAATGGCTTGGACTTTAGAATGATGTTCAGGGCATTTTATTTTATTTTATTTTTTAATATTTTATTTTTTTATTTTTAGAGAGTGGGGAAGGGAAGGAGAAAGAGTGGGAGAGAAACATGTGTGGTTGCCTCTTATGTGTCCCCTACTGGGGACCTGGCCTGCAACCCAGGCATGTGCCCTGACTGGGAATCAAACCAGCGACCCTTTGCTTCACAGGCCCGTGCTCAGTCCACTGAGCTACACCAGCCAGGGCAGGGCATTTTAAAATTTAGAAACTTGGTAATCTTTATTACTAGAATAACATTTATTTGGCCAAAGAGGATTTCTGCATTTGAAAGTTAAATCCACCTCGAGTTTCAGACTTACAGAATTTGGTTCAGTTGTGAAAGTGTATGTGTACACTGTCTAACCGCTTGAAGCTTGGGGGCTTTTGAGCACAGCACATGCTATTTTACCAGTGAAGCACAGTGCAGCCTAAAGGGAGGGGAACTCAACACTTGCTGACTATTTACAATGTATTGTCTCCTTATTCTTTCAAATAAAACCTCACATTGATGTTATCTTCGTTGATACACAGTTAAGGTATGGCTCCTGGTGGCTGACTGGCTTGTGCTGCCCTACTTACTTACTAGGCAGAGTGTGGGTTTAAACCCAGGTCTCTGGCTCCGGAGTCCTTGTCACCTTCTCTGTACTCTGGAGGGCGCATCATAAATATCAGCGACTAAAGGAACAGGTTTAAAACCTAAGATAGGAGATCCTCCGGCAGAATAGAAGTTCTTGTCACCTAAGAACAAAGAATAGAGGGAAATCCTAATTTAAGAAGTGTCCCGTTTGTTATTTCCTAAATCTTTTCTTGGTTAGCAATACTATTGGAAAACAACAATAAAAAAAAAAAACACTACTTCTATGTCCTAATGGAAAGAAATGGGAAACAGGATTCATTTAGAAAAATTTTAATATTCTAAAACCCTAACTATTAAAAGAATAGTCTGAAAAAGACATGCATTTTCTCAGTTCTACTGCCGTCACAGCTCCTGAGAGAGGCACTGTTTTCTTTTTTTAAACTATAATCTGTTAAACATGAGTATGTTTTAAAACCTAAAATCCTCTATAGTGATTTCGGACCCTTACTATTTTTCTAGTTAACTAGTGGAGCTGTGTGGGTTCAGTTTAATGACGGGTCCCAGCTGGTCGTGCAGGCAGGAGTGTCTTCTATCAGTTACACATCACCGAGCGGTCAGACAACTAGGTAAGTTCTTAAAGCACCGGTTGAGGTCCAGGTCTTTGCTCTGAGTTTCTCTGTACATTGAAATAATGATTTAGTAAACTTACTGTTTTCACTTTGACAATGCTTATGTTGTTTAAACTGTTAATTATTCTTAGGAGTTTTTTTTATAGTCTATTTAATGCAGTCTGTAACCTACATGAATGCAGGGTAATTGTTATGGAAAATCCATTCCAAGTGGTTAAGATTCTTTGTAGCCTTATTCCACAGCCTTACCAGGTTGGTTGGCTCTTTTCAGAAATAAACTTCTAAGTTCAAAGTAATATACCTAAACGATTTATGTCAAAAACCATAGAAGCTAGAATTTTTTAAAGGAGATAACCAGTTTTTTTCCCTCAAATGAAAGGCTGTATTCTTATCTAATATAATTAGATGTTGAAACATGTTTTTGAATGTATATGTTCATTCTGTATGAAAATATGTGCCAGACACCATGCAAAAAAATGAGGAGTCAGGCAGTAGCACAATTAAGCCATGGCTTGGTGTCCACATTTCAAACAGTGACTTCTAGAAAAGGTAGGGTGATGATGGTGCTATTACAACAGGATCCTACGTGAGAAGTGCTTATTGTGAAGGAGTTACATTAGACAAATACAACTTGTGGTTATCTACCAACTGATTTTTTTCCTTAAATGTGTACACGTACAGTGATATCATTTAAAGAACTACTCATGAAGTTGGGGCTTTCTTTAGTAAGCTCTTTCAGATGCTCCAGAAAGTGGAAGGATGCAGATATATGAGGGGGACCCCCCCCAAAATAGAATTATCTTCTGTAGGGTGGGCCCCTTGTAGTACAGGCTTCCCCTGCTAGGAACCCATCTGTATCAGTGTACCAGCTGGTGTTGTTTGGAGAGGCTGCATCTAGCATCAGTGAATTTTTTTTTTTAAGACTCTTCAACACTTTTGCCTGTTTCATGATGGGTGATGGCCAGCGCATCTGTCCACACCCTGCTGAGTGTTTAGCATGACCTCATGCCCCAACCACCCATTTCACCCTATCTTGCTCCAAGCAACTTTTTTGTTTCCCCTGATGAAAAAAGTCTTCAAAGAAAAGCATTTTGCCCATGTGGAAAAGATGAAACAAAAAACAGCAGAAACACTAAAAGGCATCAAAATCATCAAGTTCTAAAACTGCTTTGAGCAGTGGGAGAAATGTCTTGACAGGTGTATTGCATCAAATGGAGAGTTCTTTGAAGGTGATTGAAGTTTAAACAAGAAAGAATAAATATACAATTTTTATAAGTAAATTCTGGGTTTTTGGGATCCCCCCATGTTCCAAAGACAAAAGTGCAATTTTACTTGGTATAGTCATTTGGAAGTTGTTTAAAATTTGAATAGAAATGTATTTATACCTGTTTAGCCTATTATTTTTCTTTGATTAAGACCTGCAATTTAATGAGGAATCTAGATCTTCAAGTTGCTTTAGAAATTATAAAGCCAGCTCAAGTTTTTCAGTCAGTTTCTTTTTACTATTTAAATACATTTTAGTCTATTTTGAAAGGTAACAAATTGGTTATGCCTAACTTGATTTAGGTATCTACTCCAATAAATAATTTTGTATAATTTTCCTGAGATACCTCTGCCAGTTGAATTTCTGAAAAGTGTGAGTTTGGTACTCTCGTATGAACTAAGTAATTAAGTAATGTTTTTGTCTTTTTTTCTTTTGCTTCACTTAGATATGGAGAAAATGAAATATTACCAGAATACATCAAGCAGAAATTACAGTGTCTTTCTTCCATCCTTTTGATGTTTTCTAATCCAACTTCTAGTTTTCACTGATTAAAGCTCCTTTTAGATAAATGTTTAATAAATAATGTTTTTATTGGCTTTCAAGGAAAGTGACTTTTTCTTATTTAAAATAACTTCTTCAGAAAGCCTCTCTACATAAGAGAATTTTAATCTGTACCATAGTGGATGCATTCCAATGAGAGAGCAAAGCAGAAGGAAACCTCAGTCACTTACAGAATGTAGTGGTCATCGATTAAAACAGGACACCTAACTTTGCTCTTAACACATATACCCTGAAACGTACTGTGTTCATATATTTGTATTGAACAGTCTTTTAAAAGCAAAAATATAAATGGTACGTGGTATATTTGTGCTTTCATTGTTTTCCCTACTTCTCAGACATGTTGAATCATGAACAAAACATGGAGTTTTTAAATTTTTGAACATGTAAATAATGTGTATTTATGTTATAAGTAACATATGTAAAGATGTATATTTGTTTTTATATTTATTTTTGTAGTACCAGTTTCTGGTGAAGCATTTCTGCTGATGCATTTTATATAAAAGTGATAATAAATACTGTGATGTTACTTCAGCTTTTGATTTGTTCAATTACTTATTGTAAAATAAGTTACTAGTAAACTTGTTATTAAATTTTGTTACCTCTTTGTTTAGGAGGAGCCAATTAAATTTTAAAAATTAATTTTGCAGATGGTAAATAGTTTTTCTACCCCTTCCTGAAAATATGTCTGTATTTTAACACTGAAGAACTTAATGCAGTTAAGTAACAAGGAATGCTTGATAGTGGGACAGTCATGCTTAAATATGATATAGACTGTTTAATGTTTCCTGCTGATTTTTATAATCAGAGAAATTGTGAAGGCAATCCCGGGAAGTTGATAGGAATACCCAATGACCCATTTATTCAACACTGTTTTGAAGCTTTTTACCTGAGGCAATGAGAAAAGTAGTTTTCAACATAAATTGCAAATTAACATTAATAAAAAAATGATGAATAACCCAGCAGAAATATGGACAAATGATACGAACAGGTGATTCACAAAGGAAATCCTTATAGTGACTCCAAAGGATACGTGCTCAACATTTATAGTTCAAGAAATGCAAAATTAAAACAAAGTTATATCCTTTTGTCGAAGATAGATTAAAATAATAAATGAGGGCATTCTCATATGTTGTTGATTAGAGTGTAAATGATCATCTAATAGATATTTGGCAGTACCTATTAGAATTAACATGTATTAATACATTGCTAACCCAACTTTGGTGAAGAAAATTATATAGGCCTTTCTCTTAGGGGAAAAAAACAGCAGAAGTAAGAGTTTCCCTTTAAAAATGGAAATAATTAAAAGAATTCCTAGCTAAATTTTGAAGGCTAAAAACTCAAATATTTTGCTTTGACAGAATTTAAGTAGGTATATATTTTACAATATCCTTTGGTCTTAATGTTTCAGGTATTTCTCTAATACGTAACATAAAGCTAAATTTTGTCTTTTAATTCAATCTAATAACCTTGTTTGAATTGTCATTTTTTATTTTACTGTTTGACATTGCATTTCTATTACATTGATGTCTACTAGCTTACTTTGTGCTTTCTACCTCAGTTTTCTTTTTTCTTTCCTGCCTTTAATCCCATTGATTCTCTTTACCAATTTTCTTCAGGAGAGGAGTACGGTGGTTGTGTATCAATAGGTAGTGTGTCCAGGAGTACGGCTAGGACAGTACTCACAACCGCACACGTCCGCCTGCTCTGTGCTGTGTCGACCTGGAGCCGCGTGGTGCTCACCCGCTTTTAATGCTAAGAATGCCCAATGGGCTCAGGGGCTCATCCCTCCTTTAGAAAGTTCCTCACTCATTTCGCACCTAGTTTTTAGCATTCGTTCATGATTGTTTGCCCGAAGCTGCCATTTCACTAAGGGTTGCTAAATAGATGTTTGCCTAATTGTTACTCCATTTGTAGTTATTAGCTTGGATTACTCTATAAGAAAGAACTCATCAATATTTGACTACCCTGAAGTTTAGGTACAGGAAAGGCAGAATAGATGCTTGAGTCTTTATTTTCTAGTTTCCAGAATAAAGAATTAAAGCTCTGGCAACCTCCAAAGGTGACCAAGGAGTTTATTTTTAGTAGTATTATGAACTGAGATTTTACGCACTTGATGTGTTTAAATAAATGACACATATTATTGTCAGTGCTTTAACTGCTCTATTTTTGGCCAATAGAAGTCCCTTTATTTGGCTGTCCCTTGGCAAGACTCTAGGCTTCGACAGCGCCCTTGCTTTGTGGCATATGTCGTCTCATTTCTACGACGAGCCTGGGATTTTTCTCAGAGACCATGTTACCTTAAATGCTTTCCCATTTCTCTTAAATAAAGTACAAAATACTTAACATGGTACAGTACCCTGCTTCCTGATATGATTTCATAAACACATTATCTCTGTAAGTGGGAAACTGACCCCTTCAGTGCTCGGGTTTTACTAGGGCCCGTGTTGCCCTGAAGAAGCTGGGTACAAGCTGCTTCGTGTGTTTCCCAGATGGTGCAGTGATACGAGAATAGCTGAGATGTGGTGTAGTGGGCAAATAGTGTATTTGTCGGCTCAGCAAACCTTTCTTTGGTGAGACATCCCCTTTTCCTTCTAGTTATAAGTCTGTTCTGTCCATGTAGTTGAGAAGGGCCTCACAGGGTTCTTCCCCTCTCCCTCCCCCACAGACTGAACGCATGATCCAGGCCCGGCTTAGTAGGCGATTCCATCCTCTGCCCATCTGGTCAGTTCTGGGATGGGTTTGCAAGCTAAACTTGGCTGCTTGGAGCCTTTTCTGATCCTTCTGCCCTAGCCATTTTTCTCTGAAATTGTGAACTATCCAGACAGATTTCTTTGATTTTCCTGTTTGGGACAGATACCGTTATTCACCCTTAAACCTCCCTAGACTGGTCTTTGGTCATCCTTCCCTCAAGCAGAAGCATCTGGTAACTGCTGGTCTGATGTCTGACTTTCTGTCCCAGGGGCTTGTATTTTGTTTGCTGCTGTTCCCAACAATGTCATGGTGAGTAAATATGTATTGGAAATGTGACTAAGTAGTATTTCAGAGCTTATGGCAGATATATAATAATCTTTTTGTTAGAAAATGTACATCACAAGGTAAAATACATTAAATTGCAAATAAATCTGCAATAGTCAAAAATACCCAAAATATCCTCTTAAAATAATTTATTCTTGAGTGGTTTATCCTCATCAAAACAATAAATTACATACAGATTTATTTTACTTATCTAACAGAAAAGGTTTTTTTTTTGTTTTTTTTTAAGATTTTATTTATTTATCTTTAGAGGGGAAGGGAAGGAGAGAGGGAGAGAAACATCAATGTATGGTTGCCTTTTGTGCGTCCCCTGCTGGGAACTGGCCTGCAGGGAACCTGCCTGCAACCCTGGCATGTGCCCTGACTGGGAATCGAACCGCGATTGTCTGGTTCGCAGGCCCGCGCTCAATCCACTGAGCTACACCAGCCAGGACAGAAAAGTTTTATACAAATGAGTTTATTTACAGATTTTTAACTGGAGTTCATTTTAAATATAGACAAAGGAAAGTAGCATGAAGAAGTTTTGTGAAATTATAAATCCCTACAAAATATGATAATCACTCTTAACATTAACAAGTTTAGGTTTTCCAAACATCTTTTCTTATACTACTTTTAGTAGTTTTTCATAACTTTGGGTTTCCTATCATTTTTTTCAGTTTATTTTCAACCCCACTTAACACCTCAAGGAGGTGACTTTTTCCTCAAGCTTTACCTCCCTGCTGTCTCGTCAACCCCATGTTACTTGCTCATCTTTTGTGCCAAGGTATGCACTGGTATAATCCCCCAGAGAAGACAGTGTTCTCAATAGAAACATTGTAGTCATTTTTGTGAGTTTATAATTTACCTGTACTATTATAAATTTTTAGAAGTTGGGAAGCTTTTCTATGTCATATTCTTGCATGGAAACAGCCTAATCATTGAGTTAAGAAAAAAGCCTGTCATGGGCATCAAACTGTATTTGTCAAATACTTAACGCTAATCAAGAGTCACTGGTCCAGGTAACTTAATTTACTCTGTAATCAGCAGTCAACTACCTGTTACTGCAAACTGGGCTGTTTTCCTTGCTGTGAAAAACAGTGGTTGGGAGTGGAGGCCCTGAAGACAGACTGTTACTTAGACAAGTACTTCAGCTTTTTGTGCCTCTATTCCTTCACCTGTAAAATGGAAATCGTAATACCTTTAATCTATAAAACAGAATTAAACTGTACATTACACATTACCTAGGAGATGAACTCTCTAAATCTTCACTGTCACCATTTTTTATCGTTATCATAGTTCTACCATGCACAGCACCTACACCAAGGGTGGACTACAGCGCCCCAAAAAAGTAAGACAGGAACAGCTGCGACATCAGGGGAAAGGGACCCCAGGATGTGACCAAAGAGCCAGAAAACTGGCCAGCGTCCTGCTAAATCTAGCTGAGGCAGGGTCTTGCTGCGGGAGGTGGGAAGGAGTGACAACAATCTCTAAAATGTAACCGTAGGATTTCTGCCAGGTTCAGCCTTCTATTACAGTGAAGAAGTTGGATTTAAGAGACAGCAAACCTCAGTAGCAAAACAGCCAAAACAACCCAATTAGAAAATGGGCAGAGGACCTGAAAAAGCATTTGCCAAAAGAAGACACAAAAATGGCCAACAGGTAGGTTAAAAAGGTGCGCCCCGTATCACTAATCCTCGTGGAAATGCAAATCAAAACCATCACGAAATACCACCTCACTTCTTTGTGTAAGTGTGGCCTGTCTACATACATACATATTAAGACATAATGGAACATCATTTCATTAAGAAAGCAGATCCATTTGTGAGGACATGGGTGGACCTGGGGGCATTATGCCAGGTATGATATCACTGGTATGTGGAGTCTCAAGGAGCTGAACAGTTGAGGCAGAGCCGTACAACGGCTGCCAGGGTCTGGGGATGGGGGGGTGTGGAGAGTCGGGTCAGAGAGGACAGGCTCCCTGTGGTAAAATGACTGAGTTCTGGGGATCTCAGAACAGCCTGGACATTACAACTAATAATACTGTATTACACAACTTAAAAGTTGCTGAGAGAGTAGGTATTACATGTTCTCACCACAAAAAGGAAAAGGTAATTGTGTGATGTGCTGGAGGTGTTTGCTAATGCTATGATAATCATTTTACAGTCTGTAAGTGTAGCAAATCAACATGAACACCTTAGACTTACACAATGCTGTGTGTCAATCATATCTCAATAAAGCTGGAGACAAACAGAAGACACAGGGAGAATATACCCATCTACGAACCGACGAGAGAGGCCTCAGAAGAAACCAACCCTGCCAACACTCAATCTTGGACATCCTACCTCCAGAACTGTGAGAAATAAGTTTTTGTTCCAGCCAAAAACAAAACAAAACACAACATAACACAGTAACAGAAACTTGGTATAAAGTGCAGATCATAGTGTTTACTCTCAGATTTGGAAATGTAAGTAGAAAACATTTAGAAAAATACTTAGAAACAGCTTTACTTTTTTGGGTAGTCCTGATTATGCATGCACACGATTCTGTACTAGTTCCTTTTATCAGCACCTGACTTACATAGTGATAGAGATGTGCACACACAGACCCTGTCTTAAGCACACTCTGTATCTGCTAGCCTTGTTACAGAACACAGGTCCAAGGAGGCGGGGGGCAGTATCTGGCCCACCAGGGGCACCAAAAACTGTTACAGAATAAAGGGGCCGAGGTTCATTATGTCTGCTGCCCTACAGAAAAGACATCTCTCAATGCCAGAGATTTGTGAAAAGGAAAGAATTATTTAATGCTATACAGACTTAAAGTAGTGACCTAATGTCTTCACTAAAATATCAAAGTCCTTTTCGGATACCCACAGACATGCACAGTGCTTCCTGATCCCCCTGCTCTAATTTGAGGTACTGTAACTCAGGAAAAGAAGCAAATGTCCAGGATCCAGGCTCCTGGCACAGTCAGCTGTGTCGCTGTCCAGGCTGGATCTCTAACTAATGCAAAGCCATGTGGCACCTTCTCATGGCCTCCTGGCAAGAGTTCTTTGTACCCTTCTTCCAGGCAAAGTCTCTCCTGCTTCCCAGGCCACATGGCCAAAGGGAGCACCCCAAAGCCACGTGGTCCTCTTCTACCAAAGCTGCAGGGGTCTCTACTCTGGCCAAAACCGCATGGTTGGTTCTTTCCTTTACCAAAGCTGCGGGGGTCTGCACTCCCCCCCCCCCCCGCAAAGCTGCAGGGAGGAGAGGGTTGCCACTCTAGCAAAGACACACGGTACGCTCTTCAATGGCTGCTGTGTCTGGGTTTAAATCCCTGCGCCAATATTCCTCTGTACCCCCATTTCCAACTCCTCCCACAACCCGTTACACCTGCCAGCATTCCTGTATTATTCCAAGTTTACTGGGCTGCCATCATGAGTCTGGGCAGGTATGGCCCCATGTCTTGGAACCAATCTTGTCCGAGCTCTCACACAGGCGCTGTAACTTGGGGGACCTGCCCCCACAGTTACACCTTTCGGGGGAGTGACTTCCATCCCCCTGGCTCCATGCAGGGCCACAGCTATTTAGCATATCTAAGTGACCAGCCAAAGGCTATAGATATATTAAATGACCATGCCAGGGATTAGCTGCAAGGCTGTGGCTGTACAAAACAGCCCTGCATGTGTGTCCCTTCCCCCACCTCACACCTGTGGGGGAAGGGGTGAGGATATCTTATATGTCTTTCTGTTTCCTAGACACCCTGAGTTCTGGACCCCATTCCAAATCCCTTTTTGGGGTCCCCTCTTGGCTGTGCCCTGTAACAGCCTGATTGTACTGGGGCTGCCATGGGCCGTCCAGGTGTGAAGTTCTGCAGGTCTCAACAGCTGTGCAGACAGACGAAAACTGCTGTGTCTGCCCTGCCACAGCTAAGTGATGGGAAAAATAAATGCAGTGACCATTTTCCTCCAGAATTTAAGGAGGTGGAATAAACAGTTTGTTGTTCAGTATGTGTATACAATAACATACCTGGCTTATGTTTCTAAAGTATTAGCACTTGAAAGAAAAAAGTATCCCTACTAAAGGCAGTAAAATCCATCTTGATCTCTTCATCCTCTTTATTGCTAAAATACTAGAATCATTCTTACTCATCTACTAAAACTAGGGGTTACTCAGTGAGATAAGACAGAAGGTGTACTAAAAATAACTTAAAGAAGGTAAGGTGGAGTGTCAGTCATGGTAAGTGGACAAATTAGAGTAATAATACTTGTTTCACAAGGAAACTTGACAGAATAGAAAATACATTTTTAAATAAAAAGTAGCTATCTTTGAATAAAAGCTATCTAGGTAAACAATTTCTATAATTTCATTGTGTTATAGGTAATTCTTTCAAAACTCTACTATAGTTTCACTGCATAGATATTCTCATTATTTTAAATGATGCCTCTGCAGTTTGAATTAAAAATACAATTTCACATTTGTAGGCCATCACTCATGAGTTCATGGAACACTGAAAAGGTGCCGAATGAAGAATATTTCTTTTCTGAGAAAAATAAATTATGATCCAGAATGTTTTTTATCTTCCTATTCACAATTACTCATCGAGTTCCCTCTGCTATTCAACCTATGTTCTTGCCATTCGAAGTATCCAATACCCGAAGCCAACCTTTGGAAGCAGACTCACGGCTCTGTCCAGCAGGGCCTTGCGAAGGGAAGTCCCACGCAGCCAGCACTGTCCATGCCAGCGTTAGTTAGCTAGGCTACTCTTGAATATTTCCGTGCCTTACAGAAAAAGCAACGAGTCTTCTGTAAACCGCTCCCAGGAGCATGATGGCGAGCACCACTATTCCACAGACAAGGCTGAACGCCCATCGTGGGCCCCAGGAAGTGTACACCTGGCTGATGTACACAGGCCCCAGAATCCGCGCCGCACTGCCGGAAGCTGTTAACCAGCCCATGTACACACCCTGCGAGGTGGGGAGGAGAAGAGACAGACTGATGGTCAGGTTTAGTTATATTACAAACAAGGGTGGCACTGTGGGAAACACAGGAATCACTTTCTCCATCTTTTATTCGTGAATTAGATATAAAATGTCTTGCTATAAATAGAGCAAATAATGAACAATAAACTTATCTGATAGAGTCAGGTCAGGAAAAATAATAGTAGTGGAAAGGAACAAAATATCTGCTGAAGCCCTAGGAATAATAGAATTTATTAATTTACTTTTTTTAAAAAAAGTATTTTATTTATTTATTTTTCAAGAGAGGGGAAGGGAAGGAGAAAGAGTGGGAGAGAAATATCAATGTATGGTTGCCTCTAATGCGTCCCCTGCTGGGAACTGGCCTGCAACCCAGGCATGTACCCTGACTGGGAATCGAACCGCGATACTAATTTATTAATTTACTTTTAAAGGTATTTATTTTGTACTTGCTATCTTCCAAACATTGTGTTAGGTGCTTTGCAGATGTTGTTTACAATGTTCACAAATGCCTTATGGGCATTACCCCATTCAGCGAATGAGGAAGCTGGAGCTCACAAAATTCAAGTAACTCTGACAGGAGGTTTGAAGCCAGGTTTGCCTGACCGCCCTGTACCACCTTCCACTACCCCACTTGCCGCCCCTCCAGCGACCAAGCCCGAAGCTGTAACCCATACTACCCGAGAATGGGCAGCATTACTTTCAACTGGGTTTCCCAACTGTTGCCTAATTTAAGAATGAGTTTCAGAGCTTTATGCTTCAGATATTTTTTTCTATGAAAATGATTTTGAGCTCATAATCTCGGAGTTCAAGAGATCTTTAAGGTCTTGGAGTACTTTTTGTTCAATTTCAGCATATAAGTCCTGTAAGTACTTTTAGAAAGTTGTGGGATTTTTAAAAATTCAAAATGCTAATAAATATGATTTTTAAAAATCCCCCATATCAGTTTTTGTGAACACAGAGAATGGTAGCACAGAATATGGGTGCTTACAAGCGTATTTCACTTAATTGCAACGCCAGGGTAACTGACTCACCTGAGGCTGTGGTCCCAGAAGTTTTGAGTATAACGTATAGGACATGACATTGCAGGAGGGATAGCCAATTCCAATAAGCACAGCTGACGTGAAGAACTGGGCCAGATGGATCATGGGGGTGTAGAGGCACCAGGCTTGTTCAATGGGGCAGCCAGTTGGTTCTTCACTGTGATCTCTTGGAGCCTTCCAAAGAGCAATAATGATTTCCCCAAATGTGGTGTTAGGGATTGAGTTATTATGCAAATCTGTAAAAACCAATTTAGTGCAGTGTGTTACTTGTTAATTTTAGGTGAACAGCAGAGGCTAAACTGTAGAACTTTGTATGGCTGTACCTTCCCACTGTATTTTGGGAAGCTGATTCCCCCAAGGTAACAAGACAAAGAAGCCAGCCCACACGATGATGAGTCCTCCCAGCAGAATAGCACGCTCGCCAACCCTGTTAAAGAGCAGAAACTCTGTGATTTAAAAACAAAACATTACCTAGTATAACACAGTTCATTACTTTTATCATTTTTAAAACTATAAATAAAATATTTTGATTCTTTCAGTGATACACCAATTTATACAAATGCTAAATATAACTTCTTCCCACTAAAAGGCACCAGTACCCTAAAAACCAGCTCATTCCAGGTCTGGGACGGAAAACACACAAGATGAGCGGGGGGCATCAGTGACTATTAGGTCCTGATAAAGGGACCTGCAGCTGACGGGAAGAAGCCAGCCCAAAACGTGACAATGTGAACCCCAGAAACAACAGTGGGGATAACGGAATGAAACAGACGAATATGTTATGATCTGTGAATTCAGACTATACTAAGGTAAAATACTTTTGGTCACTTTTAGAGGATGTTAGGGAACCAACTCTTTATTTTAAAGTCAGTCACTAAGATAAAAGAATCCCCGTCTTTCCTATACAGACTATACCTCAGGATAACCAAAAATAGCTGGTGACAAGAATGGTTCTCTTTATAGAAAATGTTGCAGGAAATAAATGAATGAATGAGTGAATGAATAAATAGAATTGAAACTTTGGCATTTTGTAATGACCTACTAATGAATTAGTAGGACCTAACAAATGTCATGGGCCACTAACATGATTAAAAGATAAATACAACATGACATTTCTCCTGATGTAAGCATATAACACCACCTATAGAGTATTCCGGCCAAAAAAACCTGAACCCAAATCTCATCAAGCTTTTAGATCTAAGTACTAATTTGGAGGAAACACAGCAGATACAGGAAAGTGTTTTTTTTTTTTTTTTAAATACCACAGGAATTCAATCAGTGAAATCTGCAATGTGGAAAACCGCAAACATCCTGGATTCCTCAATTTGCAAAGGAAAAAGAGCTCAGTGGAAAAGAAACAGATGAAAAGAAACTTAAGATGCTCAAGAGCCTCAGTCAGGTGAGTAAACTGAAACCAAAAAAAAAAAAAAAAGTTGAAAGAGTAGAGAAAATTTGTATGCTCGTGGGTATTTGATTATATCTACAGTCACATAATTTTTTGGATGTGATACTGTCATCATTAACTTTTAGAGATACACACTGAAATATGTATGGAAGACATGGACTGATGCTGGGTGGACTTCAAAAGAATCCAGGTGCAGGGGATAGGGAATGTGGAGTAGGTGGAGGAACAGACAAATCAAGAATATCCATGAGTTTGTCATTGCTGAAGCTGGGTAATGGCTATTAGAGATTCAGCACATGATGCTCTCTACACCTCTGTTTATGTTAGAAATTCTTCATAATAAAAAGTGAAGTATACAAACTAGACCAAAGCATTTTTTAAACAAACCCAACCCTGGCCGGGTGACTCGGTTGGAGCATCATCCAGTACACCAGAAAGGTTGTGGGTTCAATCCCCTGTCAGGGCAGGTACAGGAGGCAACCTGTCAATGTGTCATTCTTTCTCCCACACACACAAATCAATGAACCTATACTCTGGTGAGGATTAAGAAAAAAAGAAATCCAAACACTTCCCATCATATGCAGAACACTTCTAAGGCTTCACATCGTTCCAACCTGATCTACTGTATTTCTCTCACTCTGCTCCAGTGAACTGGCCCTCCTGCTTGTCCCTTAAACACGCAAAGCTCAGTCTTCCTGGGGAGGAGAGTTCTAGGCCACTGCGAGGCTGCTCTCTGACTTCACTGACGTCTCCGCTTGGATGTGACCTCCTCAAGCATGCCTTCTTCGAGCGCTCTGTCAAAAGGCCACTTCCCCTCTCTCCTAACCCTGCCCTTCCAGTCTCTTCTGTTTTGCTCCTCTGCATAGTACTTAGCACTACCTGACTTCCCCTTTGTACTGGCTTCCCCCCCAGTAGAGTTCAAGCTCTCTGAAGGTATGGAATTGGACAATCGGTAAGCATGCCAATTAGCAGGACCACTCTACTCCTGCAGCAAGATGTAATGCACCCACTACTGTGTAACTCTGAACACGAGCCTGTCTCTGTCTACATCACATCTTGGCCCTCCATTTGGCTCTGTAAGAATCTTCATGGCATCCCCCACAGCACCTAACCCTGCACGCTAGCTCAGCATTCGTTCATCGATTTCAAAACTTTATTAGAGTACTAAAGTATTAAAGTATTCTAGGAATAATTAAGCTGTTAGAACTGTCTTAATTCATCTACTAATGTCCTACCCCAGATTATATGAATGAACTAAATTTTATACAAGTATTTCCCCCCAAAATTCTTTACAGTTGCACTTTGACAAAATGCTTCTTTAGAAAAAGTGTTCTTGGTCGAAGTTACAAATAACTTTTAGAAATGCTAAATGCTGTATTCGTCACCATGGTGATAGGATATGTATATACTGAAGATTTAGAAGTTTTAGAGTAAAGAAGTGTAGTAATTTTAACCAGAATTTTCCAATTTAACCATCAAATCTTTGTTGTATAACATACTACCATATAGCAGAACAATGTTTTATGAAATAGTTTTAGAATACTTTAAGTAAATGCTACATTACAAATGCTACATCAGAAGACAATTATTCACTCTGTAAATAAATATCTTGCTTTCCTAAATATGCCATATGGTATAGAAATATGCTCTCTTAATGAATTTTAAATCTGTTTTCAGATGTTCAAGAACTAAAAATAGAAAAGCTTTAAATTATTTCACTAACACATTCATTTACATTGTCGAATGTTTCATGTTTCACTTTTAAAATATAGACTTGGAACAAAACCTAAGACACATAACTTACTTTTTGGAAAGTAATTTAATCCCCATGAAAACAACAATGGCCTCCACTCCCAGAGCAGCCAGGATTACCCCATCATATAGCACAGCTCGTTCTCGGGTCCAGGCGTACATGTCCATCGTTAATGGAGTAAGGATGCTGAGGAAAACAAAACAAGTTATTTTATTTAAATCTCAGTCACTGTCACCTAAAGTTGATACGGAAGCTTTAAAAATGCTATTGACACATTAAAAAATTTGTATGCCTTTTAACAATAACACCAGATTACATAAACAAAAATTTTTACACATTTTTAGCACATTTAAAAAAAATTCTCACTCAAGATGTTTATCGATTTTAGAGAGAGATAAATGGAGAGTGAGCGAGAGAAACATCCATCAGTTAACTTCCATATGTGCCCTGACCAAGGGTTGGACCCACAACCCTTTGGTGTTCAGATGACACCCTAACCAACTGAGCTGCCCGGACAGGGGTTTTGACACATTTTGATGTTACATGCACAAGCTACTAATTTTGAGTGTTAGTGTTTTTCTTTTTTAACATTTAATTATAAAGTAATATATCTACATTACAAAAAGTCTGATAAACAAAAAAATAAAACCGACCAAAACTATCACTCTACTATAACTAAATACTCCTGATTATATTTTGGTTTAAATTGGCCTCCTTTCAATGAAATTATGTTACTATTATTAGGTTACTAGAACCTCCAGGGATTCGTTCTCTCTTCCTCAGTCTCTTTCATCCCTGCCTTTGTATATATTTTTTCACCCTACCTCTGAATGTCTCTCTTCCTTGACTGTCCTTCCTTGCCAATCTTCTTTTCCTACTTTGTCTCCTTTTGTTAACTAGCTACAAAATGGAATTGAAATGTATTTAAAATGTCATTTTTAAAGGATATTACCATTTTTTAATTTTAAGGTAAGATGAATACTAAGGAACATAGTTTGGCTGTTTCCCAATGAGTTACACACAAAATTACCATATGACCCAGCAGTTCCACTTCTGGATATAAACCTAAAAGAACTGGAGGCAGGGACTCAAACAGACACTTGTACACCAATGTACACTGCAGCATCATTCTCACTAACCAAAAGGTAGACATAACCCAAGTGTCCACTGCCAGATGAGTGGATAAACAAAGCTGGTATATACGTACAATGGAATATGATTCAGCCATAAAGATTCTGACACATGCATGAACCTTGTAAATATCATAATAAGTGACATAAGCCAAACACTAAAGGACAAGTGTTGTACCATTCCACTTACACGAGGTACCTAACACAGGCAAATTCATAGCGAAAACTCATAGAGAAGAAATTCATAGAATACAGGTAACCAGGGGCTGGCTGAGGGGAATGGAGATATTGTTTCATGGGTGCAGAGCTTCTGTTTACAATCCTGAGAAGGTTCTGGAGAAGGATAGTGGTGATGGTTGCACAACACTGTGAATATACTTAATGCCATTGAACTGTACAATTAAAAGTCGTTAAGATATAAATTTTGTTATGTATATTCTGTAATTTTTAATGCTCAAAAAGTCAGATAAGCTGAAACTTTCATATATGTCAATAATTTTTTTAAAAATCAAGTGAATCCACATGGACTAGTATAAAAATGTGACAGTGTATTGATAAGGGAATAACCAAACATTCAAATGATAATATCACATATTCTATGTCGGTTTGATACACATTAACACTCCCCAATGCTTATAGAAAATGTATCCAGAAAAAAAAAAACACTGAAATATTAGCGGTGATTACCTCCAGGGAAAGGAGTAAGGGCTGAAATACAGTTATAGTATTTAGGATATTTACAAGAATGTACTATATTTTATAATGGAAAGGCATTTTTTTAAAAAGCCATATGATAACTAAGGTCAATAAAGCCTACAAAGGCAGAGCTTTTGTGATGCATTCGTTCTTTTCAGGATCAATTTTAACTCTATTTAAGAGTTAAAGTTGCCAGAGCAAAACAGAGTTAAATAAAGTTAAAGAGTTAAAATTGCCAGACTGAAGCCCATATCCATATGTAGGGAGTTATGTAGCTTAAAGTTTAATCATGACAAATTAAAGTTTTATCATTGTACTTATCATAAAACTCCGAAGGGGGAAGGACTAATGAAACATTCCTTTAAAAGGAAGTAAGATTATAGACAGAATTAACTACATTTAAATTAAAAAACATAAAACAGTTTTTCCATCATGACAAAAAAATGGATCTTACATGAAGGTTTTGAGAACACCTATGTGCCTGAGTAATACTGCATCAAGAAATACAAGTGTTCACGTAATCTGATTTCAATGCAGACAGAATAACACTTACGTTTCAAAAAGGGCAAAGATAAACAGGATCACGAAAAACAGAACATTGGTAGTCACAACAGCGACTTGGTCAATATTTCCTTGGGGAACCTGAACTTCATCTGTACTTGCTAGAGTGAACAGGAGAAAAACTGTATGATCTACACGTGTTACTTTTATTATGACACAAAGATGCAGAAATTCTATGTAGCAAATTCTATGACTAAACATTTCAAATCATTTTTAGACTTCAGAATAGACTAAAAGTAACAGAATTTTTATGACAGAAATAACTTTTAAAGATTTTTACTTATTTACTTTTTAGAGAGAGGGGAATGGAGGGAGAAAATGGGGGAGAGAAACATCAGTAACGTGAGAGATACATCAATGGGTTCCCTCTCACACGCCCCCAACTGCGGACCTGGCCACAGCTCAGACACGCGTCCTCACTGGGAATCAAATCGGTGACCTTTTGGTCGGCAGCCCGGCACTCAATCCCCTGAGCCACACCAGCCAGGGCAGAAGTAACTTTTAAATGGTATTTAAAAGTAAAGTAAATTTTCCCAGGAAATACGCTTCACTTCTTTTATCTATAGGAGATACTCTGTCTATCTGATGTCTCTCAATCCCAAAGAGGAATGTATTTAACAGAATTCTATAAAATGACCTCATACTAAATACATTTGCTTTACATTTCTATCACATGGCTTTTTATCTTACCTAAATCTTAAATTTATGAGGATTTCATGAAGACCTGAAATAGTTTATTAAATCAGTTCTCAGTTCTATGATTCACTTCAATAAGTATATTTTTTATTCTGAATTTCAACGGTGTGTGAAATTAGTACTAGTAAATATCCATATGTTATTGACAGAACTTTTAAAGTCCTTATGTTATTTATATTTTTGAAAAATATATTTTGCAGAGAACCACCAAGTTAGGATGGTTATTCTAAATTAGGAAGACAAAAGTGAGGGTATGGACTTATCTTGAGCAATGTAGTTCAGCTATACACTCAGTACAAACTAGTCCTGATATAACTGGAGAAGCGTGTAGCCAAACTATTGGAGAGTTCCTTCTCCAATAATAAATTAGAATTGGAAATAGTTTGTTATACTTGGAGGCAAATAAGCAAGCAGCTTGGACACTCAAATAGAATCATGACCTCCCCTTAATTTTTTAAAAAATAAATGTTATTTTTACTTTTATTTTTTAATTAATTTAATTGTTGTTCAAGTAGTTTTCTGTCTTTTACTCCCATCCCAGCCAACCCCCCCCCAGTGCTCCCCACCTCCCTCCCCATTTCCACCCCCCCTTAGTTTTTGTCCATATGTCCTTCATACTTGTTCCTGTAAATTCTTCCTCTTTTCCCCTGAAATTTCCTCCCCTCTCCCCTCTGGTCATTGTCAGCCTGTTCTTTATTTGAGTGTCTTTGGTTATATTTTGCTTGCTTGTCTGTTTTGTTGTTTAGCTTCCTGTTAAAGGTGAGATCATATGGTATTTGTCTTTCATCTCCTGGCTTATTTCACTCATCATAATGCTCTCCAGTTCCATCCATGCTGTTGCAAAGGATAGGAGCTCCTTCTTTCTTTCTGCTGCATAGAATTCCATTGTGTAAATGCACCATAGTTTTCTGATCCATTCATTTACTGCTGGGAACCTAGGTTGCTTCCAACTCTTGGCTATTGTATGACCTCCCCTTCTAATCACACAAGGAAAACTGTAGGAGAATGGCTCTTTGAAAACAAGACAAAGTGATTTCTAACAATGGTTTTAACCCTGCCAATTGTGAACACCTAATAGCTGATATGAGTATGCCTTTTTAAAAAAAATCAATTTAGGTAACTTTGAACTTTGAAGATCTGCCCTCAATCACTGTATTGTCCTCAGAAGCAAAATCTAAGTAAATACCAAATAGGATCTTAGAAACACTCCAATAACATCATAATATTTAGTCAAACAAGTTAATAGTACCTTCTTGAAAATTAATATTCTTACACTGTCGTCCTGAGTCATCCACACGATGTTCTCTTAAAAAGAAAAAAAACAGAAATATTATATCCATAGTAGCGTGAGAGCAAAATGGTTTAAATTTATTATAGGCATCTACTTTTTCATATTCTGACACAGTTTCTTTTACTGGCTTCTAAGTAATGAAATTATTAGCAATGAGATATAATGAATAAAATTTAAAGATGCAAGTCATGAATCTTGTTATATTATTATAAAATGTTTAAAAAATTCATCCAAAGCTATATTTGATCTACCTTAATCAGTATATAAAGCTTTGCAATGATTTTCAACTTTAGTTATAAATGTCTGTGGACTCTTGGAAAAAGCACCCCAGATAAATATAAGGTAATCACATTTTTATAGTTTTATGAAATTTCTTGTAACAGATAAAAGATAGAGGTACACTGAAATTAACTTCTATGTTTAAGGTTGATACTAATCATTACTCTACTTAAAATGTTGCTTTCGTGCCATTTCCCTGCTTAGAATCCTCCAGTTAGTAAATCAAGAAACAAACCTTAACTCTTCAAAGACCTCATAATCTGTTCTTGTTTATCAGATCATCTATTATTTTAGTTACGAATATGTGTATTAGCTAATCAAAAAATATGAACACAACTACAGACATCAAATACCATAGGAATAATTATCTATGCAGATATGCATACACTACATAAATAATGATAGTGCTTATTTAATTTCACAATGTACAAAAGTAGTTTTATCATTCCTATCTACCTACCTTAATATAATAAGGATGAGAAGAATATTCAAAGCTCCCAGGAAGGCACCAAGTAAAACCGGTGCTGTGTACATGTTTATCTGAAGTCCTATCGTCTCCCATGTCACGCCCTTTTCTCCAATGAGTGCAAAACAGGTCTGAAAAACTTATTAATGCACACAAGTGAATTATTATATGAAAGACAAAGACAAAAAAATGTGAAAGATATTTACCACAAAATTGGAAGTCACATCGTGAAATGACTCATCTACACCATGCATCTCAAAAGAGGGAGGAAAACTGGTTCTGGAAGAGGGGGCAAAGAATTTACTTTGAAAGCAGAGATATGCATACAATACGTAAACGATATACAGTACATCTGTGGTATTAAATTTTATGGCATGGAGTGGTTAGGGGAAAAAATGTCCAAAAAGGCTCCTTAGGGGGTCAATAATGAAGAAAAGATTGAGGAACAATGATGTATATGAATTCACTAAGGATTATATCTAAAGTTACTTGTCAGTAACTTTGTTTTTCTCCCAATCTCCATAAGGAATATGGAGAAATTATACAATTTCTTCTATAGATCAATTATGAAAGTTTAATCAATTTCATTATAAGTATCACATTTTAAGTAAATATTGTGATATATTACTGTGTATATGGTATTAAAATTATATATATTTAACATTTTAAATCTGGTTTTGCAGCAAAAATCAGGTTGGAAGAATAGTGGTTTGCTCTCTTGATTTAGATTCTGTAATCTGGCTCCTCAAACATTTAAATGTAATTTTAAGGTGAAAATTAAGTAAGATACTGCACCTAAAGCACTTAGAACAGCATCTAGTACATACCCAGTAAATGTTAGTGCTTGCTGATGTGGTTATTTTGGGGAAAGTCATCTAATCTTTTCAGGCTTACATTTATTTATCTATAATATAAAATGTTTAAATGTAATCATCTTGAAAATACTTTTGAAGTGGTCAAAGTATTTACTGAGAACTAAGTGTACACCAGGTGCTGTGCTAGATACTGAGGGTAGAGAAGTAAATGACACAGGCCCAGACTCTGTCTGCATATTTCATATGATGGCAGTAGATCCGATTCTACGTTTGTATTTATATTTTACTTCAGAATACTAAAATGAAACATTAGATACTGATGAATGAATTAGATTCAAATCTGTTCAGCTTTTTCTTAGTTAAATAGAAAGAAGTAACAGAAATTGGGGCGATAGTGCCATGCTGTAAAGTAATGAAGTGATGATATAACTTCAAGTTTCTTTTTTTTTTTAATTTTTATTCATTTATTTTTAGACAGAGGGGAAAGGAGAAAGAGAGGGAGAGAAACATCAGTGTGTGGTTCACTTGTGCACCCCTTTCCAAGGACCTGGCCCACAACCGAGGCATGTGACCTGACTGGGAATTGAACCTCGACCCTTTGGTTCGCAGACCAGCACTCAATCCACTGAGCCACACCAGCCAGGGCTTAGCTTCAATTTTCAATGCATGAGCCAATTATATGGTTTCAATGTCATTGTGGGTATAAAACTTACTAATTTCTCAATTCAGCAAAAAATAAAATTTATTGGCCTTGGGGAAGTATTAAATATCATTACTATTTTTTTATAGTCAGCTAAAGGATGAAAACTTTGGAAGAGGAAGAAAATACTAAGTCTTTAAAAAATTCTCTAATTTTCTTCAACCTTAGAAAAGTCTTAAATGTATAGGCAAAAAGCAAAATAACTTTCCTTAAATCCTTCAGTCAAAAAAAATTTGTTTCTAATAAATTGAAAAAAACAGCAAGCTCTAGCAGACAGGTCAAACTAAACAGTTATTTCACAGAAGATATATTTTGGAGTCAGATAGCGTTTGATTTGAACCTTAGATTTCCTCTTTACTACCTGGCTGACATTGGAAATTTACTTAGATTGTCTATGCCTTGGTGCCCTAATTGTAAAAAGGGACTCATATAACTTAACTGAGAGGAGAGGAGTTAACATATACACAAGGTGGGGCAAACACAGGTTTACAGTAATTTGTATGGAAAATAACTAATCAATAATAATACAACAATAAACTTTCTGTTTCACATACAACTGTAAACCACCTTTGCCCCCTCCCTGTAAAGAGCCTGGCTTCACTGCTGGATCCAAAAACATCAGTTGCCCTCCCTTTCTCTTTAGCTGTGAGATTTTATACTTGGATTTCATTTAACATTTGAACCACAAAAATGTTCCCAACTCAAATTCAAGTAATGATTTTGAAAAACACCCACCTGGACCTAGAATAAAACCTAATGCTTGGCATGCACTTATGTTTGCCATGGAGTTTGTTCTTTCCCGAAGAGAAGTAGCACCAGCGACATAGGATCTGATAACTGCTACATTTCCTAAGAAAAGACACAGTAAAAGAAAATATCCTTCAGCTGACAGAAGTCAACTTAGTTTGTCTTTATACAGAGGAGATATTTACAGTATAGTCATGCTTCCTCTTTATGTTCCTTATTAAGGAAGTATATCAATTAGCAGAAAATACTACTTATAGTAATATGAAAACAGTTAAATATCTAAATGATTAAAAATGTCATTTTAAGAATGTTAAACTATTTTTAATCATTTCAAATACTGAAGAAGCACTGAGTGAATGGCATACTACTGATTGCTACAAGTATTTTTAAAAGATGTCACAAACTGCAAGTTTATACCTGTAACATAAAAAAACAGAATAAGAAATCCACTAATAACCTAACTCAAAAATTTATGGAGCACTTATTTTGTGCAGGAGACTTTGGCAGGGGCCACAGAATACTATATGGTAAGTCAAACTGTCTCTAATTACAAATGTTTACTTTCTGATTGGTGATACAAGATAAAAAAAAAACAGCAATGGTACAAAACAGCTTATAAGGGGCAGAGTGGCCTAAGAAAGTTCATGGAAGATGTGAAACGAGCTAAATATTGAAGGATGAAGGATGATGGGAACACAAGAGAGAAATTACAGGTAAAGGAAACATCATGAGCAGAGGCGAAACGATAGGAAGGTACCTTCATGTTCCTAATCACAGATCTACATATTGAGCCATGAGATGAGAGACTGAGAAGGGCTGATATCGGGTGAGACTGGGCCATACATGTCAGGATGCATATGAATCTGACACAACTGAACATATACATACATACATACATACACACACACACACACATTACCTGCTCCGAATCCCACCAATCCACGAGCAGCCAACATGTAGTATTTATTGTGAGAAGCTGGGACGTGCACATACGCATAGAGGCAGTTGGCTACCACCGAAATGAAGGTGGAGACAATGAGAGGTTCTTTTCTTGGTCTGTAATTAGACCACAGACCAAATATAGGTGACGCTACCATTTGGCCAAGACTAAAGGAAGCAATAACCCAGCCCAAAAAACTTGCATCAGCTGTCTGATCAATCTGCAGAAAAAAGTACAATGCTTTAAGAATTACTATGCAAAAGTCAAATTTAAAACATTAATACATTTTTCTATAAAATATTTCCTATTTTAAAAAATAAAAACAATTCTATAAGTTTTTTAACACTATTACTTAAGTGATTTAGATTTCTGACATTACAATTAAATCTGCTAACAATTCACTATACACAAGGAAAAATGCTTGCAAAGCTTTCACCTTTTGGAATGATTATGAAAATACTTGGTTCATAAAAATATTATTAAAAATAATCACATTAACATTATACAAATAATATGCCACTCTTAATTCTTATAATAGTTTTCTTACCATAAGGTTTTCAAGACAGTCTAACTTACAAGCTAGCCACTCTCTCGCTCTCTACCTTCTTTTCTCTGCACACTCACCCCTCTCCCAATTCACTTCTACCCAAGTAGAACTCTGCCTCTGGGCCTTTGCACAGGCTCCTCTACTGCCTTTTCCACCAGCAATACCTTCTGCTTCCTCGCCCCCACCTTGCCTTCAGGTAACCAATTTCTTAAACTTAGTTCAGGTATAAGTGATTTTGGAAAGTCTTCCAGGTTCTCTTTAGTTTGGATTAGCAATATCCCCCTCTCCCCCATGTCTGTCTGTCTGTCTGTCTGTATGTATGTGTGTCCATATGTCTTCTCTCTCTCCATCTGTCTCTCCTACACACATACCTTTAGACCTTTACCCACTTATGTTGTATGGTTATTATCTGTAAATGTGTTTAGTTTAGCACATGTCAGTGAAAGTTGGGTCTACATCTCCTCTAAAAAACAAACAAAAAACAATGCACACCCTGGTCAGTGTGGCTTGGTTGGAGTGTCATCCTGTAATGGAAAGGTTGCAGATTCAATTCTGGTCAGGGCACATACCTAGCTTTTGGATTCAATCCCCAGTCTGGGCGTGTTCAGGAGGCAACCAATTAATGCTTCTCTCTCTCAACAATCTTTCTTTCTCCCTTCCTCTCTCTCTAAAAGCAATGAAAATAATGTCCTCGGGTAAGAATTTAAAAAATTGTTTTTTTAAAATGTGTGGTATTATTGTATTTCAAAACATTCTTCTCTAAACAGGTTAATCAACAAAGTCGAAGTTCTAGAAATCTTCATGCTTTTCTATGGGAGCGAAGGTGAAGAGAGGTCTTCCAAGCCCCCTCCACTATTTACTCACAGATTATTGCATATTCGTTCAATTAATGGTCACCGAGGCCTTCACTGTGACACCAGTAAACAGTCGCTGGCGTCTAGTTGTTCCCAAACCATGCTCTACTTATCTGGCTCTGAAAAGCCCTGTATTAGAGTAGCTGCGATTAAAAAATAATAGTATGCTTTAATTCTTTATCTGTCAAATGAGGTTATCTTGGGGGACTTGTTAGAATTCTTTGAGGCTATACGTGTACAGTACTTAGGGGCTATGGCAACATACATAATATACTCTAAATGAATGTTACCTAGACCAGATAAAACCCAGTATTTCTTAGCATATTGTTTCTACTAATAATGCCACTTCCTGTTTTATTGTAACTCACGCATATTCCCACTGTCCCCCTGGGCCTATAACCTGCCATTCCTCTTCGAAATCTGGGTTTCAGTCCCACCTCTGGGTAACAGTCTGAAGAATCACTTGCTGAAGGCTGGTTATCAGCTGGGGCCAGAAGTACAATTGGGATCTGTAGTAGTGCCAAATTCCTTTGACAGACAATTGACTCAGTATTATTTGTTTTCTGCGGGTTTTTGGCCTAGCTTTTTATCCTTCTCAACAGATGGATAGCTAAGCTAAGTAATATGCTAACATACTATCTTCAGAAGGATAGTAGCCTTAAATTAAGAATTAAAAATGTTAAGGTAGAAGGTAACATAGCTCTGTGGTGAAAAGTCAAATTTTGGTTTCAGATAGGCTCTGCCATTTTGTAGTTGTGTGACCTTGGCAAGCTACCTAATTTCCCTAAATTTCTTCACCTGTCAAACAGGAGTGATAATTACTTCCCAGGGTTATTATGAAAATCAAAAGATAATTTAGGTGAAAGATTTAGTATTGTACTTGGCACCCAGTGAACTCTCAATATTATTACGAAATAACTTGAGAAAATTTTTTTTTAATTTTTACTTATTGATTGATTTGAGAGAGAAAAATGAGAGAGGGAGGCGCATTGATTTGTTGTTCTACTTATTTGTGCATCATTCGTTGACTCTTGTATGTGCCCTGATCCGGAATGGAACCTGCAACCCTGGTATATTAGGACAACACTAACCAACTGAGCTACCCAAGCAGGATGAGAAAATTAATCAAGTTTTTCTGGTGAAAACATTTTTTTTTTTTGTATTAGTAAAGAACTAGTTTAAGTTCATGTACTCACTACATTCACCTTTGAAGAGCTTTCAAATATCTGGAGAAAGGAGTGAACCTTTTTAAAATTTAACATACTGGACTGAGTTGATCTACTACAAATAGCTTTCTTTGAAAAGTCTGAGGTTAATTAGACTTGATACAGGGACCACACAAATCAAGAACTGTGATACACAGAAATACATTTTCAGCAAAGTAGATGTTGCTCTAAAATAGTTAAATATTGTTTCAATTCCAATAACTGTCAGTATGGAAAGAATTTTTAGTGTTATGGGTAATAATTTTTTAATGAATTTTCAAAATAGCAATGCAAATGTGACACTAAATCTAGTTTAGCTTTTTTTTTTAATTGGGGAAGTAGTATTGCCGGGCTGTAAAAGTATCTAATAAGTAGGTGTCCACGCACGTGCATTTGCCTGGGACTCTCCAGGTGTGACCCTGGCTCCTTTCACTTGGAGAGCATTCTGGTTCACACAATAAGGCATACAATCACCTTACTTACAAGCCTCTTTTGAGGAATTATTATCTTGAGTTATTCTAGTAAAGATTAAATCATAGAATATAAGAGATTCTAGAAAACTCTTAACTACACAAGGTTAATACTACCAAAGCTACTGAAGAGAAGAATAGAGTGAAGTGTACAAACCTTTTGGAGATATGGCCATATTGACATTATCACAATAGAAAATCCTGTAAGAGGCAAACTCTGTTATTTATTTTCAATGTTTTCATTACTATTTACCTATAAATTTAACTATAGCATGGATTTCAAAATATAATTCTGAAATTACAAATTTATGCTCCAAAATGTCTACTTTATCAATGTTTTATGCTTGAAAAGAATATATAAGTATAGTCCCTAGCTATAATTAATATAATAAAAGCCGAGTACCTATTTTTCCTTACAAACCTTTACTATAAATGGAAATTACTAAAAACTTTAGGTTTTTATAGCAGAGTCTGTGCTGTTTGGGAGAAATAATTAACTGTAGGAAAGACTGGGGGGAAATAAACTGTTATCTAAAGGGGGCAGTGGTTATAAAGAACCAGGATAACTCAAAGATCCTTAAAAAAATTCATTATTTCTGTTAGACTTTATTGATTGAGAACTCTAATGATAAACTCCAATGGTATTTGTCAATTTTAAACGTTGGGTACATTTAGTCAAAATTTTTTAGTTTCTTTTTAAAAAGAAGCTTTATTAAGGTACAATTTCCACATACTATACAATTTCCACATTTAAAGTATACAATTAAGTGATTTTTAGTATAATCACAAATATGTGAAACCATCACCAAAGTCAATTTTAGAACATTTTAGTGACTTCAAAAAGAAACCTTGAGCCCTTTAGCGATTACTCTGCCACCTTCTGGAAAAGTCCAATTCACAGAAACTGAAAGGAGAATGGCAGTTCCCAGGGTCCAGGAGGAGGGGAAATGAGTTGTTGTTTAATGGGCAAAGAGCTTCAGTTCCGCAAGACAAAAATACTCTGGATATAGGTTACACAAACATATAAGATACACTTAATACTTTTGATCTTAGAAACAGGTGAAGATGGTAAATCTTACATTATGTGGTTTTTACCACAATAAAAAGTTTTTTAAATTTAAATGATATTACAATGCATTTAATATGCATTTTTAAAATTATTGATTTTGTAATACTTACCTACACTGCTGAGAAACATAGTAAGATACAGAATCCTAATAGATCTCCATCGGCTCTTATAATGCTCTTCAGTTTCTATAACATCCCATTCTCTAGGTGTAAAGAAGAAAGAAGTAGTACAACGCTGTCTCATTATATGCAGATCTTTCTGTGACACTTTTATTTTCTCTCTCCTGAAGTCAGGAAAAGTGGTGTGATAGAGGTATAATTTATAAATAATTGGGTTTTGCTATTACTAATCCTTCTATGACTATGCTTTATTTCTTCCAATTTCCATGGGTAGTATTGTACAAATTTATTATTCAAAAGAATGCTGAAATTTGTTAAACTGACAAAATAAATAAAAGTTTATCAGAATAAATCAAATAAACTAGCTTCAACAATTAGATCTCCCTCAGGTGGGACATAAAACTACTAAGTATTTAAAGATAATCCCTGCCATCATTATGACATGCTCTAGTTGATGACAGCAGATTCACTTTGCCACAGGAAGCTGTTCTGACTGGGTACTCACAGCGACATCAATGTGGACTGAAACCTGGAAGGTTTAACGGGACCTAAGACACTCCAAGCCTGAGACCTGCTGGAACACTTACTTGGCTTTGCTCTAACACAGATACAGTCAGTGAGACCACGGCCCCTCTAGACTGGGCTGATGCTTCACACAGGCCTGTGAACTGGACTGACTGGCACACATGCTAACCGAACATCCTGCCTGTCAGGTGACATGCGTGTGTGTGTGTCATTACATTCTCACACATGCACAAAGAGTTAACAAATTTACCTTAATATGAGAATTATGTCTGCAAATAATTAAGACAAAACAGAATATGTTCTTATGCTTGAAGATTATTTTCTAAAATAGACTTCAGACTCAAATTAGTCTTCAAAAAAGAAACATGTGATGTGACTGGGAGTGGCAGAGACAGAAGAAAAAAGTTGATAACATGTATTAGATCTACTATGTGTCCGGCATATTACATCATTTGCTGATACAATATATGTGTATGAAGTTCCTAACACTATATATGCCATTACATAAAAAAGAAGAGATCTTTAGGCCTTATTCAAACTTCCATGTTCCAACTTCACAAAATTCTATTGAGTTTATATATGATTTTCAAACCAGCACCAAAGTAAAAGTACCCCCCCCCAAAAAGTTGGGAGAAGTTGTTGATAATAACAAAAACACGGGTTGTCAACAGATAACAAAAACACCATGAGGGATATCATGTCTTTGTCTGCCAGAAGCAGAGCAGGCAAAAAAAACTTCAAAAGCAGACATAAAACTTTAAAAGTACAACAGTGTAGAAAAAATAAGTATTAAAGAAAATACTCCAAAATGCCTAAATAGGCCAAGAACATCAGTCTATTACATTTCTTTAGCACTGATATTAACTGTAATCTCAAGATAAAATTTCACTACGTATATTGCTTAGTAAATTGGGGACCAGAGAAATACATTTTCCAAAGCCTTTGAAAGTGGTTAAAATAAGGTTTGTTGCTTAAGAGGGACAAATGAGCAAAAATTAACGTCGATAACTTAAATTTAACTGTGTACTAGTTGTTGATAAATGTTGATAAAAATAAAATACTTAACTACGTTTTCCTAAAGGCAAAAATACATACTTGAAGAGTAAGAGACGAACAATTCTGAATTATTGTCCACAAAGGGGCAAAACAATAAAAATTATAAGGATCAAAATACACTTCATCTCTTAAAGGCTAAAAATAATTAACTCTTCTATTTACTTTGTTCTGTTTGGCATAGGACAAAGGTGAATACATTTCAGACCGGTTTACTTGGCACAAAGAATCAGCAATTAGGTCAATACTAAGGGCTGTGTATTGAAGGAAAGACTATAACCATCATCTCGGAATTTTTGTGAATGTCCGAAGTGCTCAGCTCTGTAAAGGGCCAAATGCAGAATGGCTTAGCGTCTGCTTTAGCAGGACCAACATCCAAGAGACCGAGCAAACGTCTCCAACACCTTCACCAGAACCCGCCCGCTCACGCACGGACTTCCGCCCTTTCCCAGATCAACTTCCGGTCTGGCACGCCCCGACTGCCGGCTCCCGACAGCCGGCTCCCGCCGCTCAGGCACAGCCTCGGTGTGCCCAGTGCGATGCCAGTCCCAATAGCGCAAGAAGGTCAGGGTGCTTTCCCCCCCACCACATCCGCTCACCTGTTTCCGGCTGTGCGGTCGTCTAAGAGCGGCTCCTGCTCATTCTGGGTCCCCAGGCCCGCCATAGTTACAGTTCCCACCGGAGCTGTGAGGCTAACTCTCGCGACATCTACTGCTCCACATCCTACTCGGCCAAGGAGGTCAAAACAATCCACCAAGTACGTTTGCGCGCTCCGCAGCCAAAGGTGGGCGGAACACCCCGGGACCGAGATGGGATCACGCGGGATTCGGGGCGGGGCGTGAGGGCTCATGGGCGGGGCTTTGTGTCCTAGTCCTCATCCTTGGGTCCGCCTTGTCCTGTTCCTGGGACGGCGTGGAGGAGAGCGGGGAGGGTTTAGGGGCGTGCCCAAACGGCCACCCCGCCCAGGTTCTTGGGTTTCCTTGGGCTCCTGTCACTAGAGTGAGCTTCTGCGTTCCAGGAAAGGCTGTTGTGCCCGCGGTGGGAGCCCGTACAGAAGGAGGGTCCTGGGAGGCACGGCAGTGGCGGTGTTGGGAAACGGCCGGCTGAACAGCAGGCACCCGCCAACCGGCCAGTGAGTAAGTCGCGGGTCCAGGCCGCGTCCCCTGAGCCTCTCAACGAGCGGCGTACGTGCCATTTGTCAGGGACTGGGGTCGCACTGCCGGGCTGGAGACCTGGGGGGGCCGGCCCGCGGGGCCAGGCCGGTGTCCGGCGCGCGGCCCTTTACCCCCACTGGAAGATGAAAGTGGCTGCGCGCTCTTTTCTCGCTGGCTAACTGCAAAGGCAGCGCGCCGGCAGTACCTAGTGAGGTCCTGGATGGGGCCTGAAGATGCGGTCCAGCCCCTGTTCATCTCCTGATCCCTGAATCCGCACTCCACCGCCGCCTGCGCCGTCTGGGGGTCTTCCCCAAAGCCTGCTGCCGTAACCTGGGGTTAGAAAAGGCACAGCAGCAGCTTAGCAATGACCAGCTCTTTCCATCACAAGAAAAATTACATTTTTAGAAAATATGTTCTGGGCCCCCTCGACCCACTGCCCCAGTTGATCTTGATGCAGTGTCTTTCCTGGTGTTTACATATTAACATCTTACCCTTGCAAGTCGGCTTGTGAGCTAATTGGTAGCTGTGGTCATGTGTGCCATAATTACTGTGTTGTTAGCACTGTTATAGTACATTTTCATGTGATTTCATTTAGTCACAACTGTCCTATGCCACTTTTCTATTTTATACAGAAGTAAGATATTGAGAAATTAGTAACTTACCCAGAGTCACTCCGTGTGGTAGTGGCCGAGTTGGACCCAAATTCAGTTCTTTTCGATCCATGTTTCTGAGCACTTACCCTATGCCGGGCCCTGTGCTTAGTAATACGTTGCATGGTGTGTGCTATCAGTTCTGATCTTTGTCTTGCCTGCGACCTTCGGTATATTCTGTCAGACACATTCTGCTGGTGAACAGTGAAACTTGGCATGTGTTTTGTATTAGTTTAGAATTATCTTCTGAATCCAGACTGACATTCAGTCTTGCGAAGTTTGATAACAGCTTGCAGAAACATGTCAGATTCCTATGACTGGTTCCAAGAAAGTCCGTAGGTTAAAAAAAATTTTTTTGCTATAATGTTGTTTTACAGTATTATCAGCTTTTCTTTGAATCCCTGGAGTCTAGTACAGTGTATGGCACACGTGTGTGTGTGTGTATTTGTTTATACAAAGGGATTTTTAACCTCTGTTGCACCAAGCAAAATGGTTGTTGCTCATTGAATGAATGCTTATAGAGTTACCTCATTTCATCCCTATAATCGTTGGAGTGGGGTTGTCCCAAGCGCACAAGGAATTTGAAAGCATGGAGATTAAGTGATGTACCTAGGGTCACATAGCTAATAAACAGCTAATAAACAACAGCCAGAATCCAAGAAATAGAGGATTTCTGACTATAAAACCTGTACTTTTCACCACCAGCCTTCCTGTGAAAAGAATGAAGAATCTTTTCCATTATCTCTTAAAATATATCAGAACAGGTATAAAGTCAATTTTATATGTGAATTAATTTGCTATTATGTATCCGGTTGGGTATTATTCCCCTTTTATAGGTTAAGGTGGCTTACTCAAGGTCACACAGCTAGTGGAGGAACCCAGGCCTTCTGACTGTACTATTTTCCACTGCTGCCTCCAAGTGATGACTTTGGATCACAAACCCACGTGGAATGGGAAGCACGTAAACCTGGTGAAATCTAAGTAAGCTCTGTGTATTGTACCAGTTTTTCTTTAATGCAAGAAAAAATTATTTCTTAGGAACACACATAGCACGCAAACAAAGTAACCACTTTTAAAAACCCTTTTTAAAATGTATTTTTAAAAGCCTATAGGAAAGAGGAGCCAAGTTTGAAAAGAGATTAGATTATTTGCTGAATGTGTCACATAGGATCTGAGACAACCCACCCTATGGGTTCCCTTAGATGACTGCTTAAAATACATGTTCGCCCCACTCAACAAATGAACACATAAACTGCCGGTTTTCCTGCTCTTCTCCGGTATGAGACTAAAACAATTAAATTTGTTGAGGTAGGCTAGTAGATTTTAATAGTGGATATCTGGGATATCTAAACTCTTTGTCTACTACCTGGACTTATATTGAAAATAAGTAATTTGAAAGTAAAGGTATAAGGTAAAAATTAGGTCTCTATTTTCGTGGAGTAAAATTGTACATGATGGTCTTTTTCTAAAAACTCATTTGTGATTTTGAGCTACGTATCAACTCTATGAAGATAAAGTCCAGAAGAAATTAGGGTTGCATTGTTGAAATGCGTAGGCATGAAAGCGATAGGAGATAAAAGTGCTAGATGACATAGGGACTGCGGAGTGCCACAGCAGTGCAGCTCATTTTTAGGAAAGGCTTTTCATTCTTTGGCATTGTGCAAGAATTTCTATTTTTGTTTCACTTGCTTTTCCCCTGTTTCGTTGGCTATAGAAATGTGTGGGTAACAGGTATGCCAGTCTGTTTTGATACATACTTTACAAGTGGGTCCTGTTTCTGCAGAAGCTCACTAGTGTCAGACTAGCCTGATGATGCAGGGGCTTTAAGGATCTGGTGTGGCTCCAGATGGTGCCTCCTAAGGTAAATTGGAGTGTTCTTTACCCTGGGATTGGAGTATTATCTCTTCATGGTGGCACTGGATAGCGGATAGCCCTGCCCAGAAAGATCTATGTATTTACAGTGTCCCACAAAACCTGGTCTTTGTACATTGTTCTTGGGTCTGAAATGAGATTTAAGAAGATTTGTGTAAGTGAAGTGTGTATTTATTTGCTTTCTTTTCCTCCTGGTCAGTTGTTTGCTGGCATGTAAATACAGCAAGGGATGTGCCGGCTCTTGATTTGGAGTGCTGAGTCTGATGACCTATATTACATTGAATTAAAGTGGTTGGGAAGGCTTTTCTACCATAGAGATGAAAGTTAGAAATGACTAAAGAATTTTCTAGTAGTTTACAGAACATTTGAAGAGTTCATTGTTCTCAGGTTCTTTCCTAATTCCCTTATAACCTCCTACTTTTATGTTTGTCTTACTTCTTTTTATCTGTTACCAACCTAGAAGAATATTGTCTAGAAAAATGGGATGTCTCATGACCAGTTTAGTGCTTCTTACTGTGAAATATAAACGTTGCAGTTTGGGGGGTGGCTAACACTAACATGGAATCTGTTTATTGCCACTGATGCTGTGAATGTTGCAAAGGAAGACATTGACCCCCTTCCTTTTCCTGCCACTGTAGAGAAAATAGATATTCATCCCTCACTTATAGGCCTGTATGTGGCCTATAATACTTCAAAAAGACATTGAAGTCCTGTATTCTAATGACATGCCACTGTTCTACTGCAGTTTAGTGAATGTACACAAAAATGTACATTCCAGAATGACACAAGGAGTGAAATAACTAAAAGCCCCATTCATGTCTCAGAATTGTCTTTCCTTATGCTATAGAACCCCCCTGAATAGAGTTACATACCTATATTTGTTTTTTTTTTAAGGAGAGTTTCGCCCCATAATTGCAATGTGGAGCACTCATAATTTTGATAATTGGGTAAAGAGTAAACTGTTCCATTTTCACCCGGCGTACTCCAGAGCTCTGGCACCGATCACTCCCAGATCAGCACCGCAGAAGGCAGTGCAGATCCCACAAGCCAAGGGCTCAGTGCTCCTGGGGCCATTCCTTCCGATGCCAGCCACGCTCTGACTTGGCTACAAGTTGGGGGCTTGCTGTGTCTCCTGTGGACTGATAATTTGCGGGAGCACTCAAAGAACTCAGGGAGCCGCTATGCATACAATTATAGCTTTATTGCAAAGGAAACAACTTAGGAGTTCACTACACTTTGTTGTAGTTGTTGCTGTTTAAGTAAAAATTTTTTTAAAGTATAACTTAAAAGTGTACAAGTCATAACTATAACTTGGTTCATTTTCACAAGATGAATAACCTGTGTTTTATATAATGAGGATTACAGTTAAATGTGCTGGCAAGGAGCAGGAAAGGCCACATTTTAAAAGAATCAAAAATTTTACAGTCTTTAGAGATTAATCAGACAGGTGGAAGCTATGAACATTTACTTCCATTTACTCAGACACAAAAAGGGAGTTGTGAAAAAAATGTGACATGCTGAAATAATGGAGGGGGCTCCGGAGAACCTACAAGCTAAATACGTACCCTGACCAGAAATGAAGCTCACAACCCTTTGGTGCAGAGGACAGCGCTCCCACCAACTGAGCCGCCCGGCCAGGGCAGTAGATAAGTATCCTTAAAGCCCATTGATGGAAACACAAGTTTCCATTTTTCATTTTTTAATTAGAATAAACCCAGAACCTGAATCAGGTTTTTCCCCAAAATCAGAACTACACCATTCAATTTGAAAAGACAGAGGTAAATATTAAAAAATAAAGCAAACAAAAGTTTTGGAACTACTTGGAAAAGGAGGATAAGTGGTGCACAGGCAGTAGCATTGATTAATCATTACTTTTCCTGCACTGGAGTGTAGCAGACAGTGTTTATAGTAATTAGATTCTGAGCTGTGTGCCTGGGATTCAGTCTCAGTTCCGCCTCCCAACTGCGGCGTGACCTTAAAGGTAAATCACCTGTCCTCTCTGTGCCTCAGTTTCCTCGTCTTAGGGTAATCGGTTCTTCTTTATAAAATTGTTGGAGGGTTTAAATGAGAATGTGTGTGTATGTGTACATGCGTGTAGTTTTCTGAACGGTTCCTGGCAAATAATACAGTACTGTACACCTGTTAGCCACTACATTTTTGTTTGTTCTTTTTCTTTTTTTTTTCTGGCCACTACTGTTATTATCCAGTAAATGTTGAGTGTTTCTGTCCATCACTGTGCTGAGGATGGGAAGTTACTGCACTCGAGGAATTCAGTTTAGTGAAGCTGAGGGCTCTGTTTCACCTTCTCTGTTTTCATCCCAGTTCTTCTACTCCGTCTCGTGTCTTATTTCCAAAAGAATAAACGCAGGGCTCATAGTTCAGTCTCAGTGCTTAATTATGCTTCCCACCTTCACTGAGATATGATTGATACATACTATTGTATTAGTTTAAGGTATGTAAAATGATGATTGGATGTATGTATGTATTGTGGAATGATTACTACAGTAAGCTTAGTTAAACTGAACTTGGAACTTTTTCCTTGTGGTGAGCACTATTAGAATCTCTAAGATAAATAAGTACGTTAAATAGTATGTACTTATTTATCTGTAAGATAAATAAGTACGCTGGGGATGGAATTTATAGCATGGTCACTGTGGTTAGCAATACTGTATTATATACTTAAAAGTTGTTAAGAGAGTGAATCAATCTTTAATTTTTACCTGATATTAAAGAGAAGGTTAGAAAACTGACCTGCTGCATGAAATAAAATATTTTAATGTAATTTCAGTTCTATTTCATAGATGTTTGTTTACTACTGATGGGTGTGAGCAAGTTAGATGTTCTATACCGGAGACTTCTCCTCACAAAACTTTTTATCAGAGGATGGGGAAGGCCAGAGGATCTTAAAAGGTAAGCGTTTTTTTTCTGAATGCTTGTTCTTATTTTGTTTTAGTAAACTTTGAAACTTGTATTTCAGCCATGGCTGGGAATCTCAGTTAGAGTGTTGTCCCAATACATCAAGGTTAGAGGTTTGATCCCCAGTCATAGCACATACAAGAATCAATCAGTGAATATACAAACAAGTGGAACAACAAATCAGTGTTTTTCTTTCTCTTTCTTTCTCCCTCTCTTTTCCTGTCTTACTCTCCCTTCTTCTTCTCTCTGTCAAATCAATTTTTAAAAAGAACAAAAATAAATAAAATTTTATTTCACTTTTGAAGTCCTTTGAAATATATATATGAAAATTGAACATTAAAAATATTAAAAATGAAATTATTTCCTTTTCTCTCTTTAATTATTTCTCTTATTTTAACCCATATAAATTGAACTATTTTAAAAGTAATTCAGTTGTAAAAATAATAATAAAGAGCTCTTAGAAAGACAAACTAGATTTTTAACTTTAATAATTTTTAATGATTTTATTTATTTTTAGAGGGAGGGGAAGGGAGTGAGAAAGAGGAGAGAGACATTAGTGTTGAGGTTGCCTCTTGGGTGCCCCCTACTGGGGACCTGGGCTACAACCCAGGTGTGTGCCCTGACTGGGAATCGAACTTGCAACCCTTTGGTTCACAGGCCGGCACCCAATCCACTGAGTCATGCCAGCCAGAGCCTTAACTTTAATAATTTTTAAATTGATTAGAGTTTCCAGGGACTGAGCATTCTTGGGTAAATTGAATTTGTAATGACTACAAAGTTGGGATATACTGTAGCTCATGGGAATATCTGGACTTAAGAAAATAAAATTTCAAATTCTGTGCCTTTAATTTTGAGTCTTATATATGTTGATTACTTTCTGAACAATGACATTTCTCATTTTTTATGAGGTAAAATGTCCAGCTTTCAAAAAATAAGAGCCTAATTTTTCTTTGATGATTAAAACTAATTTTAACATGTTTTATAAACTTGGTAATTTTTACTCGCTATTTATCAGTTTCAACATATGGCTGCACTGAATTGTTTCCTTTTTCCCCTTACTATAACAGACTCTTTGAATTCAGAAAGATAATTGGAAACCGAGAAAAATGTCAGAATCTGGTTTCAAGTGATTATCCAGTATACATCGATAAGGTATGCAAATAAAATAAGTGCAATTATAGAAATTCTGGTTTAACGTACATATGTGGCAAGAAGAGATTGAATGTTAAGAGTATAATAACAGTAAACATTAAAACATGAGTGCAATATAGATTTTTCACTTAATATTTTAAAATGCTGTATATGTTCTAACAGGATGCTTATAATAGCTATAGTCATTTATATTTGAGGGCTGGATCTTTTTGAGCCTCATTTTTTATCTTTAAGTTTATAAGGGTTAGAGTAAATTACTCAACATTTCAGACAAGTGGAAGTAACAGGAAAGTACTCTAGTTGGAGAATTACTACATGAGAAGTTAGTTATTAGCAGAAACAACTGTTAACTAACATCAAGAAATGGCATGGGGTATAGTTAATTGCTGAGAGAATGTTAGAAAGAAAAATGCTGTAAAATTAGAGAAGATGAGAAAATATACAGCAGGCCTTTGAGTAATGTCATTTTGTTACAATGTTATGAGATTGTAGGAACTTAACTATACCATTGTTGATATCAGTTTGCCTGTGGTAAAATTGGTTTCCTTGTATATTACACACATCTTAGATCTTCTTATCATTTTCAAAAAATGCAGTACAATTCCAATTAAAACATTGAATTTAGCTTTAGACCTTAGGTCCATAAACACTCCTAAAATTATTTCAGATGAGCCATTAGAGTACCGCCAGACCTGGGAAAGAAGAGTAATGAGTAAAAACTGGTTCAGTCATTCGTCAGTGGGTGTTATGAAGCTGCAGCATGACCAACACAGTGTGATGCTGGTTCAGAAGTAGAAGGCCAGTAAGAGCTTACGAGGGATTGAAAGTAATATGTTAAAATTTACAAAACTTACTTCAGAGTAAATTAGCATTTTATGTCACTTGCAAAAAATGTGGATTATTTAGTACATGAGGTTTTTCACAAAGGATACATACTAGGCCTTGGAAAAGTTTTTAGTTGAATGGAAATTTTTAATAGAAAAACATCTATTATTTAATACATGAGGTTGTCACAAAGGATACACACTAGGCCTTGGAAAAGTTTTTAGTTGAATGGAAATTTTTAATAGAAAAACATCTATCTTCCCTGGCTGGTAAGGCTCAGTGGATGGAGTGCTGACCTGTGAACCAAAAGGTCCCCAGTTCAGTTCCCAGTCAGGGCATATGCCTGGGTTGTAGGCCAGGTCCCTCCCTGGTTGAGGGCGTGCGAGAGGTAAACAATCAGTATATCTGTCACACATCAATGTTTCTCTCTCTGTCTTTCTCCCTCCCTTCCTCTCTTTTTAAAAATAAATAAACAAAATCTTTAAAAAAAAAAAGAAAAGAAAGAAAAGCATCTGTCTACTACAGACAAAGATATCCGAGCTTCCATGTACACATCTTGGTTTTGCTGTTCTTTCAGATTGAAGAGCAGTCAGACTGTAGGATCCTGGATGGACACTTTGTCTCCCCCATGGCCCACTACGTGCCTAATATCATGCCCATTGAATCTGTCATTGCGAGGTAAGAGTGTTTGTTCACAGTTCAAGTACTCGTTTGTTTACATCCATTTACATTATAAAAATATCAGTGCCGTAATATTTGAAATTAATTAGTATTAATTACAACGGTCATTTAGCATTATTCCCATTAAACCTGGGGAGGATGGAGATCGAAATTATAGAGCTTTGGTAAGAAGACTTTTAAAAATAACTTGAGACAAATGAAAATGAAAATACAACAAACCAAAGCTTATGGAATGCAGCAAAAGCAGTTCTAAGACAAAAGGTCATGGGAATAAACACCCAAATTAAGAAAAAAGCAATATCTCAAATAAACAACCTAAGTTTACACCCCAAGAAAAGAGACAAAGAAGGACAAACTAAGCCCAAAGTTAGTACAAGAGAGGAAATAGTATAGATCACAGCAGAAATAAATGAAATAAAGACTATAAATGTAATATAGAAGATCAGTGAAACTAAGACCTGTTTTTTTTAGAAGATAAACAAAGGAGACAAACTTTCAGCTAGACTTGCCAAGAAAAAAGAAAAAGACAAATACCATACGATGTCATTTATATGTGGAGTCTTTAAAAAAAAAAAAAAAAAAAAAAGACCGCAAACTCACAGATAGAACCGACTGGCATTGACAGAGTGGAGTGTGGGGAGGTTGGCAGAATGGGGAAGGTGGTCAAACGTGCAAACCTGCAGGTATAAAGTAAATCTTAGGGGTATAATGTACAGCATGGTGCTGTACTTAATAATTCTGTATTGTATTTTTGAACATTGGTAAGAAAGTAATTTTTAGCCCTGGCTGGTGTAGCTCAGTGGATTGAACATGGGCTGTGAACCAGTGGGTCACAAGGTCAATTCCCAGTCAGGGCACATGCCAGGGCACATGGCCCCAGTGGGGCCATGTGAAAGGTGACCACACACTGATGTTTCTCACCCTCTCCTTCTCCCTCCCTTCCCTTTTCTCTAAAAATAAATAAGTAAAATATTTTTTTAAAGGAAAGTAATTCTTAAAAGTTTCTCAAGAAAACAAGAAAAAAGTTTATAACTATGTGTGTTGATAAATGTTAACTAGACTTGTGATCATATTACAATGTACACATATATTGAGTCATTATGTTATACTCCTAAAACTAATATCTTAAATGTCAATTATGTCTTAAAAAAACAACAATAAGATTTTGAAAGCTGAAAATGGGAAGCCATCAAGATCTACATACAAAAAGGGACCCCACAAAAACCCCGAATTTATTTATTACAAAATTATTTGTTCTTACATGTTTGAACTTCAGTCACCTTCAAAGTACTCTCCCATTTGATGCAATAGACCTATAGAGATGTTTTTCTCCACTGCTCAAAGCAGTTTTTGAACTTGTCAATTTTGATACCTTTCGGTGCTTCTGCCATTTTTGGTTTCACCTCTTCAGCACTGACGAAACATTTCCTTTGCGAACTTTTTTTTATCTGGGAAAACGAAAAAAGTCACTCGGTGAAATTGTGTGAATAGGGAGGGTGGGGCATGGGCGTCATGCCATTGTGGTCAAAAACTGTTGAACACTTAGTGTGGCGTGGGCAGGTGTGCTCATAAATCACCCATCACGAAATGGGCAGTAGTGTTCAAAGTCTTCAAAAAAATTTACTGAAGCCAAAGGCGGCCTCTCACCACGATGCCAACTGGTCCACTGATACAGACAGTTCCTAGAACACTCACCTAGCAGGGGAAGCCCAGACTACAAAGGGCCTGCCCTCCAGAAGACAAGTCTGGGGTTTTGGGGGTGGTCCCCCCATAGACACTTTCTGGGTACCTCATTGTACCTCATCTCTGCTTTATGACCCCATGTCCATGTCGTTTTTCTGTGGGTAGGCTATCTTTCTCTGTTTCTCATGCAACTAACAAGAAAATAGCTACCACAACCCCACAGAGCTCTAATTAGTATCTGTCTTAACCCCAAATTACCAGAAGAACATATTGTATTGCCCTGATTTGGCCTATACTTGATCTAGCTCTTTGTGGTCGAGGGGCTCACGTGGCCTGTACCGTTCCGTCATGTGAATGAGCACAGGCCGTGTAAGAAGACAATATACTTTGAGCAAACTTATCAGTGAGCCTGTACTAGATGTGTGGTCAGTTATTACTATAATAAAAAATTCCTACTAACTTAAGGCTATTCCTCAACAATGAAGTCTCTAAACCTATTGCCACAGGACAAAAGGAAAGTACAAATAACTGCAGAGATATCCCACTTTATGTGGAAAACATTTTTTAATGTTTTCATTTCCCCCAAATCTTCAAAATATCAAGAAGTGGCATAGGGCCAAGAGTGCAAAATGAAGGAGAGTTGTTCATATTGTTAGTTTTCAGTATAAGATTGAAAATTAAGTGTGTTCCCATGAGCACAAAACAGAAATAATTATTGAAACCATCCTAAATGTAATTGTCTATGTTCTAGTCAACAGTTTATTGACAATAGATGACTAGTGACATCGTCCCTTGCCCAAGCAAAGTAAGCTCAGAATTGCACTTCTTGTAAGTCTGAGATGCAGCCACCTAAGAATTATGTTTTCTAAGAATAAGTCATATACACTGGTATCTCTCCCATAAGAAAACTTCCCTATGCATTTATAAAGTTGTGGTATTGAATAAGGTAAAAAATCATGACAATAAGTTCTGTTTATGTTGTCATTGAATACATAAAGCAAATTTATAATACCTTTGTTGCTTTTAGGCAAACAGTTTAATTAGTCAATTACAATTTTAATATAAAAAATCTGAAGATCTTTTCTCCCAAATAATTTAATTATGAAATGTTTGAATTGAAAGCTTATATTACAAGCCTTTTAAGGATAATTCACTGATGTGTTTTATTTTAAATAGGTTCCAATTTATTGTGCCTAAAGAATGGAACAGCAAATACAGACCCGTGTGCATTCATCTTGCTGGAACAGGGGATCATGTAAGCCTTGGTCATAACATCTAATCTACCTTGTCAGCGTCCTCTCCTTAGCAGGCGTGGCTGCCGGAGCCTCTAAGCTTGCTGTCTTTTCTTTCCTCAGTATTACTGGAGGCGACGGACCCTGATGGCTCGTCCTATGATTAAAGAGGCCCGAATGGCTTCCTTGTTGTTAGAAAACCCTTATTATATCCTTTTGCGATACGTAGAAGTCTTTCATCTTATTTATTTGTAGATTTAGTCATCAAAAGGAATGACAGATAGTAGCCAACTTTTTTCGATCAATTGAATTCAGTCATCAATTCAGAAAATACTTAAGAATGAAGTGAAAAATCATTTCATGCCTTTTAAAAACCAAAGTAAGGATGATGCTTCTATCGAATTATAGAATAAAGTACTTCTGTTTCCTGTGAGATTTACGCTGCATTTTAATATTAGTCAAATGTTTGCTATTAAGAAAACCCGCATGTTTTAAATGCTTTGCGGTTAAGTATCAGTGGAGGTTTAGAACAGTTCTTAACTTAATTTTCAAGATGACGTCAGTCTGTCCCCAAAGAAGAACCGAAACTGATGCACAAATAATAAAGAAATGCTCAACATTGCTGGTAATAAGAGAAATGTAAAGTTAAAGCAACAATGAACAAGGATTTAAAAACAAAGCAGTGATTACGAGGTTTTTGTGAAATGGGCACTCTCATTACTGATGACTGTGAATATCAGCCCAGGCCTTTGGGGAAGCATTTTTACCAGATTGCAACCAGAGCCTTAAAAAATTTTATATCCTGCCCTGGCTGGTGCAGCTCAGTAGATTGAGCACGGGCCTGCAAACCAAAGGATCTCCGTTCGGTTCCCAGTCAGGGCACATGCCTGGGTTGCAGGCCAGTTCCCAGCAGGGAACGTGTGAGAGGCAACCATAAATTGATATTTCTCTCCCTCTCTTCTTCCATTCCCCTCTAAAGATATAAATAAGTAAAATCTTTAAAAAATTTTCATATCCCTTGACAGTGATTTTCATTCTGGGAAATTTATTCTAAGGAAAAATACTAAGAAAGGAGAAAAATGATAGAACAGAGAAAAGATATCTATATAGCTTTGTTTATAATAGTAAAATGTTAGGAATAGCTTGAATGTCCAATAGTAGCAACATGATTGAGAAAACTGTTGGGAAATATGTTGAGAAAACATAATATTGGAATACTGTGCAATTTGATGTATCATGTTTATTGCTTACTACCTGCATCATCTTGAACTTGTTACTTAACCTTTTAGTACTTGCCTGGTAAATATTGTGTTGAGTAAATTTTAACAGTTATTAAAAAGTTTACATCAATGTATTTATGCATACGTATGCAAAAAAACCTAAAAATAGAAAATTTGTTTAAAAAAAAAACTGTGCCAAATAAAAATACTAGAAGGAAATATACTGAGGCATTAAAATAATTGTCTGTAAATAAAGTAGGGTTTTTTTTTCCTAATAAGCCTTTCTGTATTGTCTAGGTTTTCTTTTTTTTTAATTTTTATGAATTTATTTGAGCCATACTGATGACATATGCTTGGGAGCAAGATCTTAAATGCTCTGTTCTAGGTAATCTATCATAAATATATAAATAAGAAAAATTAACAAACTTAAGTTGAAACTTAAAACTAAATACTAGTTGTGAATGTAGCAAAAACATTGAGTTGTGCATTTCAAGTGGGTAGAATGTGTGGTATGTGGCACATCAGTAAAACTCCAAAACGAGAACAGTTACTGATTTGATTTGAGAAACCTGAACTTCTACACAGCATATTTGGGATAACTAGAAAATAGTTATTTCAGTATTAACTTCTCTTCAACTTTAATTATTTTAAGTTAATGTTTTCTGATACACAGAGTATATTTAATTATTTTAAAACTTTCTCTTTGACCCACATTCTCAAATGGCTGCAGGAAACCCAAGGACCAAATGTAAGTATATGTCACCTTTATTTTTGCGATCTTTATACTGAATTTTTAGTAGTCTTTGGTTAACCATTTCTCAGTTTAATCTCTAAATGTTATTAGGGGGAAGTTCTGTTATAAAACTATAGTAAAAATGATAATTAAATTTTTACTTTAAGCTTTTTGTATTTTAAATGATTGCCGTGTGGAGGGTTTGGAGAAGTTTAGGAAGGTACAGAGGGGATAAACAGTGATGCAAGGAGACGACTTGGGGTGGTGAACACACAATACAGCGTACAGATAATGTTTATAGGATTGTGTACCTGAACTGGTATAATTTTGTTCACCAGTGTCACCCCAATATATTCACTAAAAAGGAAAAACTAAATTAATGTAAAAGTACATTTACTTTGTGAAATTAAACACTATTCTTTTTATTCTTACAGTGCATAACATAGGTAATCTGGAGATAAGCTTTCTCTTCATGGTCTTTTAAAATGAATGTTGAAGGCAGTTTTGTTCGGGGGATTTTTTTGTATTTTTATAATGTCTATTATGTTTAATTTTGGTTCATTCTATTTGACCCTAGACACTGGGAAGACAGCAAAAAAAAAGATGATGTCCTTTAATAGAACTTTGTAGTATGGGAGATGAAAATACATAGGAGAATTTTAGATACTTATTAATGGCATGAGGAAGACAAAGAATAATAGAGCCTGGGTACAGGGCTGAGCAGTGTTAGATATGAGGACATGATGTAATGAGAAGGAGCCATTCGGGCAGAGACCTGGAGGAAGGTCAGCCGCAGAGGAGGAGGCGGAGGTGCAAGGCCCTGTGTAAGCACAGGGTGGGAAAGCAGTGCAGGCTGAGATCAGAAAGGTCGACTGGGACCACATGGGGAGGAGCCATGTTAGAGTTCTACTGTAAGTGCAGTGGGGAACCTTTGGAGTATTTTAAGCACTGGGATGACCTTATTTATGTTTTAAAGGCTTATTTTTGCTTACTGGGACAAGAGTAGCAGCAGAGAAATCAAATAGGAAGTTATTACAATATGCTAGGGAAAAAAGTGACTTTAAGGTGGTTTAAGTGGAGATGCAAAAAAATTCTGATGGATTTGAGATATATAGTTTAGAAGTTGAAATGATAAGACTTGTTGATAAACTGGATATTGGAGGTAGCAAGTCAGGTCTGACTTGGACATATCTGTGATGTCTGTTGGGTCTGCAAGTGGAGAAGTCAAGTAAGGACTTGGAAAGTGGCGGAAAGGTAGGTTTAGAAGTCACACGTCCATGTGGTCATAAAAACGGTCAGGAAAGTGGGGTGTGGTGGCAAACCTATATCCTATGGTTAGATTTAGAATGAACTTTGTGAGAAGTTGTGAAAAATTAAGTCCAGGCTAAATAGTTCAAGAATTCTTACTCTTAAACCAGACCAAGTGTGTCACTTTCACCCTGTCTATAGTTGCTTAAAAAACAAAAAGAGTTCATTGTGTTGTACTGAAAGGCAGAAAATGGTTTAATAGAAATGTTCACCCTGGCTGGTGAAGCTCAGTGCGTTGAGTTGAATGCCAGCCAGCCTGCAAACTGAAAGGTTGCTGGTTTGATTCCCAGTCAGGGCCCATGCCTGGGTTGCAGGCCAGGTCCCCAGTGCGAGAGCTTGGAAGAGGCAACCAGTTGATTTTTCTCCCTCTCTTTCTCCATCCCTCTCCTCTCTCTAAAAATGAATAAATAAAATCTTTAAAACATTTTTTAAAAAAAAGAAACATTCATGACGTTGGCTTCATATATGCATAGGTTGAAATTGTAACTTGCCACTTACTAATTGTATCACCTTGGCCTAAGTATCAATCACCTCATTTATAAAGTGGAAAAAGCATATAATTTCTCCAGTACAGAACTGTGAGGATTATGTTTATAAAGTACCCTGTCATATATTATGTACCCAGGAAATACAATAATGCCCCAGTGTATTTGATTTTTCTCAAACAATTTGTAAGAAACGGCTTGCAGTTTAATAATAAAGCTTTCTTTTTAAATATCTTAACCCTATTTTCATCAAAAGTGGTTATATAGCCCTGGCTGGTGTAGGTCAGTGGATTGAGCGCGGGCCTGCGAACCACACGATCGCGGTTCGATTCCCAGTCAGGGCACATGCCTGGGTTGCAGGCCGGTTCCCTGCAGGCCAGTTCCCAGCAGGGGACGCACAAAAGGCAACCATACATTGATGTTTCTCTCCCTCTCTCCTTCCCCCCCTTCCCCTCTAAAGATAAATAAATAATAAAATATTTTTTTTAAAAAAAGAGTTTATTTAAAAAAAAAAAAGTGGTTATATAATTTGAGACTGGGTTTACAGTCATAGACAACCATTGTCCCAGAATCTCACATCAGTATCTTCTGTATAAAAGAGCAAACTGAGGTGGGCCTGAGAAGTAGAATACTGGAATGAGGACAGGAAACAAATAAAAGGATAAATGGGTTCTTTCTGATGAAGCAGGAATCGATCTTTTTTGACATAGGATACCATAGTGTCTATAACGAGAAGTCCTGCTTTATGGACAGGACGGTGGGCATAAGCTTCTGGGGGCCAGAATTTTGTTTTTAACAACTCGGCATTCCTGTGTCACCCAGTTCTTTGCATATAACTATTCTACTTAGATATATAATGAATAACTATTGAGAAAGTGAGTTTTTGTGCACTTTGACATAAAATGACACTTTGTGCACTTTTACCCACTGGCCAATTATGTATGTCTTTATATGAATTAAGTTTTTTTTACTAATAGTCTTGGAGAGAAAGAAAGAGATAGGGGTTGCGGGGTTAGGGGTTGAGACTGAGAGAGAAAAACACTGATTTGTTGTTCCACTTCCTTATCCAGTCATTGGTTGCTTCTGGCATGTGCTCTGACCGGGCATGGAGCCTGCATCCTTGGCACATTGAACAGATACTGTAAGGGCACTGCCCAGCCAGGGCGATGTGAATTGTTTTGGAAAATAGATTCTAACCTGGTCATTTTAGTAATGCAATCATAATGCTTTTACCTCTATGGACAATTGGTTCTGAAATCTAAAAAAATTGTATTTACGTACTTACAAGGAAATGCATTTTCGTATAAAATCAATTCCTAAGAATAAAAAATTTGGTTAAGTTGGTCTTTTTAAAAATTAATCAAAACATATTTTTATAAAAATTTATCTTTCCAGTATTTTATTATAAATTGTGTATTTTGCAGAAACAAGCAACATAAGATTTGGTAATACATGAAACTAGTATTAGGTTAAATTCTTTTACATTGCTTTTTTTTAATGTTATACTTTAAGTTCTATTGTAATAAGTTTTTTCTAAGGGGGGACAACTATAAATTTGTTTTTCCTTATATTTATGTCAGTTATGGAAATTTAAGTAAAAATTGGCAGAATAGAAATATTTTCAGCTCTGCCTGGTGTGGCTCAGTGGTTGAGTGCTGGCCTGTGAACCAAAGGGTCGCTGGTTCGATTCCCAGTCAGGGCACATGCCTGGGTTGCAGGCCAGGTCTTCAGTAGGGGGCATGCAAGAGGCAACCACACACTGATGTTTCTCTCCCTCCCGTCCCCTCTGTCTAAAAATAAATAAATAAAAATTTTTAAAAAAGAAAAATATTATTTTCCCATTCAACATTGTGAGTTTTTAAGCGCCATTGAATAAACTATTCTTTTTTCTGAACTTCTTAATAGTTAAATAGATGAAACTCAATAAAGATTATATGCTATAGAGTATATATGCCATATTTAAATCTATGTTTTAGGTGAGCTCTGGCCAGGTAGCTCAGTTGGTTAGCAGTTTGCCCCAGTATGCCAAGGTTGCAGGTTTGATGTTTTGCTCACTCTCTCCTCTGTCTCTCTCTCTCAATCAATAACTAAATTTAAAAAAAAGTTTTGGTGACTATTATGTAGAAATATTTTAGCAGTACTTTTAAAAAAAGATTTTATTATTTTTTTTTTTAGAGGGGAAGGGACAAAGAAGAGCAGGAGAGAATCATTAATGTATGGTTGTCTCTGCCACACCCCCAACTGAATGCCTGGCCCACAATCCAGGCATGTGCCCTGACTGGGAGTCGAACCAGCAGCCCTTGGGTTTGTAAGCCAGCACTCAGTCCACTGAGCCACACCAGCCAGGGCAGCAGCACTTTAATTACATCAGCTCAGTCCATTATTTTACTTAGCTATTTGGTCCTTTAAAAGAAAAACATGAATTCTGGCCTTCTGTTTTAAATTTGCAGATATTAAAATATAAATGCATAAAGTAAATAATTTTCTTTTTTGTTTTGTGAGGCTAGAAGGTCCAGCCTAAAAAACGTGTCTGACCTATTTGTGATGGGAGGAGCCCTTGTTTTAGAATCTGCAGCCCTCCTGCACTGGCTAGAGAGAGAGGGCTACGGGCCGCTAGGAATGACCGGAATATCCATGGGAGGACACGTAAGCCTTTCCTTTCAAGTGGTACCTACTTGTGACTGTGTTTATGAGCTCTAGGGAATCTAATTACTTTCAAAATTCCTGTATGTATAGAATTAATTTTAGTTTTGGTGAAAGCAGAAACAGATTAAACTTCCATTCCAATTAGAAAGTAATGATTTTTTTTTTATGATTTATGTAGATACTGATTGTGCTTACCCCACAGTTACATCTCAGGTATTGAATTTAATACTTTATTAAAAGTAGATTATAAAACTTAACTCCAGTTTAAAGTATAAATGTCTTAAGTTGGTAAAAATGGCTGATTTGGAAAATACTTTTCATTCCCCTCTTATCTCTGTCCCCAGTACCCCAAACCTATTTTACCTTTATCTTCTAGAGTGTACTAAAATGGCCTTCTAATTGGTTTCCCTCTCGGTATTCTTTTCTTAACCTTTTTCTTAACAGTTTTTCTCCACACCCTAGTCATCTTAGTCTGATCTCAGCTCTGTCCTACTTAAAACCTGCCAAAGGCTTGCTGTTGCACTGGCTGTAACCGTGCCAGGTGCTGGCATCTTCCTAGTGCCCCTCCATGCCCTTTCATCTAGTTGAGTAGCAGCTTGCTCTCTGGTTCCAGTTTAGCGTTTACTTCCTGTGAGAAGCTGTCCCTGTCTCCCAGCCTTACTCCACACTATACTTCATCTCCCATCAGTACTTATTTCACTGTATTTATTCAGCAGTCTGTTTGCTCCCTGAAGCAATCAATTCATTGAGGACCAGGAATATGCTCTGTTTCATTATCTGGACATGTTAGTCACTCAATGCATTACAAATACGTGGTCTGTCCAGAAGGTACCCAGCCACATAATATAAAAAATCGAAACATTTATTAAAGAATATACAACACACAAGAAACATTGTACATAGAACAGTGATGCCTCAGTCCCCTTCAAAGTAGGCACCTTGGGACCTCACACAGTTTTCCCAATTGCTTTCAGCTGTCCTGTCATATTTTCCTGAATCTTATCGACTGTCTTAAATCTCTTCCCTTTCAAAGGTGATTTTAGTTTTGGAAAAGCCAGAAGTCCCAGGGTGCCAAGTCTGGGCTGTAGGGGGTGGCTGGGTCACCTGAGGGATTTGATGTTTTGCAAAAAAACTGCACGAGATGTGATACACGAGTGGGTGCATTTTACACAGACACCGGCCCGAGTGTCTGTGGCATTATGGATGAGATGAAATAAATTCACATGGACTACCAAGTCCTGTGGAGGGAAAGGGACTGAGACCTCTCTCCAGGGGAGAGCAAGCCTGACCTTTCCCCTGAGAAGCTTTGGTTGGATTCAATTTGCATAGGAATACAGGGTGTATATGTAAAACTCATTAATCATTATCAGGCCGTAAGGATCAAACAATAGATAACATACAAAGAATGTTATCTGAGGGCCTATTAGGAGCCAGGGTCGGGTAGCTAAATGGCCATAAACTTGGTGGAACACACTTACTTCCTGCTTGGACCCTTATCATTTAATTGAGAGCATCTTAAACAAAGCAGGTTTCACAGGATTTTACATATTCTTTCTTAGGCCTGATCGTCCTAGGGACCCTGCCCCTTCCAGCACGGGGCTGCACCCACCACCAGCATTGTTTCAGGCTTAAGACATTGTTTCAGGCCTAAGTCAGGCAGGGGAAGTAAGACAGCCAAGAGATAAGGAGATTTCTCTAAGACAGAATGAGGACTCAGGCTGTGTCAAAGCCAAGGGGTGAGTGTCCATCACTCCTTTTCTGTAGCCCCCAAGTCCTTCCCTGGGGGCCCCCATGATCATGCCTGTCTTAGGTCCTCCCTCCCTTGAAAAATCTTACCCGTCATTGGCTAACCGATCAAGCATTGGGAGCCAGGCAGGGTGAAGTAAAAGGAGTAGAGGTGGCACCCCTGCTGGGGAGATAAGCTTTGTCTCCTTAGTGGCTTATGGTCTGAAGGTCGCTCACTCAGCCTTAGCCATGGGGGGATTACAGCTCCTGAAATCAGGCAGGGCAGTTCACAACACGAATTGTCACGAAGAAGCTGCTAGTCACATAGCCGTGGCCTTCTGAATCCTCGGAAGAGTTTCTGTGGAGGAATATCTAAGCTTGATGCAAAATTTGATGTACATTTGTTGTTCTACTCAGTCATTTTGAATGCAGCAGCCACACAGTACACATGCTCACTCAATGCTGTCTACTGCCTCCATTGACTAGTACAGTGAAGTCATCATTGTTCACGCATCTGCATTCCAGTCCACTCTCCTTGGCTGCCAGGTTACACTGATGTCACACAAATTTTTCTTATTATATTAACAATGGTTGGACTCTTCTGGATAGACCTTCTATGTATTGTTTGCTATAAGGCAGTTAAATTATAAAATTAAGTTCAAGAACTTACTCAAATTCAGAACAACAATCAGAGAGTGAACGTGAAGGGTAGGGAAGGATTTGTTTTCCTACCTAGTAGTGTTTCCATTGTTGTGACATAGGTTGGGACCTTCTAATTTCACCTGGACTACTGCCTCTTAACTAGTTTTCCCACCCAAATCTCATCCTCTTTAGTCAGTCCTATAAACTACCATCCCTTTAGCTTCCTTGAATCACTTCTTTGACAATGCCATTCCTTTCCTCAGGCTTCTTTATTAATTCCCCATTATCTATAGAAAAAAGGGACTTATGATCTGATCCTGATTGATCTTTCCAGTTCCGCCTATCTCCCGGACCCCACTGGTCACATGGGCATTATTGACCAGCCAAGCTTAAGTACAGGGTTGTGCAAAAGAAGGGTTACTCATGAGTATGTTAAACACAGTTCACTCGTGTATTATTATTACTTATTGTATTATTTTCCATATGAACAAATGTAAACCTGCTTTTGCCCACCTCTGTTCCCCTACCAGACACACTCTGTGCTTTCTCACCATCTTGCCTTTGATCATGCTGCCTGTTTTATATGGAAAACAAGGCCCCATCTTTCATTTTCCCCAAAAGACAGCCATTTCATGAAGCGGCCTGGGATTGTTTTAGCCAAAAATAACTCTTCCGCTCTCTAAACGTACATATTACATTATTTTGTGTCAGTTACATATTCTGCTTTGTGTCTTATTACCAACTTCTTGGCATCCTTCGGTCAACTCCAGGGGTCTGGGATTCTGTGGTGGGGATTTGGCTGCACCCGAGTCACTTAGGCAACGAGTGTCTTAGCCTGACGTGTAGCATCCACAGCTCCGCATGTTTGCTCCACGTTCACCCTGTAGAAAGTAGCTGTCTGTGAAAGGTCTTGAGATTACTTAGAATCTCCTAATATATTTTATTACTTTGAAAGAGGGGAGTTATATGTTGTTGGATTTGTGACTTTGGAAGTTTGAAAAGGTTTCTAGACATTCTCATAGTGCTTAAACACTTTGTGTTCATGTCTTATCTCACCAAGTACTTACTATGCAAAGTGCTTGTTCATATTAAATATTTTTTATTTTAATATATAGAAAGTTTAAACAGAAGCTCTCTAACTGACTGTGTTATTAACATATTACAGATGGCTTCCTTAGCGGTATCCAGCTGGCCTAAGCCCATGCCATTGATTCCGTGTCTGTCTTGGTCCACAGCATCTGGTGTCTTCACTACGGTATTTAATTACAATTAATATTTTTTAAATTTTTTCTTTACTGATTACGTGTGTGTATATGTGTATGTGTGTGTACACACACACACACACACACACACACAGAGGGAAATGTTGATTTGTTGTCCCCTTTATTCATCTATTGATTTGTTCATTCTTTTTTTTTTTTTTAAATATTTTATTTATTTATTTTTAGAGAGAGGGGAAGGGAAGGAGAAAGAGTGGGAGAGAAACATCAATGTGTGGTTGCCTCTCGTGAGTCCCCTGCTGGGAACTGGCCTGCAACCCAGGCATGTACCCTGACTGGGAATCGAACCGCGATACTGTGGTTCGCAGGCCCGCACTCAATCCACTGAGCTACGCCAGCCAGGTGATTTGTTCATTCTTGTATGTGCCCTGACTGGAGATCAAACCTGAAACCTTGGCATGTTGAGGAAGCGCTCTAACCAACTGAGCTACTTGGTCAGGGCGCAGTTAATATTTAGGTAGCTATATATGCTTACACGGAATTGTTTTGGGGGCTCCCAAAACCACTCCCAGGTTGGGTGATTCGCTGGAAGGAATCACAGGACTCAGCATGTGATTGTAATCGTGACTAAGACTCATTACTGCAGACAGGTACTGCAGACAAGTCAGCAAAGCAAAGGCACCTAGGGCGAAGTCCAGAGGACACCAGGAGCGAGCGTTCAGTGCAGCCCTGCAGGACGGGTTTGATTCCCACAGCTGTGAATTGATGACAGTGTATGCAAAGTGTTGTCCACTAGTGCAGCTCACTTGAGCCCAGAAGTCCAGGGTTTTTACCCAGGGCCAGTCATGTAGGTGCCCTCTGCCTAGCACGTTCCCAAATTCCAGAAGGAAAGCAGATGCTCAGCGGAAACTACATTGTTTGCACAAGCATTTTAAGCTCAGAGACCCACTTTATCGTGTAGAGAGTTTCACAGGAGGGAAAAGAACGGTTTACCAGTCATGTTCCCAGACTCTTGTCAAGGGCCAACCTTATAAGTAGGCCTTTCTGAGGACAGGAAACCTCAAGGTTGCTGTGTTAACTCTTTTCTGCACAGTAATAATAATTTTTTTGACACAGTGGTGAATGGTATGATTTGATCTTAATTTAGTTTGTTATTTCAGGGTGTGCTGAGCAAATCGATTAACTGGAGGGAGCTGGAAAAGCAGTATTATACACAGACAGTTTATGAGGAAGAAATTAGTCACATGCTGGAATATTGTGGAGTAAGTATTTTTAATTTCTGCATGACGTCAGGGAAAACATTGATTGTTTAATGTTTCTGATGTTTAAAAAGAATTGCAAATTTTTTAAAAAGCAGTACTATTTTTTTACTTTTAAAAATTTGTTATTTTAAAATAAAATGCAGATATAAAAATAAAATAAAATAAATACAGATACAGGAAATCATGCAAAGCAATTGTATGGCTTATTACCTTTATTAAATAGCAAACACATTTGTAATAGGTCAATTGAAGAACTTGACCACCCAACTCAAAAACCACTTCCATGTCCTGATCAGAAGGCCTTCCTCCCCCTACTGTCAGTTGTCATTATCCTGATTTTCATAGTATTTACTTACTTCTTTCTTTAAACTAGTTGATTGTCCAAATGTACATCTCTCAACACTATAGTTATTTTATGTTATTATTTTATTTTTGTGGTGATTGATGGAGATAAGAGAATTAGATGCAAACAAGGGGGAAGGGATAATCATTACATTTCTTTTTTGTCTATTATTATTATTATGGTGTACTCTAATACAGTAGTCCCAGTTTTTCCCCCTTTGCCCTCCTTCACCCAGCCCGCCCTGTCCCGCGCTCCCACAGTCAGTCTTTACCCCGTTGGCCATGTCCATTCATACATATCAGTCATACATGTTCTTTGAACCCTTCCCCTTCTTTCCACCATCCCCCATCTCCCCTCCCCTCTGGCATCTGTCAGTCTGTTGTAGTTTCCATGTCTCTGGCTCAGTTTGGCGTGTTAGTTTATTTTGTTCATTAGATTCATTTTATAAGTGAGGTCTTATGCTATTTGTCTTTCAGTCTGTAAGTTGCCTTCCATCCCTGTCTTTCCCTTAAAATTTTTCTGTTGAAGAATTTGGGCTCTTTATTTGTAGAGTTTCTCACAGAATTTTTCTGATTATTCTCATGGTACAGTTTGCCGTGCCCTATATTGCCATGCCCTATATTGCCTGCAAATTGGCAACCAGGTCTAGAGGCTTGATTAAACTCAGTTTTTACTTCCTTGGAAAGAGTCTGGGAAGCAGGTAGTATCTTACCTGCTTGTCTCTCTTTCATGCAGTAAGCCTCCATTGATGCTTTAATGCCTGTCAGTTAATATGTTGAGGGTTGCAAAACACTGGTATCCTCATTGTCATTGGTTTGTTTGAGTACTTTTATAAAAAGGTACTTCTCTCATCTACTATGTGGTTACCTATTAGTTCCATTCATATAGGAAAGGCAGGGGTAAGTGCTTGATTCTGTCCCTTAACTGGCCCATTTTTCAGGAATTGGTTCCCTGTTACTCTCCTGAGGTAACCAGTTCTTTTCATGAATTTTAAAAGGTTGCATTATTACTTTGAAAGTTACTGAGCATTTCAAAAAATCTCAGAAATAAAAAGAATCTTTCTACTATCAATGAAGAATTTTATTTATAATTATATCACTATTATAAAGTAGATGTACCTTGCATAATTTCAAAGGGTAGTTAATTACTTGCCTACAGAATTCTGTTATAAAACAGCTGTACCTGCTACTTAGTTCCTTGTGATCCACATATATAGTCAGAAAGATACCTATATTTAAGAGCTTATGAGGAAACTCGTAACATGCATTTTTATAAGGAAGGTTCATAAATTTTGGTCATGTGAAATGGCAATGTAGCCTTCATTTTTTTGAGACTTACCCCTTCCTCCCTTCCTCCCTCCCTCCCTCCTTCCCTCCTTCCTTCCTTGCAGGGAGAAAGCAAGAGAGACATTGATGTGCACGAGAAACATGGATGAATTGGCTTTCACATCCCCCCAAATGGGGGACCTAGCCCACAACTTAGGCATGTACCCTGGCCAGGAATCAACCCAGCAACCGTTCATTTGGCACGCTGATGCTCAATCCACAGGGCCACTCCAGCCAGGGCTACAGTGTATTCTTTTTTTTTTTTTTGAAAGGGTAACTTTTATTTATTTATAATATATTTTATTAATTGTGCCATTACAGTTGTTCTATTTCCCCCCTTCATTTCCCTCCACCCTGCACACACCCTCCCTCACTCTCCCCCCTTTAGTTTATTACCACTTGTCTCAAGTTCTTTAGATTCTATATTTCCCATACTATTCTTACCCTCCCCCCTATTTTCTACCTACCGTCTATGCTACTTATTTTCTGTACCTTCTCCCCCCTTCTCCTTCTCCCACTCCCCTGTTGCTAACCCTCCATGTGATCTTCATTTCTATGGTTCACTCCAGATCTAGCTGTCCTCTTAGTTTGCTTTTGTTTTAGGTGTGGTTGTTAATTAACTGTGAGTTTGCTGTCCTTTCACTGTTCATCTTTCTTATTCTCTTTTTCTTAGGTAAGTCCCTTTAACATTTCATATAATAAGGACTTGGTGATGATGAACTTCTTGAATTTGATCTTATCTGAGAAGCACTTTATCTGCCCTTCCATTCTAAATGAAAGCTTTGCCGGATAGAGCAATCTTGGTTGTAGGTCTTTGGATTTCATAACTTGGAATACCTCTTTCCAGCCCCTTCTTGCCTGTAAGGTCTCTTTTGAAAAATCCGCTGACAGTCTGATGGGAACTCCTTTGTAGGTGACTGTCCCCTTATCTCTTGCTGCTTCTAGGATTCTCTCCTTCATTTTAATCTTGGCTAATGTAATGATGATGTGCCTTGGTGTGTTCCTTCTTGGGTCCAACTTCTTTGGGACTCTCTGAGCTTCCTGGATTTCCTGGAAGTCTATTTCCTTTGCCAGATTGGGGAAGTTCTCTTTTATTATTTGTTCAAATAAGGTTTCCACTGGTGGCTGTTCCTCTTCCCCTTCTGGTACCCCTATAATTCGGATGTTGGAATGTTTAAAGATGTCCTGGAGGTTCCTAAGCCTCTCCTCATTTTTTTTAATTCTTGTTTCTTCATCCTTTTCTGTTTGGTCATTTCTTTCCTCCTTCTGGTCCACTCCTTTGATTTGAGTCCCAGTTTTCTTTCCATTACTATTGGTTTCCTGTGTATTTCCATTCATTTCCATTAGTTTAGCCTTCACTTGTTCCTCTAATTTGTGACTAAAATCAACCAGATCTGTGAGCATCCTGATCACCAGTGTTTTGAACTGTGCATCTGAAAGTTTGGCTATTTCTTCATCATTTAGATTTATCGGCTCTGGGACTCTGAGTTGTTCTTGAGCTCTGTTTTGATCTGTTCGTGCTTGTTACATATGAGGAGCGGAGCCTTAGATGTTCACCAGGGCAGGGCCACCCAGGTCGCTGGTTTGTGATGCTTTATGTGGGGGTGGGGTCAGAGAGGGACAATGGCGGTCCCCTCTGCCACTTCTCGCCACTGGGGCCTGCGCTGTTCGTCTTACTGCTAGCTCCTTCTCCGGTTTATCTGCACATGAACGTGTGGCCGAGATCAGCCCTCAGTGAGTCTGCCCGCTTCTCCACACCTGGGATCCACCCACGGCTGCTGGTGCACCTGGGTTGTGCGCCCAGGTTGGTCCGGTGGATCTTTCCTGCCCGACCCTGCTCTGCTGCTGGCTCTGCCCCTCTTACTGGTTTGGCTGAAGGGTTCATTGTTGTCAGACTTCCGTGTAGTTCAATTTTCTGTGATTTGGCTGCATTTTTGTTGCTAAAACTTTGTGGTTTTTAAACTTAGTTGTGGGAGAAGGCGCAGTGCTTCCACCTATGCCTCCATCTTGGCAGAAGTCCTCCAGTGTCTTCTTAACCAACACTCCCTTCTCTGTGCCTCTGACTTGGTGGCTGTACAGAAGAGTTTTCATTTGTTGAACTAGTTCAGAGTAATGAATATTCAGGAAATGTCAAGATGGCTTCCTTCTTTCTGTTTTAAAAATTGTATTTTCCTTATTAAAAGGAGTTAAATTTGTTGGTGTACCACTCTGAGTAATTCTAGGATGCTTTGATCTTACATTTCCTAATATAACTAAACTTCTTCATCTCCTCTTTTATATTTCTGTGGTCTAGATGGCTGTAGTGACTTGTTCTGTTAACCAGATTGTTGAGTTTTATTTTTCTTCCCTTCAACCAATTTTTTACTCTTTAATTTTTAAAATAGACTGTATGTCCATGTAGTTTAAGTATCAAAAATATAAAAAGATATATAGCAAAATAGATATTATCCTTGTTCCCGATTTGCCTAGGTCCTATCTCCTTCAGCAAATAACCCACCATATTATTATTTAATACTTGAAGGAATTTTTTCAAACCAACAGAAATATGAATTCTTTCCTTTTCCCATTATTTGTGGACTGTGTACAAATGCTTTCTTTTTCATCCTAACTGCTGCGTAATGGTCTGTTACAGGAATAGATGTCCCATGACTTATTAGCCATGGTACCCTGTTAGTGGACATTTATGTTGTTTCTCATCTTGCACTGTGAAAAACCAATACTGGCTCTGGCTGGTGTAGCTCAGTAGATTGAGCACTGGCCTGCAAACTAAGAGGTCGCTGGTTTGATTCCCACTCAGAGCACATGCCTGGGTGGTGGGCCAGGTCTCTAGCTGGTGTGTGAGAGGCAACTGATTGACATCTCTTGCACAGATGTTTCTCTTCCTCTCTTTCTCCCTCCCTTCCCCTCTGTCTAAAAATAAAATAAATACAATCTTTAAAAAACCTGGCACTGCAATGAGTAACTTTGTACATACATTATTTTGCAAATATAAATGCCTAGAGATGTTATCACTGACTTGAAGGGCATATGCATCTGCAATGTGGTTAGATTTGATCTGAGCCTAGTTGTATCAGTTTATGCTGTCAACGCATGTCTTTTTCCGCATAAATTCACAAATCCAGTGTGTTATTAAACTTACAGAGGTATTTCTTACTGGTAGTGAATGTTGGTAGAGTTTTTGTTACATTACTTAATTGTTAGTGAAATTGAATATAAGTTTAAGAGCCATTTCTATTTTATTTTCTGTAACCTTATATGTATATCCTTTGCTCACTTTTTTGTTGTGATTTTGGGCTTTCTTTTCACTCTAGCATTATTCAGAACAATTGGCTCTTTGTTATACAGTGCAAATATATTTTCCCACACTATCAATTTTGTCTTTTGACTTTGCTTTTAGTATGTAACAAAATTTATTTTTATGTAAATTATGTTGTATTATAAGTCCTTAAATTTAGTTCATACTTTTGAGAGTCTAATAGACAATATTTATTCCCTGATCATTTTTAATTCTCCCTAGCTCAACCTGAGAAAGGAATCTGGAGTGGCTGTTGTCTTACTGCCAGGATATACTTATAAGACTATTGGAAGTTCCAGCAGGTCAGGGATTTCCAAATTTTGACAATAAAAACATGAGACAGACTAAATTATACCCTTTACATTACTATTCAGTAGGAAATATTTAGCAATAAAATACAGATCTTAGTCCTAAGTTAAATTTTGACATCTCTCTTCTATGAATTGTGATAAAGTATATACAACATAAAATGTCCGATTTTTAACCATTTTTAAGTGTGTAGTTCAGTGTTAGTAGTTATATGTAGTCACACTATTGTGTGACCATCACCTCTCCAGCACCACCCTCCGGTTGCAGAACTTTCCATTGTCCTAAACTGAAATTCTGAACCTGTTAAACAATAACTCTCTATTCATTCCCTCTGCCTCCCTGCCCTGGCAACCACCACTTAGTTCCTGTCTCTATGAATTTGACCGCCTTGGGTCCCTCATAAAAGTGGAATCATACAGTATTTGTCTTTTTGTGCCTGGTTTATCCATTTAGCTTAATGTCTTCAAAGTTCATCCATGTTTTAGCATGTGTCAGAATTTCATTAATAATCCATTGTATATATACATTTTGTTTTCCCACTTATTCCTTGATGAATATTTTTATTTCTCTTTAACAAGGTTATTAAATAAAATTGTATATTACATAATGTTTTCTTTTTTTTTTTTTCATATATTTAGACAGATTCTTTCAAAATGGGACAAGAGTTCATGAAACGTTTCCCTAACACGGCAGACAAGCTCACTAATCTCAACCTGGTTTCTAGAACTTTAAATTTAGACGTGACAGACCGAGTTGTGTCCTCAAAACCTGCTGAGTGCCATGAAACTAGTCAAACATCTTTTAGTGCCACATCAGATGAACTCTTGTTGCAAGACACCTCTAAGATGGAGAGCTTTGATCAAACACTTTCACCCAACAAAAGTTGTTTTACAAGTTATAATCCTCAGTCATACCACCTACTCAGTAAAGAACAAAGAAGAAAGAACCTTCAGAAAGAATCTTTACTCTTTATGAAAGGAGTCATGGATGAATGTACTCATGTAGCAAATTTTTCAGGTATGAATTTTTACATAAAATTGAGAATACTGGATGATGTATAAACTTGTGAAATATTTTAAGGATGTTTTATAACTTAATTTTATATTTTCCAGAGTATATTTATTGTTGGCTCCAGAATGTGTTTTCCCAGATAAACTGGTTATTTAAATGTATCATATTTACCAATGAAAATCTAACACCATTTAAAAAAATTTTTTTTTAAGATTTTATTTATTTTTTGAGAGGGAAAGGGAGAAAGAGGGAAAGAAACCTCAGTATATGGTTGTTTCTTGCACAGCCCCCACTGGGGACCTGGCCCACAACCCAGGCATGTGCCCTGACTGGGAATCAAACCAGTGACCTTTGGTTTGCAGGCCGGCACTCAATCCACTGAATCGCACTATCCAGAGCTAAGACCATTTAAAAAAATATTTTATTTATTTTGAGAGAGAGGGGAAGTGGGGAAAAAGAAAGTAAAAGAAATATTGATACACCAGGGATCATTGATCAGCTGCCTGTCACAGGCCCTCAGCCCGGGGCCTGGCCTGCAGCTTGGGCGTGTGCCCCAATGAGAACCAAACGGGCTACCTTTTGATTCACGGGACAACATCCAACCCACTGAACCACACCATACCATCTTATTAATTCATTAAAAACATATATATGTTGCATCTTTAAAAATCTTGTATCTAGTTCCAGTTGACCCAAGCCTCATTATAGTGGTTCAAGCCAAAGAAGATGCCTATATTCCACGAACAGGAGTTCGAAGTCTACAAGAAATTTGGCCTGGTTGTGAAATCCGATATCTGGAAGGGGGTCATATTAGTGCTTATCTTTTTAAACAAGGACTCTTCAGGTAAGATGATTGGTCTAAACAGCTGTCTACTTATTGTTCATTTTTAAAATATTTTTTAGACTAAACAAATACAAAAAATTGGGTGTTTTTTTTCTTTTTTTAAAATAGATTTTATTGATTATGCCATTACAGTTGTTCTATTCCCCCCTTCATTTCCCTCCACTCTGCACACCTCTCCCCCACCATTCCCCCCCTCTCATTTATGTCCATGTGTCACAAGTTCTTTAGATTCTATATTTCCCATTCTATTCTTGCCCTCCCCCTGTCTATTTTCTACCTACCGTCTATGCTATTTATTTTCTGTACCCTCTCCCCCCTTCTCCTCCCACTCCCCTTTTGCTAACCCTCCATGTGATCTCCATTCCTATGGTTCCGCTCCTGATCCAGCTGTCCTCTTAGTTTGCTTTTGTTTTAGGTGTGGTTGCTAATAACTGTGAGTTTGCTGTCCTTTCACTGTTCATCTTTTTTATCTTCTTTTTCTTAGGTAAGTCCCTTTAACATTTCATATAATAAGGGCTTGGTGATGATGAACACCTTGAACTTGACCTTATCTGAGAAGCACTTTATCTGCCCTTCCATTCTAAATGAAAGTTTTGCTGGATAGAGCAATCTTGGATGTAGGTCTTTGGATTCAAGACTTGGAATACTTCTTTCCAGCCCCTTCTTGCCTGTAAGGTCTCTTTTGAAAAATCCGCTGACAGTCTGATGGGAACTCCTTTGTAGGTGACTGTCCCCTTATCTCTTGCTGCTTCTAGGATTCTCTCCTTCATTTTAATCTTGGCTAATGTAATGATGATGTGCCTTGGTGTGTTCCTTCTTGGGTCCAACTTCTTTGGGACTCTCTGAGCTTCCTGGATTTCCTAGAAGTCTATTTCCTTTGCCAGATTGGGGAAGTTCTCCTTTATTATTTGTTCAAATAAGTTTTCCACTGGTGGCTGTTCCTCTTCCCCTTCTGGTACCCCTATAATTCGGATGTTGGAATGTTTAAAGATGTCCTGGAGGTTCCTAAGCCTCTCCTCATTTTTTTAAATTCTTGTTTCTTCATTCTTTTCTGTTTGGTCATTTTTTTTTCTTCTGGTCTACTCCCTTGATTTGAGTCCCAGTTTCCTTTTCATCACTATTGGTTTCCTGTGCATTTACCTTCATTTCCATTAGTTTAGCCTTCACTTGTTCCTCTAATTTGTGACTAAAATCAACCAGTTCTGTGAGCATCCTGATCACCAGTGTTTTGAACTGTGCATCCGAAAGGTTAGCTATCTCTTGGTCACTTAGATTTATTGGCTCTGGGGTTGTGAGCTGGTCTTGAGCCATAATGTTTTGGTCTGTTCACACCTGTTACATATGAGGGGTGCAGCCTTAGGTGTTCACCAGGGTGGGGCAACCCAAGTTGCTGGGTTGTGACACTATATGTGGAGGTGGGGTCAGAGGGGGGTAATGGCGTTTGTTCCTCTCTCTCAGATTTCTGTCCCCTCTGCTGCTTCCCACAAGTAAATTGGGCCCTTCTGGTGCTGGTTCCCAGGTGTGTGGGCCTGTGCACCCTCCAGGACCCTGTGGGTCTCTCCAATGCACTCTCTGTGAGCCTGGGAGCTTTTCTTGGCACCTTGACCCCGAAAGTCTTTCCAAGTGGTGCTTTGAGGCTCTAATTCCCGTCGCTGGGGCCCTGGCCTGAGTGGTCTGTGTCACTGCTCGCTCCTTCGCTTGGTTTATCTGCGTGCGAATGTGTGAGCGCAGTCAGCCAGCTGCCTTGCGCCCCCCTGGGTCCGCCTGTTGCCACCCCATACCTGGGATCCACCAACCGCTGCCTGTGCTCCCGAGGTCCTGGATCCATCTGGCTGATCCCTCCTGCCCAACCCCGCTCCGGCACTGACTCTGCCCCTCTTACCAGTCTGGATGAACGGTTCATTGTTGTTGGACTTCCGTACAGTTCAATTTTCTGTGTTTTGGCTGCGTTTTTGTTACTAAAACTTTGTTGTCTTTAAACTTGGTTGTGGGAGGAGGCACAGTGTTCCCACCTACGCCTCCATGTTGGCCAGAAGTCAAAAATTGGGTGTTTTTATTACATGTTTTAATCCTCTCATTTCCTCCCTGCTTCCCTTTCTCACGCATCCTCTTCCAGAGACCAGGGAGATTGTCATGCTTCGTTACATGGTTTTGCCCTCCTCAGATGTCCACTAGGGAATGGGGAGGAGCACCAGGGTCTGTAAAGCTTGCTTTGGTTCATCTGGAGTTTTTCATGCTACACTGGTGTTTTTCTGTTGGAATGGCCAGATCATCTGTGGAATAACCTAGCAATGGTTTTCAGTAGCAAGTAAATATTGAACTGTAAAATGAGAAGAGAAATATTGCTTTTAATATTTCTCAAAAGTTAATAACTTTTGTGACTCCAGTATTTGATAGAACTTATAAAAACTTTTATGCTATAACTTGTTTTTTGGTACCCTGTGTTATTTCTACTTTTATTCAAATTGGATGTTAAAAGCTATCACTGGAATGTATTTATCATTACTAAATTATTTCACATAAAGTTCTTAGGTCAGTCCCCTATGTATAATAAGCATTCCAAAATTTCCAGCTGGAGCTATACAGTAGAAAAGTTGAGTATGCATTATATGTTTGCAATTTTAATTCTTTGTAGTCTAAGATATAATTCTTTGTATGTTGTTCCTCAATTAGTTCAACTTATTGATGTCACCTTTTTTGAGGTATAGGCTAATTCTTTAAGTCTTTAATGTTCTGAAGCATATAATCTTTCATTTTCTTGTATGATCTTTGAAGACTATCTATTCAGAATCGAGTCCCTGTTAGTTGGTGAGTGAGCATACTGTCTACCTACCCAGTGTGACTCTGGCACAGCAGAACGAAAACAAATATTGTGAACACTAAGAGTTGCTAGGGTTGCTCAAGTATAGTCTAAAGTTCTGTTATATTTGTGGATCAGAGAACCCACATGCTTGCTTTAGTAAATCAGTATCAAGTTTCTTTTTCTCTTTTATACATTTAAGTGGGAGTCTGGCTCAGAGGAATTAGGAAGAATAGATAGAACCATAACTGTAAAAACTCAAAAGTGCTCATTTAAAGGATTCATTTGAGAAAGAGATAAATGTTAGCTATTACTGTATCCAAGTACTAGAGCAATTGCTTAATATGTTATTAACTCCTTTACACAGAAATTTAGGGGCAAAAAAGAGGAAATAACTCGCTCAGGTGGGAGTCATGAGCTATTTGGCCTCTCTAAACCCTGTCACTCACTTCAAAATCTAACAAAGTGTAGATGACACTGGAATAAATTTTTAAAAATTCATTGTTTTCTCTCACCAGGTGTAACACAACACACTCCTGTATAAGCTCTTATATTTTGTGTTATTCAGAACTAATTGATAATACAAGTGAATGATTAAAAAGGCATATGTATACCTTTCTTAACCCTCTCTTATACCATGTACACGAGGCCAGGGTGCCACCTTAGAAATCAGGAAGTAAAAGAAATTCATTCTAGCAGAGCAAGTATCCAGGACTAACTCGGGGGCAAAACTGTCCAGTGTACAGACATCTCAGGGCCCTCACTCTGTCCCACCTGCAGTCAGTCAGTGCTCTGATACTTGCCCTAAAGCAAAACTGTGTTTACACCAACATCCAGTTGTTCAGCTTTACTTTGTTTCCCTTCTCATTGTGTGTTACATTTTACAAAAGACATTTTCTGAAACAAACATACAAGTGTGATGGAAAACTGTCTTCCCAACGTATTGGAAGACATATTGGAAGTCAATCTATTAGCAGGCTTCCAGTTTTTAAAATAATCTTAGTATTGGATATGGGGAAATGCTTTGTCAAACAAGTAGGATACAGAGTTAATATGATCTGTTATTATTTAAAGAAGGTGAAAGTTCAGATGTATGCATTTAAAACAAAAAGCAAGCCTGTGAGCAGTATGTGATAACACTACAGTAGATACCTTAGGGTGATGAGATTATGACTTTTTCCCTTTCTGTAGTTTTGGATTTTCAGAACAGTCTATAATGGAAATGTAGACTCTTACAACATGAAAAAGTAAGTTTTAAAAATAGTATTTTTTAAACCTAGCCTATGTCAATTTGACTATTCCTTTCCAATTAAATATTAAAATACCTGGTACAATTAATACAGGAAACTAAGGCTTTTAATTTTAAGTTCAGTTGGTAGGAACACTTTTTTAATAAATAAAAAGTATATAATAATCTATGATGAAATAGATATAATACTAGGGACTGAAATAAAGGGACTGAAAAGTTATGTAGCCAGTTAATATTCAACAGGTGACAAAATAAAAAGAAACCAGTCCCTTTTTCTTTTATTACTTTATGTATTATTCATGTGTATAGACACATGTATTATGTTAACCTGAAGGCACACATCATCAGGGGAAATGCATTTGAGGTTCTCCAGTGGTGGTGAAGGTACATGGATCCAAACACCCACCCTCAGGTACCTGCCTCTTCCACAGCTATTTGGAAAAGAGGTCAGGTTGCAAGCCAGAGATAATTTTGGAAATAACTTATGTTTCCCTTTTTTGCTAATTACTTGTAGTTCATTTTTATTTTTAGACGGGCCATCTATGATGCATTTGAACGCTTTCTCCATAAATATGCTAACTAACTGCATCGCTGTCTGTAACCAGTGTGGCCATCACGTTTCTTACAAAAGGAGTTTTTCATTCTTTGACGATATGAAGAACGAGCGGGCAGTGCTGTGTATCTGATTGCTGTCACTTTAGTCTGGCATTCAGTGTTTTACAGGTCAGTCGACTATAATCTTTAAATGCATTTGAATGACTTTAAACCAATATTTGGGTAAAATGATGAAGTATTTTGTTATTGTTTGTAGGAATCCCATGTACTCAGTATATAGTCTATTGTTGCTACTTATGAAAACTTTTAATTATGAATAATTTATTAATTTAAAATAAATTTATTCATAGAAACTGTATTGGTTTTTACATACATAACTGCTAGGTAAAAGTTTGTAATACATTAGTTTTTATTGTATACCCTTACTTATTTTTACTGCTGATTTGCTTTGAGAAATATGTTTCCTTTATGTATCCATAGTGAATTTATAATCTTATTTTCACCTTTAATTTTCTGCTGTGGAAATACTTAGGATATGTGAAATCACTGTTAACTTTGAATTTAAAAAAAATACTGAATGCTTTGTATGTAAGTACTTCCAATAATTAAAATGCAGGTGGGGATGCAGACATGATGCATAAGACTTTAAAACTGCCAAATACTAAGTTAGGAAAAAAATGCCAAATGTATTGCCCCTACTCAACAACTTTCATTTCATGAAAAGTGGAAATACCTGTTGCATTAATGAATAGATACTACATCTTAACATTTCGTACATGTGTATCTACTCTAGGTTTGCAAAACATCTGACTTCACTTTAGGCCAAGTACATAACAACGTTGACTTTTTAATTTCAAAAATTAATGGTCAAAATGAAATTGTCAATCTGTCCTAAATAAACTTTATTTTACAGAAAATATCCAACTTCTTTAAAATTGGAAGATTACATGGCTAGATTTTGGTGCTTTCTTTTAATGATAAGCTTCTTAAGCAGAGAGCTAAAATAGTCTTAAAAAGTAGAAAATATTTTGGGGTATTGTGTCAAGGCATAGAATAAATGTATTTGAGTCTTATTTATTTGAAACCTGTGTTATCTATAGATTACATTTAAGTTAAATATGTATTGCTACTCTAGTAAGGATATTTGAATTATAATGTGCCTTTGTAAGCTTTCTAAAGGAGAAGTTATTTGTCACTCTAATGCCTCCATCATTTCAATTTTTAAAACTATTTAAAAATTATTAATGTAAAGTCATCAGTGGCATACAGAATTGTAAACATTGTGAAACTGCTTTAGCATAACAAACCAAAATGTTTACAGCCATTTCAGCTACAGCAGTTTTACGTGTTCAGAGTCGAACCTTTACTTTTAACTGAAAGTATAAAAATCTAAAGTTCTTCAATAACATGGCCTTTACAGTAAAGGTTATTGTCAACTAAATTACAGTTTTTTCTTTTGTATATTGTGAGGTAATGTGATGATCCAGTGCTGACTAGTGGCTTTAGTAAAACCAACACTTTATTCTCATGTAAATATTTCTTACTAAGCAATAATGTATTATGTTCTGTGACTTTGTATTGGTAAAATAATGAAATTTTATTTCATTTTAATTAACTCTTGGGCATAACTAATTTTTCCCAAAGAAATGTGAAAGAGGTATTTTTAAAATTTTATTTCCTAACCAGATGTTTTAAGAATATATCACTGAGGGAGAGCACCTGGGATCTTCCTTCCCAACATATCATCAATTTGGCTCAAATAAACTTCTTATAAATGTTCTAATAAATGTATATATATTATATATATCTCCATACACATCCCTAAGCTGATTAATTCAAAGTCCAAAATAACTTTGCTTAAAGTTTTTATCTCTTTCCCCAAAAGAATGACTTCAGCTCCATATATGTACACACATGTATGGGCGTGCATACACATAAACACATATGTACACATGCGTGTGTACAGATAGGTACACACATGCACATACAAAGCAGTACTGTCTTGACATTTTGACAATTGGGTACATAAACTGCTAGAAATACCTTTAGGCCAGAGTTGCAAAATGGCAGTCCATACAGGCCAGCTTAGCACACAGTTGTTTTAACCAGTGTGCGTAATATTTCAAATTTGAAATGTGTTCAGATTGGGCTGTGCTCCAGTTTGCCACTGTCTGCTGGACTCCTGGACTCCCTCCTGTTACACCGTGTCGCTGCTTTGTGTTTCCTGCTCAGCCTGAAAGACATCTGAGGTTGAGCTCCCTGATTTAGATTCGTGGTTAGAAAAAGTTACATTAGGTAATTCATGATTACCTAATGTTGTAATTACTATTAAATAATTTAAAATACACATTTTAGATTTTTTCTTATGAATGTAATTTTTAATGTGGTGCTTTCTCTTTTAAGGAATATTGAATTGTTAACACTGTAACTGAAATTTTTTAAATCACTTAGAAATATTTTATACTTCAAAATAAAGGTTATTTTAAAAATTATGTTCAAGAGGTATTACTTTAAATACAGGAAAACCGTCACATTTGATTAATTTATCCAAACTTGGCTTGAAGTATGTGTTCCTCCTTCTGACCTAAACAAAGGCAGGCGTAAGTAAGGCAGGGCGGCTCCACCAGAATCATATTCTACAACAAGAGCCCAAGTTTCCCTCAGGGAGAGTTTCCCAAGTTGGGAGGGATCTCAGGGAACCAACATTCGGACAGACCATCATTACCTGAATGTTGCATAACTCACTATTGGATATGATTATCTATATTACTAAATGTACTGCACACAATTGAGATCTAGAAATAAGAACTTAAGTCTAGGATACAGTTGGACTGGGAATGGGGGTCTTGGGTAGAGGCTGCTATAGAAACTGGCTTGGATATAAAAGGAGAAGTTACGGCAGATGAGACAAAGGGAAAAGAGGTACGTCTGTCCATTTTGCAGGAGTAGATAACCTAATTCCAGGAAGAGTCATAGAGGCAGGATCCTAGGAAACAAAAGACTGTATGTGGAGAATTTGGAAACAGTTTAATTAGAAAATGTACCAAAAGGACCAAAAGACTTTTCTCAGGACCGGAAGAGCTATGCAGATTCACCAGGCCGTGTTCATTAAAAAAAGAGAACAACGGTTACAAATTGAATCCCTGACTCACTGAGGTGGAAACAATTTTCCTACATACAGGATGTACCTGGGTAATTCCACAAAGAAAAAAGCTGTATCCTAGCACTTTGCTGGCAGTCTACTGAGTGTGATCAGTAGATTGGTAGTATCAACAACAATAACTTAACAATCATAATATTGAATCATTTTTAAATGCCCTAAAAAAAAAAAACCTAAGTTCAAATAAGCATAACTTTTTCTCTTCCAGTATTCAAAGAACAGAAAATTTCAAGCAATAGGGTATAGAATTTGTCAATGCAAGAAATATCCAGAGTTGTAGGGAATACATATGTGTTTATTTGAGTGAAACTAGCAACACACGTGGGAGTAGGGTCTCAGATGCTCCTGGAATGACAGTTTGCAGCTTCTTTTATGCATTGGAAATTGAGAGAAGTAAGGAAAATTGCATGGGATAAAAAAGCAAGGCAGGAATTGGATTATAGGACAGTTAACAAGATTATGTGCTCCCTTGAGGGTTAATACTCCTTCCGGGGGTACTGCTGGTGTTTCAAAGGTGTGTTAATCCGGACACACAAGAACAACAGACAGGGCTGGTTTAAAACCTGTTACTAAAGAAGTCAGAGGCCTGGGGACGTGACTACCCACCATGACCTGCCCAGTTAGGAATTTATGATCAGATCACCTTGTGAGGTTACTTTCCACAAACACACCCTTTTTTCTCATCCACATGATAAAAGATAGTGTGGCAGGAAAATCCTACCTATCATTGGTGGATAGTTCTTAGTCAAGACAAACATTTGAGAGAGTTCCTACTTCTGTTAAACTGGCCCATTAAAACCTACCTACAAGTAAAGAGAACTTTACCTAGGAAAAGCAGTCTGGCAGAAGGGTAATCTAGATTTGTTTTGAAACTGTGAACACAGCAAGCTCAGTGTTTTCTGCCCCGCCCCCATTTGTACAATACAGATAATCGAACAAAGCAAAATTTCCTGAAGGTGCTTTTACTCTCACTTTATCTAAGATTGAATATGTCAGTCTATTTATTGAAGGGAAGGTACATGCAAAGCCTTTCAAACACACATTAGCATGGACCTGCCTTGAAGGTTAGAGAATTTAAAGTATTTATTATGCCCTGGTTGGTGTGGCTCAGTGGATTGTGTGCCAGCCTGCAAACCAAAGGGTCGCCAGTTTCATTCCCAGTCAGGACACATGCCTGGGTTGCAGGCCAGATCCTCAGTTGGGGGTACAGAAGAGGCAACCACACATTGAAGTTTCTCTCCCTCTCTTTCTCCCTTCCTTCCCCTCTGTCTAAAAATAAACAAAATCTATAAAAAAAATATTTAGTATTTATCTAAGCATTTAGCTCATGTTTATTATGATAAACAGGGCCCAAGGCTCTTTGACTTGGAGGTAATGATGTTTTGGTATATCTTGTTGAAAAACTGGTCTCTTTTAAAGTCATATTTTATAGGAAGTTAAGAAACACTCTAGCCCTGGCTGGTGTAGCTCAGTGGATTGAGCGCGGGCCTGCCAACCAGACAGTTGTGGTTCGATTCCCAGTCAGGGCACATGCCTGGGTTGCAGGCTGGTTCCCTGCAGGCCAGTTCCCAGCAGGGGATGCATGAAAGGCAACCGTACATTGATGTTTCTCTCCCTCTCTCTGTCCCTTCCCCTCTAAAGATAAATAAATAAAATCTTAAAAAAAAAAAAAAAGAAACACTCTGGTTCAATTTTTTACTTGGACTGTAGGACTTTGAAACAGATTATATATAATGCATTCTTTGAAATCTCTCCAGCATAAAGTTCAGCTATTTTCATATTGGGTTTTTGCCAGCCTGAACCTAAATTGCACTGGTAATAAAAACAAAGGTCTTGATGTACTTTCGAGACATTACTTTCCTGAAACACCAGGGGGAGGGAGACAAGGAGTGGGTTCAACCATCCGATGATACATTAGCACATTCTAAACAGGAAAAACAAGATTTATCTTGTTTAAAAGCTCATTTGAACAATTATTTGAATATTGAGTTTGTATACAGATAATTGATGTTTCATAACTTGTGAGGACCTAGAGAACCATCTCCCTTCTTTGAAAAGGCAACCCTATACCTGTGCTCTATATTCAAGTTTCATTTGCCTGGTGGTCAGTGGCTGTGAACATTCATTTAAAACTTTTGGAAGGATACAATGCATCAGGGAGATTATTATGATAACTATAAGCAGCATAATTCCCAATGTTTACAATGTACTTCAGAGCCACAATCTTCAAGACCCAAACCAGTCAAAACCAAATCAAAGACCCCAGTGAAGAGGTCACCTTTTTAAGCCAAGTGGCTTGCTCAGTTAGCCTGGAGTTTCACCTCTCCAGAAGTATCCATCCGAGTGCAGCAGAATGCACTGGCCACAGCTCAGACACTGCCTTGCTCAGCTAAATGATAAGCAAGGTCTATCCTATTATCAAGAATAACTTTGGCCACAGAGTCTAAGGATCAATATCTTCAATAGTAAAGGAGAGGTTCCTTGATCATAATTTCATTTACATTTATTCCTAACTAGGGAGGTAGGGCCCTGCCAAAGGAAGTGAATTCTGAATCATGAATGGCTTCTGATAGGTCTCTCTAACTCAAGGATATAAGTCCAGAAGAACTGACTAATGAAGTGGCCTAGTTCCTTTGTGGAAAGTCAAGGGCACAGTTAGATGTCCTAAGAGGCATCATCTAGTTATATGCCGACTGTTTAGGTACTCATAGGCCCAAGGAGAACAATCACCACAGACACAGATAAATCCTATCTGGGCACAAACTACTTCCACAAAGGTGGCACTGTTACTGGAGTCATTCACAGAGGTTGTTACATTTGCCCATTTAAGCCAGAGGCCAGATTTTTAAAATTTTTTTAAAGATTTTATTTATTTGTAGAGAGAGAGGAAGGGAAGGAGAAAGAGAGGGAGAGAAACATTGATCAGTTGCCTCTTATGGGCCCCCAACTGGGTATCTGGCCTGAAAACTCAGGCATGTGCCCTGATTGGGAATCAAACCAGGGAGCTTTTGGTTCGCAGGTTGGTGCTCAGTCCACTGAGCCACACCAGCCAGGACTAAACAGTAGTTATTAAACATAAAACAAGCCAGGGAGCTGGAATGTGGCGTGCTCAACTCTTTGTATATAAAGAATCTTATTTCTTTAGCTAGGCATTTGGGCTTTCCAGAGCCAAACTAAAATGTAAGAGGGCCTATCACAGGTGTCTTTCCAAAGTGAAGAGAATTCTAACCACCTTTCAGTGTTTGCAGCAGTTTTTATTTCCAAGATTCCCATTAGCAACTAGCCTTTATTTAAAAGAAAATTGTATTCACCTAAGGTCTCCCATTGGTCATATCTGATCACAAAACCAGTCCGGCATAAAAGTTGGACCCAGTCCAACTCTAGCTGGTAACCACCACCAATTCCCAATGTGGAAAACACTGTACTAGGCTTTACACAAAACAAAAGAAATGTACACATTAACACAACAGCAGTAACTAAAGAAATGTTACTATGGGCTGGCCCATAGAAGGCTGTGCCCAGTACCAGCAGTTTCCATTGCAAAGTAAACCAGCAGACTCCAGTGAATGGGGACTGCAGACTGGAACTGGGGAGAGGACTAACCCAGCAAACCCCAGTGAATGGCTACTGTGGGCTGAAATTGGGGAAAGGAATTCCAAACACCTGGGGAATTGTGGACTGAACCAAAAGCTATGGGGATTTGTGATCTAGGTGAAATAATCAGCCAGTTTGAGCTGACCTGCTAATCCCTAGATTGGACAGCTAATTAGATCCAGAGCTCCATGAAAAGCCAGCAGAGTTCAGAATACCGGGAACCCTACGAAACAGCAAGAAAGGAAGAGCTCAGAAAAGTTCTTGGGCATCACACTTGTGCTTCTTGTACCCAAATGGCATCAAAACTTCCCTTTAAATCCTACCATTGCTGTCACCAAATCTGTTAAAGAACAAAAATCCAACCAAGTAAATGAAATGATCTAATTGGATTGAAAGATTTATGAATTGGGCAGCATCCCATCTAGTAAACAGAGGTGCTCCAAGAAGTACAAACTGGAAGGTTTTTATAGGTAGAAACTGGGCAGGACAAGGAAGTTATTAGCAAAAGAAAAGAGAATTGTTTCTGGCAGGGTCACCTTTGTTTAGGAAAGGGTAGCCCAGGTCTTTAGAGGGCAGATTACATCATTGGTGTAGGTAAACCGGACAGGTTTAAGGTGACATTCCTGAGCAAGCTGAAAACTGCAATTAAGTTTTGGCTTGTTATGGGGTGGAGGGCGGGGCAAGTGACACTGCCTAGTTTTTTCTTAACAACTGGGAAAAAGAGGAGAAAACCTGGTTAAAGGATGTGGCGCTCTCACATGCATATCGATACCTGGCTCTCCCATCCCCATTGCCTTGATGCCAGTGTTTTGAACTGAATAACTTGTTCCTCCGGGATAATAAGGACCATACCAAGGACAAATAATCCACAGGATGGATAATGACTTGGGGAGAATAAGGAATATGACCTATCTTGTGGCCTCCAATCACCTGCAGATCCTTCCCACCACCTGAACCCGCAGAGAAGCAAAGGACCAGGGAGTTCGTTGGTACAAACTGACACGTCAGCCTTCTCTGGCACAAAAGCAGGAAGAGGGTGGAGAGTAGATATGGAGGGGCAAAGAGAAGACAGGTGAAATTGCTTCCAAGAAGCAGGTATGTGGAAGCAGATATATTAATGTGTTTAAAACACAGACAAGTAGCCAGATCCCTTCACTGACTTTATAGGCACTGCACTATGGGGAAGACCTCAAACACCCCCTGCTGGGTTCTTTAGAGACCCTTGAGAACACATTCACCCTCCAGTTCTCTCTCCTCACGCATACCCTATTTCCAAGAAAGTCCTGTTTTTCTTAGATAAAGTGCCTTTATGATTTTTTGCTTCAATAAAAAAAAAAAGCAATGAGCCCTGACTGGTGTAGCTCAGTGGATTGGGTGTGGGCCTGTGAAGCAAAGAGTCACTGGTTCAATTCCCAGTCGGGGCACTTGCCTGGGTTGCAGGTCAGGTCCCCAGTGGGGGACACGTGGGAGGCAACCACAAATTGATGTTTCTGTCCCACTCTTTCTCCTTCCCTTCCCCTCCAAAATAAATAAAATATTTTTTAAAGCAATGAACAAAACCACTATTAAAGAGAAAGCCACAGGCCCAAGATGGTGTCAGTCGTGAACAAATCCTCTGATACCAAAACCTAGATTAAATATCTGATCTGCTTGCGTTTTCAAACTTCCCAGAAACATAATCTTAATGAACCTCTCTGGAATTTCCTGGTCAATAACATAGAAGGAAGAAGTAATCTGCATGATAAAAGGCCACCAAAAAAGATGTCCTGGCTTATTTCTTTTGCTAATCAATTCCTTGCCACACCCTTCTTCCTATAAAAGCCTTTCATCGTGCCCTTCTAGTTGCCACTTGGGATGCTGCCTGATTCACGAAGTGCTTAATAAAGCTGATTAGATCTTCATATTTACTTGGTTGCATTTCGTTTTGAAACACCAGCAACCATGGCTAAGTAGCCCATGTAAGTGTAATTTTGCAAAATCATTCCCCATCACCTTTTTCTCAACTGAATTAGCTTTTAATCCACAGATACCGTCAGGCGCTGCATAACCATGTTTCTGTCCGTGACTGACCACATGTACAAAGGATGGTACCATAAGATTATAATGGAGCTGAAAAATTCCTATTGCCCAGGGACCTCGCAGCCATCATTGTGACATTGCAGAACACAAGACTTAACGCATTTGTGGTGATACTGGTGCAAACAAAGCTACTGCACTGCCAGCCCCATGAAAGTATGACACCTACAATTATTTACAACACAAGACATCGATGATCCATGACTATGTTACTGGTTTGCGTATTTACTACACTGTACCACACTAATAGTTTTACCATTAGCGTGTACTCTCAGCAATAGGCTATACCATACATACAGCCTATGTGTGTAAGTATACTTACGATGTTCTTCAGTGATGAAATTGCTTCTCAGAACACATCCCCATCGTTAAGCAGCTGTAGGGAAACTAGAATGTTGTCTGAGTCTGTACAGTGTGGATTTGTTGACAGACTTTTGTCACAGGGTCAGGTATTGACCTAGCAGGACTCCCTATGAAGAGCAGCTGGTTGGTCGTTAAAAACGCACAAAGCTTCACCAGCGAAGGGGCTAGTAAAGATGGCGCCCCGCGGGGTAGAAGTAAAAACCTCTCCTTACCTAGAAATGGATTCAGGGGGTTGCTTAGGTCAGGTAAATTGTCATATGGGGGGGAGGCTTTATTGTTTTCACGGGTGTCCACTGAGGCCTGCAGGCCTCATGCAGCCTCACACAAAATTGTCAAGTTACTTAAAACATTACTTAGTTTTATTACTAAGTTTTATACTAGGTTTTATTACTTAGATATGTACATTTTCTATATTAGCGATCACCAACTTGGGGCCTGCTCAACGATATTAAAAGATAATCGAAGGGGACGCTGCATAATTAGGGTTATTATGTGAGGACTTTTTTGCTTATCTGTGGTGGCAGTATCATGAAAACTATGCATGGACCTTTTTTTTTTGCTCATCAGTTTTCGTGTTTGTGTATTTAAATGTGTGGCCCAGAGATGCCAAAAGTGTGGACACCCTGGTTTATCCTGTTGTAATGTTTGCATAGTTAATTAGCTTTATGGGATTAAATAATCTCGACTTTAGCGGATTGAAGTGAGACTCGGAGAGGTGTCCTGTACCAGTTAGTCTGACAGCCCTAAAGCTGGGCACATTTTCAGGAACAACGCACCCGGTACATAAACATCATTAATTCATAAATACTCGCACGTGAAACCAATGCCATCACTTGCTGAATGTCAATTACAAAGCTCTAATCGGATCTTTAAAATTAAAACGTATTTGTACCTTTTTAACACAGATCCATCCCTGGAAAAAAATATTTGGAACATCGTTAGTTTGTAAAGTAGTATTTGCCCTACAAAGTAATTTTTTTTAAAAGACAAATACTTTTTGTTTTACTCGAGCACTTGAAAAATACTTCATTTCGTGACTCGAGGCAGGGAAGCGCACTGAACCAAGTGCCTGGGCAAAGATTTCCTAGAAATTAATTACACCGTTTTCATTTCGGACGAGCCTCAAGCTTACTGCTGACCACGCTGCCCCAAAACACTAGGCGGGACTTTTTTTTTTGACCGGCTCGGCGAGAGGAGAGACGCAGGGGACAGTGCGACCCGTTCGGCGGGCCCGGAGCCCACTCGGGAGCGGCCCCGGGCGGGCGACCCCGGTCCCCCAGCCTGCTCTTCAGGCCGCCTCAGTGCCCGGGGGAAGCGTCGCCTGGGCGCCACGTGCGTAGCCCGCCCCGCCCCTCCTCCGCCCGCCCGCGCAGCCGTGGGAGTACGCCCCAGTCACAGAAGCTCGGCGTGCGCCCCGCCCAAGTGCCCGCAGCTCGGGCTGCCGTAGCCCGCGAGCCCGGAGTTGCTCAGTTCTCCCTCCCTTCCCCTCGGGGTGCCGCTGGGGCGGGCCCGGCCGTAGGGCCGGATCGTCCGTCAGCCTCCGCGGGAGGCGGCCGGCCTAAAGCCGTCGCCGGCGAGTAGCCACGTCACGCTGCTCCCGGAGGCCCCGCCCCCTCCGTCCCCTCGGACCGCCTCCTCACGCCCCGCGAGCAGTTACTGGCTCAGGGGCGCGCGCCTCCGGCATTCTGCCTGAGGTCTTCCAACCTCGCTCGCTGCGCCTCTGTCGCTGCCTGTGCCGGCTGACGGCTCGCGGCTCACGACTCCGGCGCCCGGCGCGGGTTGGCTGGCTCGGGACGTGCGTCGCCGAGGCGGGCTGAGCCGACGGGCGGTTAGCGCTCCGTTCGACGCGGGGAGGGGCGGCACTCCGAGCGCTGCACGGCCTCGGCCGACGCGGGCGGCGGTGGCGGCGGCGACGGCGGCGGGGCTCTCGGGCTCGGTGCCCCGGGCGGGAGCCAGCGGGTGTCCCGGCGGAGAGACGGGTAGCCCGGCTCCCTGGCCGCGGGCTCCCTGGCCCCGGGCTCCCTGGCCGCGGGCTCCCTGGCCCCGAGCACCCCGCGGCTGGGGCGGCTGGGGTAAGGGGACGATGTCTGCTCGCGCCCCGGTGCCCGCCGCTCCCTCTCCGGAGGAGCAGCCCGCGGCGGCTGCGGAGAAGGAGTCGCCGTCGCTCGGGGCGAGCCGCGAAGCGGAGCGGGTGCTCACGCCCGAAAGGGAGGGCAAGCCGGCGGCGAGGGATGAGAGGGCCGCGACCGCCACCAGCTCGGGGGCGCGGGGCGAGCCTTCGCCAGCGCCGGTGCTGGGACACAGCGTGCCCCAGGCGGCTGTGCCCGTGAGGCCGCTGGCGCTGCACCTGGCACACAGGGCGGGCGGGTCTGGAGGCCCCTTCGGCGGGGAGCCGCTGCCCCCGCTGCTTCTGCTGCCCCCGCCGCCGCGGGACCCGCCGGCCGAAGACGCCCGAGAGGAGGAGGCGGCGGGCGGCTCTGAAGAAAAGCCGCAGCCTCCGCTGCCCCCGAAGGAGAACCCCTGGACCAAAAAGCCGCCGCAGCACCTGTCCCCGGCCGGGTCGGAGCAGCCGCCGCCTCCACTGGAATCCCCGGAAGCAGGTCCGTGGCTGCTCCGTGGTGGGTGAGGCACGGGGTGTGCGTGTAGGGGTCGGCTCGTGGGCAGACCTAGGCTGGCGCGAGCGGGGGAGGGGCAGGCCTGCTTCCCTGTCAGAGGTGTTTGTTCCAAGGTGTCATTCACTCTGCCCATTTACATAAATGGACATCTGGAGGCGAGCGGCCGGCGGAGGTGGGACCTCGGCTTCTCCGCCCGGCGGGCGCGGCCTCGGTGGTCATGCCCCGCGCGCGTGCGGGGACTTGGGAGAGCTAAGTTTAGGTAGTTATTGCATGCGACTCCCCCGTAGAAAAGTTTTGCAGGACGGTTTTCCAAAAGAAGGGAAATACGGGGATTTACTTATATGTGGGAGCGCGCTTGTGTTTATTTTTATTGCGAAATAATGGGTAAACTGGAAATGCCAGTATTCTCAAAACACTAGTCAGATTAAAAATGAGGCTCTAGACCGTAGTTGCTACTGAAACGTTTTAAATTGTGATTGTGGTGGAAAATAATTGAAGTAGGCAAATGGTAGTGTTTTAATATTCATATCTCCCTTTAGAAGAGATCAAATTATGTCACTGCCTTTGAATGCTGACCAGTGACTCTGGGTTCTTTATTTTGGTTGTAGCACCTGCATTTTTTTTTCTTTAGAAAGTTTAAATGGAAATAGTGAATACAACTAAGACAAGAAGAGGTGTCTCCTAGTTTTGCCTTCTAAATTAAAGTACAGTAAATTAATCGAACTTTGAATATAGAAATTACAGCTGTTTACTTGCAAATTTTCACTTTTTCTTTAAATGAAAGGTTAACGGTGGGGATGAGGAAAATCTGGGCATGTTCTGGGTAGGTCTGTGAAGCTCAATTGAGGTAAAACATGGCGTAAATGTAAGGTAATTATTGTAGACATGTGTATTACATGTCTTCAGAGAAACACCAGTGGAGTGAGTTAAGTGTTCATTGATTTCTTTAGCTTTTTGCACAGTAATACTAATCATTATTCATAAGTTTTGAGACTTGCAGAAAAATACTTAAACACTTGTTTTAAGTTTAATATTGTCATCGTTCTCTTCTAGCCGCAAATATTTGTTTACTACTATTATTAAACAAATAATAGTAGAAGAAAACAAAAATCTAAAAGCAAAATCTCCATAAAATTTTAGCTAAGAGAGAAAGCCCTAGTGAATCTTAATGGCCGTCTCAACTCCCCACTTTCTAGGTTTCTGGGTTTTTGGTAGTTCACATTTTTAGTGAACTACCAAAACACCCAAAGTCTTTTTTAAAATATGTCTTATAGATGATGCTATTATAGTTTTCGCGAATTTCTCCCCTTTATCTCCCTTCTGCCCTGCACCCCTCAATCCTCCAGCATCCCCCCCCCACTTAGTTCATGGGTTGTACATATAAGTTATTTAACTTCTGTTCCTTATATCATTCTTAACCTCCCCATTTATTTTATGCCTACCAATTATGTTTTTTATTCCTCTACCTCCTGCCGCCCCCATCCTTCCCTTCTCCCTCCCCACTGAAAATCCTCCATGTGATGTCCATTTTTCTCCGATTCTGTTCCTGTTCTAGTTGTTTAGTATTTATTTGTGTTGGGGTTTTTTTAGGTTCAGTGTAGTTGTGAGTTTGTTGTCATTTTCCTGCTCATAGTTTTTGATCTTCAATTTCTTAGATAAGTCCCTTTAACATTTCATGTAGTAAGGATTTGGTGATAATGAACCTTTTAATTTTATCTTATCTGAGAAGCACTTCATCTGCCCTTCCATTTTAAATGATGGCTTTGCTGGATAGAGTCATCCTGGATGTAGGCCCTTGGCTTTCATGACTTCAAATACTTCTTAAAGTCTTTGTTCACTGTAAAATCAATTTGACAGGTTTTTAGACCATTAAGATGGTCTAAAGAGTTTTACATTGAAAATGGCCTTGTGAAAAATATGTAACAGTTTACTTTGTTTTATTTTTTATTTATTGATTTCAGAGAGAGAGGCATCAATTTGTTCCACTTATTCATTCAGTCATTGGTTGATTGCATGTACCCTGATGGGGGAATTGAACCCGGAACCTTGGTGTGTCTGGATGATGCTCTAATCAAGTGCACTACTACTGTGCTAACAGTTTAATATAATTAACCTACAGGTGCTTTCATTGAGTATTTTTATCTTCGTTGGAGATTAAGAGCAAACTGATGCTCGATGTATGGTGTGGTTCATGGGAATTTCAATTTTGCCAATGTCTCTGTGTAGGCAGCTCATTCTATTCTTGGAATCCATTCTGTTCGTGCATAAATGTTAATCTTCAGACTTGGAGTAGCATAGCAACTTCCAGCCCTGACTGCACTTTCTACCACAGCCTTTATTTGTAGTTGAATACTTAGGGGGCTTAGACAAGAGAGTGGCGTAGAAATGCACTGTTCTGCAAGACTTAGGGTTCTAGTCCAGATATTGTTACTAACTAGCTGGACTTCTGGCAAAATTGCTGGGCCCTGTAAATGAAGTACATGTACCTCTTCCAGTTCTTAATACCTGTGTACCATCCATATAACTGAGTGTCTTTGCCTCCTATTTTCCTAAGTAAATTTGCAACCTCGAGAATGAAGAGCACCGGCCTGGGAACCAAAGGGTCGCCCATTCAATTCCCAATCAGGGCACATGCCTGTGTTGCAGGCCAGGTCCCGGGTGAGGGACGCCTGAAGCAACCACACATTGCTGTTTCTCTCTCTCTTTCTCCTTCCCCTCCCCTCTCTCTAAAAATAAATAAATAAAACATTTTTTAAAAAGAAAAAGAAAAAAAGTGATGAAATAGGACCAAAAGACCTACAGTGTCCAGAGTAGGGGAAAACTGGGGAGTGTTAAATTAGTACAATAATCTATTAGTAGGCCTGTATAATTTATTTTACAAAATAGGATATTCTTGAGAGGGAAAGAGAAAGATATTAATCATGCTGGGTTAACAGGCTTAAACCATATCTGTTCTGGGAGAAACCTGGATTTATTGTCACTCTCTTAATAAGGTACAAGGATTCCATCCACAACATTTTGCTAGAAAATTTATTACTAGAGATAACATTATAGGAAATGTTGGAGTATTTCAGGATTGTTAATCCCGAAATACCTACTTCAGGGATTGCAGGCGAGGCATTACTGTTTCTTCAGTCCTTGTGAGACACCTTCTTCTACTTTTGGTTCTTGCCTGTTTCTGCATAATCCAGATAAGTCTCTCTTTTCAGCCTAAGCCTGGCCCACCCAAGATACCTAAAATAAGTGTCACTGCAGTTTTGAATTCAGTCAGAAAACTAAAAAGAATTGTTTCTCAATCTGTCCTAACCTTGTTTTACTTATTTGGGGGACTTTTATTAAAATCACTGTATGGGATTTATTAATCACTTACCTGTAGTTTTCTCTGATCCCTTCAACTTTGTTTTCTCCCTATATCTGCTCCCCAGCTGTTATTACCCTAGTAACATTTTAAGTTAGTTATATAAGTAATGCATAAATATATTCTCCTTGTAAAAACAGAACTTTCGATGTCCCCTTCAAAAATGAGATGATCAACTCAGGCAGGTAGCTCAGTTGGTTGGATCCTCATCCTATACACCAAAAGGCTAAGGGTTCAGTTCCTGGTCAGGAGATGTAATTTAGGTTGTGGGTTCAATCTCTGGTTGGGGTGTGTACGGGAGACAACCAGATGACGTTTCTGTCTCACATCAGTGTTTTTCTCCCTTCCTTTCTAAAATCAGTAAACATATCCTTTGGTAAGGATTAAAAAAAAAAAAGATAATCATGTTTACCAAATGTCCTTTTAAACCTGTGCTATTATTTCCAAATATAGTGTTTTGTGTGTGTGTTTAGAACATAACATAATTTTTTTTCATTTAGAGTGTTTTTTGTCCTTTTTTCTTATTATCATTAGTGAGGTTTTTTAAATTATTTACTATTGAGGTATAATTGAAATATTAGTTCTGGATATACAACATAATTACTTAATATTTGTGTATATTGCAAAATGATAGCCATGCTAAGCCTAGTAGTCTGGCCCTGTACATACATAATTGACTTTTTCTTGTGATGAGATTGGTCCTTTTTAATCTAAACCCCTTTTAAAAAACTTCTGAGAAGTAGTTTATAAATATAACTGACATAGTTAATTTAGCCACTTATGTATTGATCAGCAGCATCTCAGTTGTTTCAAACATTAGTTAATTTGTTTATATACATAACGTACATGGAACCACTAATAGCTTAAATTTGTTTTTAGGTTTCATCTGTTGAAAAGATATATATTTTTAAATTGTCACCTGAGGATATGTTTATTGATTTTTAGAGAGAGGAAGGGGGTGGAGAATGAGAGACAGGAAAAGAGAGGAACATAAATGTTGCCTCCCTTACACACCCCAACCAGGGTTTGAACCCACAACCTTTTGGTGTATGGAGTGATACTTAACCATCTGAATCACCTGGCCAGGGTGAGATATATATCTTTTTAACTAAAAAATTTTAATTTAATTTTATGCCCTGGCAGGTGTGGCTTAGTCAGTTGAGTGCCAGCTTGCAAATCGAAAGGTTGCTAGTTTGATTCCCAATCAGGGCATGTGCCTGGATTGCAGCAGGCCAGATCCCCAGCTGGAGGTGTGCAAGAGGCAACCGATTGATGTATCTCTCACACACTGATGTTTCTCTCCCTCTTTTTCTCCCTCCCTTCCCCTCTCTCTAAATATAAATAAATAAAATCTTAAAAAATAAATTTAATTTTATAGGTTGGCTTAGTTTTTCAATTTTAGATTGTCTCTAAAAACATACAGGGCAGTATCTTCCATTTTTAGTTAAAACACGGGAAAATGAAAAAAAAAAAGAACCCCTTTCTTAGATTTTTTTTTTGCCTGTTCTCTATATGTGTATATAAAATTAAAAACTTGGTGGGCTTCTTTCCATATCAGTCAGTACATACAGGTTTGTCTTTTTTCTAAAAGTTTAAATTATTTTTTATAGATGTACTATAATGTAACTTTTTCATATTAATGGATGTAGGAATTAAGTACAGTTATCAGCAAAGCTCTAGTAAATATCTTAAACAGGTATCTTTGTACCTTGTCTTGATTCCCAGATAATTTCCCAGAAATGGAAATTATCCATTTCCTTCTTTATTAAAAGGTATATACATTTTGAATGACATACTATCCTTGAAAGATTATACTACTACACACTCTTGCCAAGAGTATGAAAGAAATGTTCATTTCTTTTATATATTTTCCCCCTCTTTGGGGTGGTGGTAAATGATTATTTCTTTATAGGCTGGCCAACACTGGGCATTCTCTTTTTCGTCCACATGGTAGGTGAAAAATTTTCTGTTTTAGTTTGCGTTTATTAGTGCAGTTGATTACCATTTTATGTTAGACTATTTGTATTTTAGGAATCACCTTTTCATCTTTTACTGAGATTTTTTTTAACTCTAAAAGACTGGATTGATGAGGTGGTCCAAGTAAGAAGCACACAAAGGACTTTCTGATGTTGAACTTGGAATTAGACAAATGTGTTGACATAGTTGACATTGCACAAGTGCAGTTCCCCCTTCTATCTGTTGGGGAGCCTGCTCCTGTGAAGTTGGCAGCATGGAGGAGCAGACCACAGCACTTGTTTTTTGTAGACAGCTAGCTCCCAAACAGTTAACTTTGTGATTATTTATGTCTAATTTATTTGTAATAAAGCCATATAAAACTTGCTCATGTGGCCTATCCTTTATTACTTTTCAGTATTTCAAGTAGCTTGTATAAGGAGGTATTTTGTAATTACCAGGCCCCTTATTTACTTAGCAATATTTTTCATTTCGTTAGGGGAAAAGTTCCTCAAATATTCTATACTATATTAATTTCATAAAATATATGTAGTATTTACAGAACATACTTCAGTGAAATTCTAGATAATGTTCAGAAAAATAGTATTTATTTAGTTGGGTTTTTTCCTACCCCCATTTTTTGTCCTATTTGTACATATTTTTTTCCTACTGTATCTAATTTTTCTTAATGAAATATTTTATTCTTATATCCATTACACATGTCTACACATACACACAATATGTATACACAATAAAGTATAAAGAAGAATAAAACAAATACCTGTGTACTCTTATGATTTAGAAGTAGAACTACTATAGTATTCAAGATCCCTCTATGCCTATCCCTGGTGGCACCTTTTAGCCTTTGTCCTTTATTTCCTTTTTTGATAAGTGTAGATGGACTTCAATTTACAGTGGGGTTACCATTTGGCCCTAACTGTAAATTGAAAATATCATTGTCAAAGGTGCATGTAATACTACACTGTAGAGTATTGGTTGTTTACACTTATGATTGCCTGGTGACTGGGTGCTGCAATTCACTGCCCAGCATTGTAAGAGTATTGTACAGCATATTGCTAATCTGGGAAAATATCAAAATTCAAAATTAGAACTATAGTTGTACTGAATACTTAACTGTTTTTTCACCATGAAAAAGAAAAAATCTTAAGTCAAACCATCATAATTCTAGACAATCTGTACCTTATTTAAATATCTCATTTATTGCCCTAGCCACTGTGTCTCAGTTGATTAGAGCATTGTTGCTGGTTCAGTTCCTGGTCAGGCCATATGCCCGGGTTGCAGGTTTGACCCCCCCCAGTCAGGGTGTCTGCAGGAGGCAACCAATAGATGTTTCTCTCTTTTTCTATCTCCTCTTCTACCCTCTTCTCTACCTCCCTTACCCTCTCTCTTGAATGAGAATAAAATAAATCTTAAAAAAACACTCGTAAGAGATTTTACTTATTTTTAGAGAGGAAAGGAGGGAGGGAGGGAGAGAAACATTGACTGGTTGCCTCTTGCACACCCCCAACTGGGGACCTGGCCTGCAACCCAGACATGTGCCCTACCTGGAATCTAACCAGTGACCTTTTGGTTCATAGGCCAGTGTTCAATTCTCTGAGCCACACCAGCCAAGGCCATCTGTATCTTATTTAAATTTGCTTCTGGGTTTTAATTCAAATGTTGCATTCTGTGAATTGGTCATTGCTGTGGTTTTTGGGATTCGTGTATACATTGTAGATGCAGATCCCAAGTTTATTCTACTTAATGTTTACTTTGGGTCATGTTTAGCTAGATGATATTGCCGTCTGGTTATCTTGTTAGGCAATGAACCAAACTAAAAGACAGTGTAAAACTTAATTTGGAGACAGTATTTATATACATAATGTCAACCACTGTGTTTTTATTCAAGATAAGGACAAGTGGTGATTCCATGATAGTCTTGTACAAACTTTTACAGAGGCCTATTTTCTACATCTAAACTTGTAGTTGCCAAGCGTGTGTTTTCAGGAACAGTTTGAAATCTTTTGACTTCTTTTCTGGATATTCCTTAATGAACATATTAATTTTTTAATGTATTTTTTGTAATAAAATTCTCCACTGACTTAATGAAATTGGTATTATAATAGTAAGTCTCTTTTTCCTCACAAGCGCTTGTGAGCCTTTAATGAACTTCCTCCATGTGGCTTCAAGCTACCAGGACACAGCCTTCCCAACCCCAGATCTTCTCACCTCTTCTGCTAAAGATTTTGGCCTTCAACAAGGACTGGCTGCTTTGGGAGGTTTGCCTTCCGTAGAACTTTGTAGTGACTCGATTGTACCACATCAGTGATGGGACCGGGGCTACAGTCTTGTTTTTGGTAGCATTTACCTGTGTCTTCTCACTGACCAGGGTCCACAGTTTATTGAGGTTGACTGCTGGGCAGAAGCTCTGGTTCCTCTTTAAGTGGTAGGGCCTCATAACAGCTTTCCTAAAGTAACCTGGGTGGTACTTGTTGAAGCTGATCCTGTGACAGTGCAAGCTACCAGCATTACCTGGGCTTCCTGGGTACTTCCTGTGCTTGCCTGCAGGATTACAAAGTGATCTGTCTGTGGCCATAGCTCACATGGCCCCTAAATTTCTGGGTTTCCTCAGTCTGGATGGCATGTTTGTGGCTGAGATACAGGGGGGTTACTTTGTTAAAATATATTGAATGAAGTGGTTGTAAAAACAATTCTATGTTTTGTTTTGTTTTTTTAGAGCTCAGTTCCCCCAAAATTATAAAAGCAGGAAAACTCAAGGCAAAGAAGTCCAACAAGGTATGTCTTTATATGAAGTAGTTCTTAACTACTACGTTTTGAAAATCAGTATATTCTTAGCTTATTGTGTATTTTTCTTCTAATCATATTATTAATAATTTAAAGTTAATATACTAGAGAATTGTAGCCCTTACACAAACTCCCAAATGACCTGTTATACTGTTTATATCAGTGTAGTTAGTGTCATCAATAGTGGTAGAAATTAGAGCATAAGACCAAGACATACTTGTTTCAGTTTTCCATTGTGTGGAGAAGCTTTTGGATTAATTTGGCAAGGGGCTGCATATAAATTGAATGTAGGTGTTTTTTTTTTAAGATTTTATTTTTTTGAGAGAGGGTGAGGGAGGGCGAAAGAGGGGGAAAGAAACATCAATGTGCACAAGAAACATTGATTACTTGCCTTTTACAGGTCCCCACCAGGGGACCTGGGCCACAGCCCAGGCATGTGCCCTGACTGGGAATTGAACTGATGACCTTTCATTTCACAGGTTGGCACTCAACCCAGTGAGCCGTACCAGCCAGGGCTGTAGTTGATTTTTAAAATTGCTTTTACTTTTAGAAAATATTCTTTCTATTTAAAATATCTGATTTGTAGACATAACACTTATTTATTATTTTTAGGCTAGTGATTTCAGCGATATGGCGAACTGGCCTACACCAAGTGAATTAGTGAACACTGGAGTGAGTATTGTTTTAGGCTTTCTTTATATAGAGGGGAAAGAATGTTCTCATTTCAACATGCAGCATTTATTTTACTTCAGATTTAGAGAATTACATTAATAAAGAGGTGCTGAAAACTCAGCTGCTACCTTTTTCATAGTTCTGTTTTAATATGTGTCTAATTAAAGCTCATTTTGTTCAATAATTTATGCTATGTGTCTGATTTATGAATAATTTAAATATGCATTTAAGTGCTAACTTTATGTACATATATGCATATGTATTATATCAAGAAGTGTTTAATGAATGGAATTTTAACTTAATTATGAAAGATGCTTGAAAGGGGCAGTATATGCCCCTCTAAATTATATATGTTCTCATTTGACAGTATAGTTCATTATTTGTTATTTGTGCAGTGTTAACTGGTGTATGGTTGTAGATAATATATTAAACAGCTTAATTTGATATATAAATGACATAATAAATTGCAAATATATAGTGTACAATTTGATAAGTTTTGACTATGAAACCATTACCACAATCAAGCTAAGAAGACTTTACTGTTACCCCCAAAGTTTCATCACACACCTTTGTAATTCTCCCTGTCACACATCCCCTCGTTGTCCCAGGCATTTTCTACAATTTTATTTAAGCGAGGTCATATAGCATGCTCTTTTTTTTTCTTTTTGGCTTTCATTCAGCTTATTTTGACATTTATTTGTATTATATGTACCTGTAGTTCATTCCTTACTGTTGAGTAGTGGTAGTATATGGATGCAGTGCCGTTTGTTCATGCACTTACTGGTATACACTTGTGTTGATTCTACTTACTTTTGGCAGTTAGACATGAAGCTTTTATATACACATTTGTGTAACAGTTCTGCATGGATATATGATTCACTTTTTCTTGGGTAAATACCTGCAAGCAGAATGGCTAAATTGTATGTAAGCATTTGTTTAGCTTTTTAAGAAACAACTAAACTTTTCCTTCCTGCTATCAGTGTATGAGAATTCTATTTTTTCTACATACTCACCAATATCTTTGGTTAGTCTTAATTTTAGTTGTTCTAGTTGGCATGTGGTGGTAGCACATTGTAGTTTCAATTTGCATTTTTCTTACTAAAGGTGTGAAGGGCCTTTTCATATATATACATTTGCCACTAGTGTATTTTTTTAATGAAGTATCTATTCAAATCTAGCTCAGTTTTTCAAAAATTGAGTTTTCTTATTACTGCATTTTGAGAGTTCATTACATATGGTGGAGTAAAAGGTTTATAGTTGTGAGTATGCAGAACACAAGAGTTTATTCTTGTATTATTTATTAATGTATTCTTTTCCATATGAACAACTGTAAACCTACTTTTGCCCAGCCCTATATATTTTGGATACAAGTTTTTTATCAAATACTTAGGAAGTATTTTCTCCCAGTCTGTGACTTGGTTTTTCTCTTAATAGTGTCTTTTGTACCTTTTACTTTTCAAAAGATGGCCTTTGTCCTGCCTTATTTAGGTGAGGTATATTACCACAGATTTTTGGATATGTTAGTGAAAATGTTCTTGAAAATTATTTAATTCAGTAATACTTTTTTGCAGAGTCAGAGTGTCATCAACCAAGGAAATAAAAAGCTACAAAATAAAAAAGAAAGAGAAGACAAGTTTGAGAAGAGAAATAACAGTGAGAGCAAAGAAAGCCGTGAAACAAAGTTAGATGGTCTTGGTGAAAATGTCAGTGAGGATGAAGCTCAGTCGAGTAATCAACGAAAGAAAGGTTAGTTCATTGATACGTTCATCTCCTCCCTTCCTGTTTTATTGAGATATAGTTGTGTTAGTCTAAGGTATAGAATATAGTGGTTTGATGCGTGTATATATTGCAAAGTGATCACAACACTGTTTAGTTAACATCCATCACCTCAGAGTTAGACTTTTTTTCTTGAGATGAGAACTTTTAAGATCTATTTTCAGCAACTTTCAAATATATAATACAGTATTGTTCACTCGTGTTGCCATGCTATACATCACACCTGCAGAACTTACTTATCTTATAATTGTAAGTTTGTATCTTTTGAACCCTTTCACTCATTTCTCCCATCCCCCTCCTCTGTTCAGTTTCTTTGAGTGTGGCATTTCTAGGTTCCATGTATAAGTGAGGTCGTATGGTATTTGTCTTTCTTTCTCACTTATTTCATAGCATAATACCCTCAAGGTATATCTCTATTATTGCAAACGACTGGATTTTCTTTCTCATGGCTGAATACTATTCCGTTCTGTATATGAGACACATTTTTTTTATATGACACATTTTTGTTATCCATTTATCTGTCTGTGGACTGTTTCCATGTCAAGGCTATTGTAAATTAGATAGTGCTGGTAAAAATGTCAGTGAGGATGAGGCTGTTGAGTAGTTGATGAAAGAGGGGTTAGTTTATATGTCCATTTTAGTTTTTATTTTCTGTAAGAAGGTTGTAGTAATGAAGAATTATATTTAATCAATTGATTCCTTGTAGTCACCAATGAGTATTTTTGGATTTCTTCATGATACCATCTGCAGTGGTAACTGATTTGCTTTTATTCGATTCGTTTCTGAACTCTCAGTTTTCCCTGTAAGAATGGAATGAAGTTCCACTTACAGAAATGAGTGTAAATATATGATTGGAAAGTCATGTGATGACTATTGTTTTTTCAATTTGTATTGTAACTACTCCCTATCTTTATTGTATACATATTCTTTTTGGAGCTTTTTGTGTGTCTGGGGACACATGATTTAACTGCTTTGTAAAACCATTTACTCATCAGTGTTCTGAGCCTAGGTAAAAGTGCCTGCAGGAATCTTTTGGCAGAAAAATTCTTTGAACTGTCAAAAGGAGAGTAGCTGAGGTGCATTGAACATTGGAGAGAGTGGCAGGAGATGTTATTGGGGAGGTAAGCATAGTCCACATTATGTAGGGTTCAAACTTGGAATTAGAATTTTGAGTGAAAAGGGAAGATACTATAGCAGTTTAAATCATGGAGGTTATATGGCATGAGAGGGGGCATTTCATGATGTGATAGTTGTGGCCAGCTTCTTTAATAGTGGAAGTAGCGATCTGTCATGTCTTGAGCACCTACTTGATTTTTATTGTAACAATTATCCTTAGCTGCAGGGTAAGCGTTAGGCTCACTTGGTACAATGAGCCAAGGCTAATTGCTCAAAAGTGGTGCCAACGGGATAACCATACGGTTATTAGAAAATAATTTCTCCAGTTCTTAAACCTTTTTTATGCTTATTAGACATATAAGTAGTCTTTTTGGCTGTGTAGAATTCATACAGATGGCAGACCTGTCATCCTGCTCTAAGATTTGTCTTCTTTCTTAATTGCTTTAATTAAAACTGTCAGCCAACACTAAAATCCAGGTATTTATAGCTAGAGTAATTCATATACTCGAGTTATGAATTGACTCTCCTCAGAACATACATTTTTGTCTTCAAATTAAAGACTGTCTCGTGCCAAAGAATTTGTACTGTAGTTGCACACTAATACTGTTCCCTTTCCCTTAATCACCTTAGTAGTGTTTCCCTTACTCAGGAGTCTTTATTGGCAAAAAATATATATATATTGGTCAGAAAACTGAACATTTTGAAACCTCGACTGTGGAATCTGTAAATAGGTAATCTTGAGGATAACACCATAACAATTACACTATCTTTTAGTCAACAAGAAAAATTAAATTGCTTGTATCTCTTAAGAAGTTAGGGAAATGTGTGTAGTAACTTTAAAAAGATTTATCAAATGGAGTTAGACACATTTTACACTTAATTTTCAGAAACCTGTTTCATTAGTAGTAATACTGGATAAATCAATATTTTAGACAGTGATTTGAAACTAAAAGTATTTTGAATCACTAGCCAAGTTCTTCAGTGTGTTCATTATTATGTCTTATCAGGCACACCCCATTCTGAAGCCTAAGAATCAAGCTTTAGACAGGAGTAGTGTGTACACATACTATTTTGAATACCTTATTTATCAGAATTAAACAGAAGAGTGAGCATTTCACTTAAAAGCAAAAGAATTCCAGTGATAATTTATTACTGGTTTTTCACTTGATTCTTAGAAATATTATTGGCATAGAATAGATTTTTAAGAAGCTGTGTGAGAAGGAAATTATTTTGGTCCTCTACAGGTGATCCTTTTAAGGACAAATAAGTTTCATTTAATCAAAATTTAGAGTCCTTTCAAAACTATAAAGCTTTATTCAAAATTATACATTGTCATTAAATGATTTTATTTTATTCAAGGTAATAAGCACAAGTGGGTACCACTCCACCTAGATGATGTAAGACCAGATAGTCAAGAAAGACCAGGATCCCGGAACAGCTCAAGATGTCAACCTGAAACAAATAAATCATCACATAACAATAGGAGAAATGATACACGCAGTAAGTTACATTCTAAGAGAAAAATGACTAAAGAATTATGTCTTATTGCTTATTATTTTAATAGCCGTGTATAGTATAAACTATTTGAAAGTAAGTTGCTGATATTGTTCCTCTTTAACTCTGAATACCTTCAGAATATATATTGCAAGACCAGTAATACAGTCTGACTATCCACAGGTAGATTTTTTTAAAATGTCCCTTACGATTTCTTCCTCACCCCCCAAGATTTTATTTATTTATTTTTAGAGAGAGGGGAAGAGAAGGAGAGGGGGAGAAACATCAATGTGTGGTTGCCTCTTGCACATTCCCTACTGGGGACCTGGCCCATAACCCAGACATGTGTCCTGACTAAGAATCAAACCTATGACACTTTGGTTGACAGACCAGCACTCAGTCCACTGAGCCATACCAGCCATGGAATTTCCCTCTCTTTTCTAGGATCTAATCTGTATCACACATGCTTTTAGTTGTTTTCATCTTTAGCCTCCATTAGTCTGGAATAGTTCACTTGCTTTTGTCCTTTATGACATTGAATCTTTTTAGTATGTGATTTTTACTTATTAGAATATCATTTTTTTGTATGTCACTGCTTTTATGGGCTCTTTTTGTGTGTGTGTGCTGGAGACATTTTGACAAATCTCTATGGGATCTTTTAAGTTTGTATCTATCTGAAGATTGCCTGTTTACTAACCACTAGTTACAAAGTGGGGAGGGGTGGTTAACTGTGCTTTCATAAAGATAATCATGTTATTCATAGCTGCAAATGTAATGTGTAAAACGGTGTTTATTTTTTAAAGGTTGGAGGCGTGATAGAGAAAAGAGAGATGATCAAGATGAAGTTTCCAGTGTAAGAAGTGAAGGTGGCAACATCCGTGGTTCCTCTAGAGGCCGAGGACGAGGCCGGGGACGAGGAAGAGGACGAGGCAGAGGACATCCTCGATGTATGGCATGATTTTTAAAATTTAAATTAGATAAACTTTGAAAAAGTGTGCAAGGCCTCTGTTAGTTTTTCCCACTATCTCATATATAACTAATTTATTTGATAATAAATTAGATAATAAATAGATGGTTTTATATTATCTTTTGAGATACTCTACTTTGGATTTTTCTTTATAGTAACTATTTTTTCTGTTTTTAAAAAATTTGTGACCACCTTTCTTTTTCTTTATTTACATCAAGTAAACTTAGATTATTCATACGGTTATCAAGAACATGGTGAAAGGACTGATCAACTACTTCAAACAGGACATAATACCAGTATGATGTATTTCTATGATGATGGTACAGGCGTACAGGTATATCCTGTGGAAGAAGCATTGCTTAAAGAATATATTAAGCGCCAAATGTAAGTTCATCAGACATAAGCAGGTGGAATGATAATATCTGTTGCAATGTCAAACTTTAATATCACTGATAGTGAATACGTTCTAACACATTTTCTAAGCTGTTTATTCATAGATAAAATCAGAGGATTTTTATGGCATTTTGTATTATTTTTTTTCTAGGCAATGTTGGTAAAATAAATATTGTATAACATTTATATTTGGTTCGTGCTATTTATGTGACTGCTGCTTTGTCTCATGTTTAGGTAGTTCTTGGCTTAAAGAATATTAGTTACAATGTCATGGGGTAATGTGAGTGATTAAATATAAGAATATAAGACTATGTATTTGAAATTGAGTAAGCAAAGTGGCTTAATTTGCAAATGTTTACATTAAAATTTGCAAATGAGTATGAATGACAAAATTTGTGAAATTTATATTTTATTTTTCAATTACAGCTTACATTCAGTATTATTTTGTTTTAGATCAGGTATATGGCACCATGGTTAGATAATCATATACTTTACAAAAAGATAGGTTGTCTCAATTTTCTTAGCAGTTGATTTCAGGATTTGAAGTTACGTTCTCTTTCTTTGTGACACATTAAATAAGAATTGCCTGATCTTTTTTAGTTCAGACTCTAGTTGCTCATAATAGTTGCTTTCTGAATATTGAAGTTGGTTAGGAGAATATTAGTTTGTACCTGTTGTCTTTAAGAAAATGTAACCCCTGTGCATGTTAGTATAGTATAGCATATTTTGCATGTTTATAGTGTTTATATAACGGTGAAAAAAATGTTTTCAAGTGATTTGCATAACCAGTTGGCTGAAATTTTAGTTTTTGTACCCTTATAAGTGAAGGTAAAAGGCTGTTTTATAAAGTACATAAACATTTTTAAAACATCTGTCTTTATTTAAGAAAGAAAATGGACCCTACTCTGTCACTAGAAAATAATTTCATCATCATCAACCAGACATCTTCCTGAGATGCTTTCATGGTGGATTTCATTGGCTTACAATATGAAGCAGCTTGTTTATTTTGTTCTTTTGTTACAGTTGATGCAAATACTGAGGAAAAGGGCCTTTTTATTGGCAGAAAATGCTTAACCTGTGGCTAACAACTTCAAACCACTATTCCTGTCTTTTTGTAACTCTTGCTGCCAGGTGCCTTTGAAGACCCTGGTGGTGAGCATGCAACTCCATTTCAGGATAGTCAGCCTCACGTGCGCTTATCCCAGTGAGGGGGAGCAAAGCTACTTCACTGTTTGCACAATTTCTGATCATGCACTGTAGGGTCCACTTCTTATGGAAGGGCATGATAAAGTTCCCGAGGACAGTGAACAAAATGTCAACACAGCATTGGCCATGACCCCTTTTGTTGTTACTGTTTTAGCAGTAGGGTTTTTGGCAGCTGTTAGAGCACCAGATTTAGAATGGCTCTTTACTGTTACCATTCTCTGAGTAAGGGACATCTCGATGTAAAGAGTCATGCATTTGATTTTGTGTCTGTAAGGTTTCTCATACATAGCAGGATTATTGATTAGGGTTTAGATTTTTCTCTGTGAGCAGTTATTGAAAAACTTATACTTGTGGAAATTTATGCTAAATGAATTTTGAATTAAGAGACTTAGCTGATTATAGGTGAGTTTTTTAAATAATTTTAACTGAAAATATTGGTTTTTGTTTTTGCTCATTCCTAGCTGGGACAGTCCTGGGCACAGGTTTAAATATGAGTATGTTTGTAAGATTTAACATATATATGCTGTCGGTAATACATTTAGAGTTTGAGCATATGTGTTAGTGCCCACCACATGCCAGGCATTGTGGAAAGGGCTGTTGAAGTGTAACAAAAATCAGAATGTCCAGTCTCTCAAGACTTAGATTTTTTCTTAAGTGTTAGATAAGAGTGAATGATTTACTAATGTTCCTGAAATGTCAGTAATATTTCACTGACCTAAGGGAGCTTTGCACTGTGATAGTTGGATAGATATCAGAGTTGTATAAAAAAACCCAACTTGGATATTTACATTTCTAAAATAATATATTTTCCTCCCAGTAAAAAGTAGGTCAAAGCCAATTTTCATTTATAAGTGATAATTTCTTCAAAGTTAGAATTTGACCTAAATAATACTTCAGGAGGATCTTTAGTCACCCAGCCTTATACCCAAACATACGAGGTGGTATTTGCCACATAATTTGCTTTCTCCTAATTTGCCACCCATCTTTGCAGTTTTCTCTGTAATTTGGGAACAGGATAAAATTAGGCTGTAGGCCATATCATTATCATCTTACTCTGTCTCTCTAGAATCCTATTCTACTTTTTCTGTGTGGAAGCTATAATTTAAACATGTTTCTCAAATGCTATTACTAAATGTATTCTTCATATTTGTATCTTGCAACTTGTAGTTAACTAATCACAGTATTTCCATGTACATTTCTATACTTTCCTAGAAAAGTTTAAGGTGTCTAAGCTTTTTTGGTATTTTCTCCCATGTACTTCATAATGTCATCGTCTTTGTTTAGCTATTTGCTGATCATTCTTCCTTTTTTTTTTTTAAGATTTTATTTATTTTTGGAGAGAGGGGAAGGGAAAGAGAGAGGGAGAGAAACATCAATATGTGGTTGCCTCTCACATGGCCCCCACTGGGGACCTGGCCCACAGCCCAGGCATGTGCCCTGACTGGGAGTCAAACCAGCGACCCTTTGGTTCGCAGCCTGTGCTCAATCCACTGAGCTATAGCAGCCAGGGCTTGGTTAATCCTTTTTTTTTTTTTTTTAAAGTGTTGTTCTGTTACAGCTGCCCTGCCTTTTTGCACATTGCTCACCCTTCCCCTCCCCACCCCCCTACTCCCACAGTCTTTATACTTAGGTAAAGGTGATCTAAATAGAAGTATTTAGGTAAAGGTAAAGGTGATCTAATAAAAATCTTTTAGATTTTTGAAAGGATAATCAGTATTCTAAATTCCTTTTTTCTCATGTGTAAGAGGAATTATTAACTCAGTAGAGTTTTGCTGTTATTTCTTTTCTCTCAGTTATAGTTTATATGCAATATTATTTTGTATTAGTTTCAGGTGTACATTATAGTGGTTACATAATCATCTTTTTACAAAGTGTTTCCTCTATATTTCCAGTACCCGCCTGGCGCCATGCATTTATTACAGTGTTATTGACCATATACCCTGTGCTGTTCTTCATACCCCCATGTCTACCAGTTTTGTAACTACCAATCTGTACTTTCAGTCACTTCACCTCTTTTGCCCAGGCCCCCAAACCCTGCCCCTCTGGCCACCATCGATCTGTCCTCTGTATCACTCTGTCTGTCTGCTTTGTTCATTTGTTTTGTTCTTTCGATTCCACATACAAGTGCTATCATTTCTTATATTTATTGCCCTGTGTTGTATTAAATATATATGATGCCATCAATAAATTAAAATAGTTTTTTAGCAGCTGATGTTAAAAGCAATAGATATCTTATTTCCTATTGAATAAATGAATGGAATTTATATTTACTGCCTTACTTCCCTTTTTAGAGAATACTACTTCAGCATAGAAAATTTGGAACGGGACTTCTTTCTTAGGAGAAAGATGGATCAACAAGGCTTCTTGCCTATTTCCCTGATTGCTGGTTTCCACCGTGTTCAGGCCCTCACTACAAACCTCAATCTCATCTTAGAGGTAATTATACATTTACAAAACAAATAATGCAGTCTGCACGTTTTGTTGGTACTGTAAACCTAAAACCACTAAAAAAAAATTCTATTAACATTTTTAAGGGAAAAAAGTGAAAACTGTCTATAGTTGCTTAAGGCTTAGACTATATTTATGGCTTTCTTCCATTTTATAAAGCTCAAATAAATTACTAACTTTGGAAATCCCTGAAAGAATTGGTAATGATGTTTCCACCTATTTTTAACCTGGTCCTTTAAAACTTGAACATTCTTGGCTGTTCTTGGTTCTTTAGTCTTCACACTGATGTCCAATAGTGCGTATTCCCATTTATTAAATTTTTGAGAATTTTCTTGTGAAACAAAGACTAATTTAAGTCTTTTCATTTATGTTCTTAGTGCTTTTATTAAATTTCTTGTCTGTCCTGTTCTGGAAATGCATTGAACATTTTTGGTTTTCTATTACATACATACAATCAAATCTGGCCTTTTTGCTGTACAGTCTGTGAGTGTTGACAGATTTACACCCTTATGTGTGCACTTGTATAGCCAGTCCCTTTCCTTATACATGGTACCTGGGAACTGCTGACCTGATTTTTGTCCCTCTACTTTTTGCCTTTTATTTATACATAAATAAAATGTATTTCGTAGCCTTTTATTTCTTTCACTTAATGCTTTTCAGATTGATTCATGCTGTTGCATGTATCAGTAATTTTTTTCTTTCTTGTTGATTTATTCCACAGTACCACAGTTTATCCTTTCACTTGTTTTAACTATTTAGATTGTTTCCACTTTTTGGGGATTATGAGCAAAGGATAAAAGTATTTGTGTAGACATATGTTTTCATTTCCAGTGGATAAATATTGATGATTGTGATTGCTTGAATGTGTGCTAAGTGATCTGTACTATAAGAAATTGCCAACCTATTGTCCTAAGTGGGTTTGACCATCTTGCACTTGCATTTCGTGTGCGAGTTTCATTTGCTCCGTGACCTCATCAGTATTAGGTATTGTCAGGTTTTTTTGAATAATAGAGCTGTAGTGGTTTCTCATTGTGGTTTTAATTTGCATTTCCCTAATGGCTAATGAAGTTGAGCATCTTTTCATGTGTTTATCTACCGCTGTTATACCCTTTAACATTTTTTTTTATTTATAGGAGAGAGAGAGAAACATAAATGAGTGGTTGCCTCTCACAGGCCCCCTACTGGGAACCTGGCCAGTAATCAAAGTGGCAACCCTTTGGTTCGGCACTCAATCCACTGAGGCATACAGGCCAGAGCTGGAGTGGTTTTTGTTTTTGTTTTTGTTTTTGTTTTAAATAATAGAATTGCAAGAGTTCTTTATTCTGGCTACAAATTCTTTATGTGTATTTTACAAATAATTTTTCCCAGTCTTTGACCCATCTTTTTACTTTTTAAACAGGCTTCTTTAGCAAACTTTTATCAACAAATGTGCTCCATGCTTTAAAAATTAGCTATAGAAAAGTCCACATTTTCAAAACACTATAAACTGGTGATTTGTTATTTGTCAATATGTGATTAAAGAGTTATTTTACAGAAAAACTTATTTCAGGCAATGTCATTATTGCATTTACTTATAGATGGTATTTAAATAAACTTTCTGTATACTGTAACTTGAAGAAAATTATGTTTAGTTTTGTAGGAAAATATTATGGTTATATGTTCATAGTAGAATGAGTTTATTAACTGATGCCATTGTGCTGTAGCAAAGATCCAACTCAGCTGTCATTTTCAATGAAGTTATTACCAATATCCCTCACTCATTACTTCTACAGGAATCTGGTTGTAATTGTATACTTTTTTTGGTAGGTTGTTTTTTCTTTCTTTTTTTTCTTTTTGGTTTGTTCTTAAGTCCTCAAGCACAATTTTCAGATCCAAAATTTTCACAATTTACAGCAGTAGAGAAGGAATGTTTAAAAGAACTTTTGTGTTACTATTGTGTTTAGCGTTTTTGATATATAAGCTGTTGATTCAGTAAGAAAGAATACTGATTTTAAAGTTAATGTCCAATTATGGAAAATAGAACTTGAGAAGTAAGTAGCATGCTATACTGTTATTGAGAGCATACAAATAAGGAAAATAAGGGTGACTTGCAATAAGCACTGTAATACTGTAAATGGGTGGATTGATGATGCAGATGGCTACTAAGTGACTAAAAGTCAGGTTGCATATGCTGGACAAAGGGACAGACAGTTCACGCCCAGTGTAATTTTTCATCATGCTACTCAGAACAGTGTGTGCAATTTAAAATTATGAATTGTTTATTTCTGGAATTTTTCATTTAATACTTTTGAACTGCAGTTGACTACAGGTAACTGAAACTACGAAAAAGTAAAGCTGCAGATAGGGGACAGATGAGGGGACTGCTGTACTTTATTTGAGTTTTAGTGTCCTCGTCTATGAAATAGTAATTTTTAGAATTTTTAGGCTATTGGAAGTATGGGATATGCAAATAAAATTTTTAATGAGAGTTCTTTAATATCTCAAAATTCCTATTTATAGGCACTGAAAGATAGCACAGAAGTGGAAATTGTGGACGAGAAAATGAGAAAAAAGATAGAACCAGAAAAATGGCCAATTCCAGGCCCTCCTCCACGTAGGGTGCCACAAACAGACTTCTCTCAACTGATTGACTGCCCAGAGTTTGTACCAGGCCAAGCCTTTTATTCACACACAGGTAACAGCTTTTCTTCTAGAGCAAACCGCATAGCACTGGGATTTTGTTGCATTTTACCTGTCATTATAAAGTGTACTTAGGATCATAGGAAAATTACTAATAACTAAAAGACTTGATGCTCTAAATTCTATTCATATTGTCTCCCATGTAGAGCTATAAATTAAATAGGGATTTAAGAGTAATAGCGAAGCTCTGCTCTAGTCTTAAATTATTTGTGAACATTGTTATGTGTAGAGTTTCTACCTATCTTGTCATTAATTTTACTATATGATTATAGATATATTGTGCCAGTTTTCCCCCGTAAGATTAGAATAGTAGGGTTGGAATAGTCTAAACATCTTATACTCATCGCTAGGGAAGAATTCCTTTAATTTTCTTACCTATGTGCTTTAATCTTGTCTTGAAAGGACGAAATGACCTACCTATAAGAAATGCAGAATTGTAATTTTCTTACGAAGTTATAATTATTGATTAAGGAATTGGTGGCATTTAGAATTTCCAAACACTGCTTTAAAGTTAAGGTTTTTTTTTTCCTGGGACATTTAAAATACATTCCCTCTTGGGAAAAAATATGTGTGCTTAAACTTTTTTCAGTCAGGGTGATGATCTGCTGATGCTCTTGGATGTCATTTGATCGGAATATGCAGAGGAATAGGTGACTCACTGAAATATCATTATAAATATTGGAACAAATCGTGCTGCAGAAATGAAAGCGACCAGAGTTACTTCTGTGCAAGAATGTCTACTCCTAACTCATTGTGGAGGCACTTGAGCCAACACTACAGTGGAGATAAACACCTTTGTGATGACGATGATGAGAGACAGACCAGAGGACTGCTATTGTTTTTATAGGAGCTGCCCATTTATGTGTAATTAGCCTGGGCTGCATGTGCTACTTTTATTCACGGTGGGAAAGTTCATTTTCATTCTGGAAATATTACAAGATTCTGTCTTTTCCTCTTAGACTTATGTACTTGTGTTCAGATCAATAAAGCAGAAATAGAGAGGTTTGAGTGGCATTTTCCAGATTGTTAGGTCCTTTGTTATTTAATTTGCCCTTCAGTATAGTGTATGTTGTATAACTTAGATGTTGTCATAATATTTCACATAGACTTTAAGATTTATTAATACGGACACTAAGATAAGGAATTTAAGAAATAAAAGTATTTTTTCACTCTTAAAAATTTATTTTTGATACTGTTATGAGATGCATGCCATCCGTAAACCACTGATGGACAGTCTCAGATATTTTTATTTATTGTTTCTTTAATTGTCAGCCCTCTGCCTCTAAACCTAGGAAGCACTTTGGGCAAGTGTTTTAAAATTTGAAGAGTAGTGACATTTTTTAGGTTTTTAAGTAAAGATACAATGTCTGTGTAAGATTGATTGTGTAAATGTGGGGTCCAAGATCACATTTTTAACCTGCTTATGAACAGGCATTAGTTAAATTAGATAAAATAGAAAACTGTTCTTCCACACAGTAGCTAAGATAAGTCAGACAAGTTGCTGATGCCTGTCCATTAGCCATTTATGCATTATTAATAAAATTACAGGAATAAAACCACAATGTCTTAACATTTTTGTGTTTTTTTAATATATACTCATTTGCGTGCACATACATATTGCCTGAAAAAAGTCAATGTATATTTTAAAATGTTAAAAATATTTTAGGTTCTTTTTGATTATACATCAGAAACAAGATGATGATGAGGCATTATAGAAAGATGGAATATTTTTTGAGTTGTTCTGACACATTACATCATAGGAATAATTATGTAATTTAAGCCTTTCCCTGTGAATCCCAAAATTTCTGACCTTAGTAATTCCCCTCTGATATGAAAGCCTTAATTTCCTAACTTCAGTTGAGAAGTTATTTGAAATGGAAGGGATGGGGAATGTGGATTGTGTTTATCTGTACCCATGAAGACAGAAAAGTAGTGAAACTTTTATCTGTATCCTTTTTACTCAAATGAGATGACCTTAAATTTCAAAAACATAATCCTTGATATATACTTTCTGAGAGACTTGTGTAATATTTTAAAAATTTGGTCCTTTTCATCAAAAAAATTAAAATTTCTATTTTTCCCTCTATGGAGCTTGAATTGTCTAACATGGATTGACCTTTGTGATGAACAGAGGACCATAATGCACCAGAAAAGGTTGATTATGGGAATGGTAAGGTGTTTTGAAATTTAGGTTTTTTATCAATAGTAGAATGATTTCATTCAAAATTGAGAAGCCAGGTATCTGACATCTTGGGGGTGGGGTTTGTTTATTTGCTTGTATTTGGCTTTAAAAAATGTATAAAGGGTTCCCTAATAATTATTAATTAAGCTGTGGTATTTTCTTTGAAATGTTGCTCTGCAGAAGTATTCTTGAATGTGCTTCACATAAAATACAGAATCCTTTTAAAGCAATCTATATAATTACCCAGAGCTGTGATTCTGGGTGAATAAAAAGTCATGCCAGGTAAATATCATGTGTAGCATGGGGCAAAAGTACGTTTACAGTTCATACAGGAAATAATAAAAATAATGATACAAGAATAAACTTTCATGTACTCACAACTTTCAACCTACTCTTGCCCTACTTTGGTGTTTTGTTTTTTTGTGAAGACTTTATTTTTAAAGGGAAAGGGAAGGAAAGAAGGAGGGAGGGAAACATCATGTACAAGAGAAACATTGACGGGTTTCCTCTCGCACACCCCCAAATGGGGATCTGGCCCTCACCCCAGACATGTGACCCAACCAGGAATCGAACTGGTGACCTTTCGGTTTGCAGGACTCACTGAGCCACACCAGTCAGGTTCTACTTTTGCCCCACTTCATTTAAGGTGATTTCTCTATGGAGAGTTGTGTTGACAATTTTCAATGAATGAAAACAGCAGCAAGGATTTTTTTCATTGAGGTCTTACAAACTAGAAGCCATATCTGTCAGACTATGTGTCTCAGTTTTTTGTTTATAAGTTTAACGTCAAGTAATGAAAGTCACAGTCATATTCATTTTGGTCTTGGAAGATTAGGGCTGTGCTAGTACCCTTAAAATTCATAGTTTAAAATCTTTTCATGGTAAAAGAAAACAATCACGTGTAGCACATGTATAGTTTAATTATAAGGGGAAGCCCTTAAAAAAACTGAATTTTCATCTTACTCAAATTCTTTGGTATTTTAATGTCATTAGTGACAATTGATTTCCCTAGCACATGCCAGGTGCTGTTCTAATTATTTATACATGCACTATGCATAGTGGTAATATAGTTAATTCTCACTGAAGGATGGTGGTTCCGAGTCTAATTTTATTTTATTTTAATTTTTATTTTTTTAAGACAAGAATGTTAGCCTTTACCACTTTATTTAATTTTTTTGGTTGTCAAATGATCTTATTTTATTCATTCATTCATTCATTCATTTATCTTTAGAGGGGAAAGAGAGAGGGAGAGAAACATCAATGTATGGTTGCCTCTAGTGCATCCCCTGCTGGGAACTGGCTTGCAGGGAACTGGCTTGCAACCCAGGCATATGCCCTGACTGGGAATTGAACCGAGATCCTCTGGTTCACAGGCCTGCACTCAATCCACTGAGCCACACCAGCCAGGGCTAATTTTATTTTTTTAAGATTTTGTTTATTCTTTAGGAGAGGGAAAGGGAGAGAGAGAGGGAGAGAAACATCAATATGTGGTTGTCTCTTGTGCGCCCACTACTAGGGACCTGGCCTGCAATCCAGGCATGAGCCCTGACTGGGGATCAAACTGGCCACCCTTTGCTTTGAGGTCTGGCACTCAGTCCACTAAGCCATGCCAGCCAGGGCCCGAGTCTACTTGTAAAACTTTATTCCCTGCATGCACATAGATGACCTATAGTATTAAAAATAGAGCTCTCGATGACTTCAACTTTTTTATTGTTTATTTTTTAAAAAGAAGATTTTATTTATCTTTAGAGGGGAAGGGAAGGAGAGAGGGAGAGAAATACCAATGTATGGTTGCCTCTCGTGCATCCCCTGCTGGGAACTGGCCTGCAACCCTGGCATGTGCCCTAACTGGGAATCGAACTGCAGTTGTTTGGTTCGCAGGCCCGCGCTCAATCCACTGAGCTACACCAGCCAGGGCCAATTTTTTTTTATTGATTTTAGTGGGGGGAGAGAGAAATGTGAATTTCTTGTTCCATTCATTTATGCATTCTTTGGTTGATTCTTACAGGTGCCCTGACTGGGGTGTTGGCATATTGGGACCTTGGTGTATTGGGACAATGCTCCAAGCAGCTGAGCTACCCGGCCAGGGCCCCTCTGTAACTTTAATAATACTAATCCAAAACTAGTATTTCATTCATCCTAATTTAGTGGATCAAATGATGATACATGTACCATTAATTAAGGAAATTATAGAGTAGCAATGTTCAGCAAAAATATAATGTTTGCCACACATGTAATCCTAATAATTTTAATAGCCTTTAAAAATTACGAAAAATTTGAATATTTTAAACATTTTAATGCACCTAAATATTACTTTAACAGTAGTATAAAAATTATGGTTTTATTTTACCTTTTTGTACCATGTCTGAAATCTGGTATGTAATTTATACTTATCCTGAGGACTAGTCGCATTTCAAGTGCTCAGAAGCTCCATGTGGCTAGCAGCTACTATTGGACAGTGCAGTTTAGAGCCTTTATTATGAAACAATATATTTTTTTAAAAGATTTTATTTATCCATTTTTAGAGAAGGGGAAGGGAGTGGGAAAGAGAGATGTAAGAGAAACATCTATCAGTTGCCTCTCGCCCTCCGTCAGCACTTCCCCAGTTGGGGACATAGCCCATAATTCAGGCATGTGTCCTGATCGGGAATCAAACTGGCAAGACCCTTTGGGCTGTGGGATGATGATGTCCAACCTGCTGAGCAACACTAGTGAGAGCAATAATACATTCTTTTTCAAGTAATAGTAATCTAGTAATAGAGTTCTGGATCTAACTATGTGTTCATGGAGAAGATAAATTTGTATGATTCTAGGATGTAGTAAATGAAAAAATTTTGGAATATTCTCCTCAAACCCAGGTTCATGGAGTGCCTTTTGCATTTTCATTTACTAAATAAAATGAAAATTGTTGTTCATTTACATCAGTTTTCTTTATGTAATATACACAGCTTTGTAAAATGTCTAAGGAATTGGATTGAGTAAATAATGTTTTGAATTCTACAATATGCATTTGTTTTTTACATACTTTTTGTCCAAAGCAAGTCTGTATTGTATTATAATGTAAATATTCTTTGACTTTTGAAAAAGAAATTTATAAAGGAATCAGTTTGGATTTTACTTACGAGTGTATAATTACTTTGATTAAAAACAAAGATAGTGTGGAAAAAGGCATTTTTAATTCCAACAGTTTTAAAATGTTTTAAACATTATTGCCAAGGCAGTACACTTTAATGATAGGACATTCTACTCTTTATTTAGTATGGGCTAAGTGGATTCTCTGCATTCAGATAAACCTTGTTAAGCAAAGGAAATGTGAAGAATAAGAGTAATGGCTGCCTTAATATACATCCTAGCAAACACAGTGAAAGACTGATTTTTGCCAGGAATAAACTAGGCAGGTTGTTTAACTGGCTTAAAAGCACTTAAAGTTTTATAATTCCATTGTATGTCATACATTTTGAGAATTGACTGCCAAATAGATGTATTGTCATAATTAGCAACTTTCATTGATGTTCTTGAATTTTAATGACTATGGTCTTTGTAAAGGTTGATGACATTGCAGTTGTTTTTCATTGGTTTCACGTGAATATATCTTACATGGTCTTTAGGTTTGAAAATCACTGGGAAAGTTATAATTGAAATTGATTTATGTTTTGTGAAAAAAATCAAGCCCAAGGAAAAAATGAAATGTTTTATAAGTAATAAAACTATTATTTTAACTATAGAACTAACTTAAAATTTTAGAGTCTGCTCCCAATTCTCCAAGAATTGGAAGTCCACTGAACCCAAAGAAAAATACTGAAACAAGTAATCTTCAAGCAATATCTAGAGTTTTGTCTACCAGTTTGCCTGACTTGGACTCAGAACCTTGGATAGAAGTAAAAAAAAGGCATCGTCCATCCCCAGTGACATTGAAGGTCAGTTGTCATAAACCAAGTGAAGTATGATAAATTCTAGTGGAGTGTTTTGTCAGGTACATATAAAAAATTAGGAATAGTTTTTAGAAATTGTAAAAATTAGAACTATTGGCTTTCAGTAAAAACTTGTGTTTTACTCAGTAGCTAAATATTAGTAATATGGTGTAAACTTTTAAATAACTTTTCTGGATGAGACTTGACCTTTCTACATGTGAGTAATTTAAATTTCAATAATTCAGTTTCTTAAAAGGTGACAATCTAAATTTTGGATCTTTAACGTTGTTATGTTATTCATAACTTTGTAAATTATGTGGATTTGTGAAGTTCTTGTACAAATAACTTTGTAAAGGGTGAACATCAGGTTTTACATGTTTTGATGATGTACAATAAGATAGCGAAAGAGAATTAATTTCTTGGTGGCACATGAGAAAGTAAGATGGTTCTGGTTAGGAAACAATAAATGAGATCCTGGTGGTTAGAACTGTATTTTTGGTGGTTGGATACACAAACTCTCAAAGGTGATAAAAACCACAAACACAAATGAGTACAAGTAAAACTAGGAGAATCTGAGTAAGACTGATGGGTTATATATCAATGTGCATCCTGTTTGTGATACTGTACTGTCCTGGCAGGGTGTCCAACCCTTTTATGTCTCTGGGCCACACATTAAGTACATTGTGATACGTAATCACAAAAAAAACTCAAAACGTTTTGAGTAAATTTACCATTTTGTGTTCATTCTCATTCATAGCCATCCTGAGCCACATGGGGCAGGTTGGGCATCCTAGTAATTTGCAAGATTGGGGGAAACTGGCTAATGAATACACGAGATCACTATTCTTATAACTGTATGCGAATGTACTTTTATCTTAACGTAAAAAGTTTACTAGAAATAAACCTGTAAACAGTGCCACTCAAATACTGAAAATAACTTGTGTGAGGAGAAGCTTACTAAAAATAATGGGGCGTAGATGTGGAAAAGATGAAGACTATCTCATATTGAAGATCATTATGAACAGGGCTCTTTTTCCCTAAGATCAAAGCATGAAGAAGAGAGGCACACAGGACTTAGGAGTGGTTCTCCTCTGACAGGCTGGGAGACGTTGGTACTTTGCCTCACCAGGGTGCATTTGGTAACTGTCTGGAAATATTGTTGGTGGTCTCCAGGCTCATACTAGGGGAGTGCTACTACATCTTGTGAGCGGAGGCCAGGGAAGCTGTTAAACATCCTATTAACACACACAGTTATCAACTCCAACATGTCAGTAGTGCTAAGTTTGAGAAATCTTGATCAAAGATAACTTTAATTTACAATGATAGTTAAATGTAGCATACACAAATGTTTATTTTTCCTTGAGGGAATTTTAAAAGCCTAACGAAGCTATTCCAAACAAAATTTTCTAAAGATCTGATAAATTTTTATATTTGTCATGGCAAACCTGTGTAACTGGGGAGGGAGAATGGTATCCTGTACTCGGTGACAAAAATTTGTACCATATTTCACTTACTCTGAGAGCTACATTTTCACTCCATATTCAAAATCTTCACATTTAAGCATTTCTTTGAAAAATAATGCTTCATCTTTAATAATAAGTTAATAACATTAGGACCATTCTAACTCTAATGGAGTCTTTAATTCTTTGCTCAACCTTTTTTTCTTAAGTATTTATCAGTTACCATATTTTGCCATGTATAGTGTGCATTTTTTGCCCAATCTCTTTGAGGGAAAAATAAAGATGTACATTGTACATGGGTATAATGATTACATACCATCCACATAACTAATGCCACGTATAATGAGCACAAAACGTGGATGCCCATTATACACAGGAGGGTATCGTACATGGCAAAGTATGGTGCTTCACATTTACTGGTTCAGAAGAACACTAGCTGATTTTCTTTTGCAGTTTGGCTGCTAAACTAGTCTGAGCACACAAGCTTTATATTACTTGCAACATTGTTATGTGACATTTATCTTAAAAGTGATAGAAAATTTTTTGTCAGGAGTGGGGATGAGAATAAGTGTACCACGACATGATCTGCTTGGGGAGGAAAGGTAGCCAGTCTCTCAAAGGAGAAGGGCCTTGAGCCTGTTCCTCATTGGACTTTTATTGGATTCAATTTGCACAGGAATTACAGGTAAAGCTCATCAGTCATTGTCAAGCAGTAATGATCAAATAATAACATTCGAAGAACTGTGAGGGCTTATTCTGAGTCAGGGTCAGATAGCTAAAGGGTGATAAAACTATGGGAAACAAACTTTATTTTATGCTTGGACCCTTATCAGAAAATTGAGGACATTCTTAGGAAAGCAAGTTTCACTAGATTATGCATTCTTTCTTAGGCCTGATGGCCTGGGGGAACTGCCCGTTTCTGCCCTGGGCTGTACCACCCTCTGGCATTGTTTTAGGCTTAAGTCAGGCAGGGGAAGTAAGGCAGCCAAGAGATTAGGAAACTTTCTACAGACAGAATGAAGACTCAGACTCTGTTTAAGCCGAGGGGTGAGGGTCCGTCACCGCTTTTTTCTATAGTCCCCCACCCAAGTCCTTCCCTGATGGCCCTTCCCAACCATGACTATCTTAGGTCCTCCCTATCTTGAGGAATCTTATCCGTCATTGGCTAACCAGTCATCTGCCCAGGACCAAGCAGGGTGAAGAGGGGGCAGAAGCAGGGCCCCTGCCAGGGAGATAAGCTTTGTCTCCTTAGTGGCTTATGGTCCCAAGGTCTTTTACTCAGCTTTAGCCATGGGGGGGTTAGGGTTACAGCTTCAGAAACTGGGCGGGGAAGTTCCCAACAAATTTTTATATAAATACCAATTTTTTACTTTAGGAATCAGCATCTCTACCTGAAGAGTCATCAAATCAACTACACTCCCCAGATGAACAAGAACAAGAAGAACTTGATTTTTTATTTGATGATGAGATGGAAAAAATAGAAGGACGAAAAAACACATTTACTGATTGGTCTGATAATGATTCAGATTATGAAATCGATGACCAGGATTTAAACAAGATTTTGATTGTAACTCAGACACCACCTTATTTGAGAAAACATTCTGGAGGAGATCTCGCAGGCAACCACATGTCTTGGGCAAAAATTACGTCTGAACTTGCTAGAGTTATCAATGATGGATTATATTATTATGAACAGGATCTGTGGATGGAAGAAAATGAAAACACACACACAGCCATAAAGGTAATTGTTTCTGGCCAGCATCTTTCTGCTGATACCATGGCTTGATTGTATGTTACTGCTTATGTGGTTTTTGGTGGGTTTTTTTTTCTTATGTTTTCTGAAACTTAAAAAAATTGGGGGATCTTCTATTTTATGAAAGTAAATACTAGTCGTAAATTTAATGGGATGGTTCTGGCCCATGAATTTCCCAGAATCCTATCAGAAGCAAATGTAGTTTCTTTGTGAAGACATTCACCTTTATTCTAGACCTAAAAGAATTTATTCAAATAATTTTTATAAGAAAAGTGAACAGCTTACAAGACAGTTTACAAGAAACTTCAGAAATCAAGCACAGAATAGCAGAAGTAGAATATACGAAAAAGGGTATGGAATGATAGTATAGACAGTCTTTGGTATATTTCAAATCACAGTGTATAATTTAACATAGTGGGTGTTAATATAAAGCTTTTTGTTGTTGGAAAAAAGGTAAAAAGCAAGGATGAAATGAGAGAGATTGAGTGATAAACGTGGCCTAAGATGGATATTTAATCGGAATTTTAGAAGAAAAGGAGGAAGAAAATGGGGCAGAGTCAGTATTTTAAGAGGTAATATCTAGGCCCTTTTCTGAACTGAGGGGAGGTATCAGAATAGAACAGCTGGGTAAAAAAAAGAGTGGGCAGCCCTGTCTGGTGTGGCTCAGTAGGTTGAGTGTTGGCCTGCAAACTGAAGGATCACCAGTTTGATTCCCAGTCAGGGCACATGCCTGGGTTGCAGGCCAGGTCCCCAGTAGGGGCCATGAGAGACAACCACACATTGATGTTTCTCTACCTCATTCTCTCTCCCTTCCCCTCTCTCTAAAAATAAATAAAAAGTGTGGGAATCCAGCTAACTACTGACTTCCTTCCGGAAACAGTTAGTGCAACAGTGGATAGTGTTAATATACCAAGGAAAAATAAATATCAACCTAAATTGTATGCCTTGAAAAAATAGCTTTCAAGTTAGACAGTGAAGTATGAGGAACTGCAACCAGCAGAAGTTGCAAAGGGAGCATAAAAGTCATTCTAGGCACCAAAGGTACAGAATGGATGGAAAAGCAAAGGAAGTGTTAAATATATTAATACATCTAAATAAATATTAACTGCATTAAACAACAATTAAGTCTTGGAGTTTTACTATATGTAACATTAACAGTTATAAATAAGAACAATAAGTGAGTAGTATTTAAAGGTACTCTTTAGTCTGGAAAGAAGATTGATTGGTTTTAAAGTTTTTATGTTGCTGTTTGAAGGATACCCATATAAAAATAAAATTAAAGGGAATAACTTTAAAATTAGAAGAAAGTAAAAATGGAATAAGACAAGAAAAAAGGAAAAGAGGGTCTTCAGTCCAGAAATAAGGTGGTAGATTTAAAGTCAAATATTTAAGTAAAAGAATGAGTAAACATAGTCAATGTGTATTAAATACAGCCATGTTATGTTATTTACATATGCCACATTTTTTTTAAATGAAGCAAAAGGGTTGAAAGAAAAATATTGGAAAAATACATACTATAAAGTACTAGCCAAAATTAATCTGCAAGTTCGATGTAACCTATCAATATTCTAACTGGCATCTTTGCAGAAATTAATAAGCTGATCTGAAATTCATTTGGAAATTCAAGAAAGGACTTAACAATAGCCAAACTTTTGAAAAAGACGAAGTTGAAGCATTTATTTATACACGGTCCTTAAATTATACTAGTACCTAGTATAAGGATAGACATGCAGATCAATGGGAGAGAATTGAGAGTCTAGAATAAACCCATGTGTCTGTGGTCAACTTGCTTTCAGTAAAAGTGTCTAAACCACTCAATAAGGAAAAAATAGTCTTCAGACAAGTATATATCCACATGCTGAAGAATAAGTTAGATGCTACCCTAATTTACCATGTACAAAAATTAACTCAAAATAAGTTAACACCTCTGCATAGCCCATGGACATAGACAATAGTGCGAAGGCTGGGGGATGAGCAGGGGCTAGGTAGAGCAGGGGGAAATGGGAGGCATCGGTAATAGTGACGACAATAAAATTAGTTAACACCTAAATATAAAAGCAAAAGCATATGAACTCTTTACAAGAAAACATTTGACGGTGGTTTCTTATGGCAACATAGCAAAAGCAACGAAATAAAAAATACATAAATTGAATATAATCAAAACTTTTAAATTTTGTGCATCACGGAGACAGTGAAAGGACGGTAAAAACAATTTACATTACCACCCTGAGGAATTAAATAGGTATAAATCCAAGAAAATCATACAAAATTCACATGAGGAATATTCTAACTGTTGAAAGAAATCAAAGAAGAACTAAGTAAATGAGAACTATTTCATTTAGGAATGATCAGTATTGTCAGTTCCCCCCAATTGGATCTATAGATTCAGTGTAGTCCCTATCAAGATTTCAGGAATTAATTTTGTGAATAATGACCATCCGATTCTGAAATTTATATGGAGATGCACAAGACTCAGAACAGCCAGTTCAATAGTGATGGAGAGCATCCCGAGGACCAATACTATCCAACTTCAAGAGTTACTGTGAAACTATAGTGATCAAGGCAGTGTGATGTTGAAAGAATAGACAAATAGATCAGTGGGACAAAATACCTAGAAATAGGCCTCCAAAAATGTAGTAAACTGATCTTCGGCCAAGGAGCAAAGGCAAATAGTCTTTTCAACAAGGTGATGGAACAGCTGGATATCCGCATGGGAAGAATGAATCTCTACACACGCCTTAATTTTTTTTTTTACAAATATTAACTTAAAATGGTTCACAAACCTAAATATAAAATGCAAAACCATAAAAATCCTAAAAGATAATCTTGGAGAAGATCTAGATGAGCTTGGGTTGGGTGATGATGTTATAGATATGACAGCAAAAGCACAATCCATGAAACTGATAAGTTGGATTTCATTAAACCAGAAACTGTTCTGTGAAGGACATTGTCAAGAATGAGAAGAAAAGCTTCATAATGAATGGCAAGAAGATACATCTAGTTAGACTATTATGGAAAATATGCAAAGAACTCATAAAACTCTACAATATCAAAACAACTTGATTAAGAATGGGTCAAAGACCTGAACACAGATGGTAATTACACACACGAGAAAATGTTCTGTAGCATATGTCATCAGGGAAATGCAAATTAAAACACAATACTGCTATACACAGAATGACCAAAATCTAGAATAATGACAACATCCAGTACTGGTGAGGATGTGGAGCAACAGGAACTTTCATTCATTCGTGGTGAGAATGCAAAATGGTAGAGTCACTTTGTAAGACAGTTTGGCAGTTTCTTGCCAGACTAAGTATATTCTTTATTATATAATCTAATAGTCACCCACCTTGATACTTACCCAAAGGAACACAAAAGTCATGCCCACATAAAAACCTGCAGATGGATGTTTGTATAAGCTTTATATTCATAATTGCCCAAACTTGGAAGCAACCAAGATGTTCTTCGGGTGAATGGGTAAATAAATTGTGATGTATCCAGACAATGGAATATTACGCAGTGCTAAAGAGAAATGAGCTATCAAGCCAGAAAAGACAGGGAGGAACCTTAAATGTGTAAAAGTGAAAGCTTCCACTCTGAAAAAACTGCTGTTAATATGTACTGCATGATTTCAATTTTTCAACATCCTGGAAATGGAAAACTATGGGGACAGTAAAGAGATTAGTGATGGCCAGGAGTGGAGGGGAGGAAAACACGAATAGGCAGAACAGGAGTTTCAGGGCAGTGAAACTGCTCTGCATATAGTATGGTATGCTATATAATGGTAGATACGTGTCATTTTACATATATCAGAACCCATGCAGTATACAACACCAAGAGAGGAACCTGTGTAAATCATGCACTTTTGGTGATATGCCAGTGTGGGTTTACTGATTGTAAGAAAAGTAACACTTGGTGAAGAAGAATGTTGGTAGTGGGTAGGTTGTATGTGTGGGAGGGTATCGAGTGTATATATGTAGCTTTTTGCATGATTTTGCTGTGAAACTAAAACTACTTTAAAGTCATCTATTTAAAAAAATTTATATTTTCAAATCAAAGGACTTGTATTTATAATATATAAAGAAATCTTACAACTCAGAAGACAAACCAATTAAAATGAAAATTACTTCATGAGATACCATTTTATAACTACTGGGATGAGTACACAGTCGACTCTGGGGATTAGGAGTGTTGACCCTATGCAGTTGAAAGTTCATGTAAACCTTAACTCCAGTCCTGCAGTATCTGCAGGGGATTGGTTCTAGGAACCCCTGCAGTCACAAAATTCATGATGTCCAAGTCCCTTTTATAAAATGGCATAGGACACTGCATACAGTTGACCTCCCACATTTACACATTCCCACCAATACAATGAAGTATGTGACACTAGAAAGGCATTACATTAAATAAAAGAAGCCCATCACATTAAATAAAGCAGTCACAAAGTACCATGTATTGTATGATTTTGTTCATATGAAATGACTAGAAGAGATAGTAATTGGGTTGGTAGGCTGCCTGGGAAGGGAGGCTGGGGTGGGAGGGTTAGGAGGAATTAGTTGTTATTGCTAACGAGTACTGGGTGTCTTTTTGGAGTAATGAAGATGTAGTATTGACTGTGATTATGGTCACAGAACTGTATTCTAAAAACAATAGAATTGTACACTGTGGTAAGTTGTACCATATGTGAATTATATCTCAATAAAGCTGTTTTTAGAAAAACAAGTAAAGGAAGATACTCAGTGTACATGGATTGGAAGTCAGTACTGACAGACGTGATCTACAGATTCAGTGGAACCTTTACCAAAATCTCGATCATCTTTTGCAGAAAAAGGAAAAGCAATACTAGAATTCATATGTAATCTCATGGGACCCTGAGAGTCAAAAATAATCTTTACAAAAAAGAATAAGGTTGGACAGGAACTAGTATAAAGGACACATGGACAACAATTAAGGGGGGTGGAAATGGGAGGGAGGTGGGAACACGG